GGCCCCTGGACAGAACCTTATGGTACCCCCACCGCAAATCTTCCCAAGGTGACACAGTATTGCCCACCATGACACAAAACCTCCTACCCAAGAGGTAAGGTCACAGCCATTCAAGATCCAGACGATACAGCAGAATGTCATGGCTAACAGTGTCAAAGGCTACTGTTAGGTCCAATAACAACAGCACCTCAGCTGCACCCTGATCCATAGCTACAAAGATATCATTTAACACCATCAACAGTGCAGACTCCATGCTATGTCCAGCTCGGTACAAAGAAGGTACTATGGGACATATAAAAACGCCACATGAGCAGCTAAGTAATCTAAGATGGCAACTCAGACCCAGCTGAAAGAACCTCAGGAGCCACAGAAGGGTCCATGAAATCCGGACGATAAAACCTCACAAAAGTGTGGGGTGCAACCCAACTAGCAGCTGAGAAAATGTAACCAACTGAAACGCCCTAAAAACAGCGCCCCTAAAGTCGCCACACCTTTAGTAGAGTGCGCTCTGACCACTTGCAGCTTAGAGCCATTAGCACTGTAACACAGGGAAACTGCCTCTACGGTCCAATAAGAATGTCTTTGGCTCAACAAAGCTTTACTCTTGGAGGGTTTGGCGAAACACACAAACAGCTGGTCTGACAGTTGGAATCTGTCCACATAAGCCTGTAGAGCATGAACCGGGCACAGACAATGTAACTTCCTCTACTCCTCAGAGGCAAAAGGAGGACAATTGAAAAGCCGAAAGCTCTATGGTCATAGAGCCATTGGGCACCATCAGATCATTCACTTCTGGATACCAAGATTTTGTGAGCCTCCGAGGAGCCATCAAAATCAGATACATACTCATCTGTTGCATTCTCTCCAGTACTGGAGGAAAGGCGTAGAGGAGAACATTGGGCCTAGGGTGCACCAAAGCATTTGTCCCCATTGAAGCAGTCTGGTCCTTCAAGGAGAAGAACAGATGACAGTGTGTGTTTGCAAGTGATGCAAACAGATCCACCCCCGCCCTGCCAAACCGTGTCCAGATCTGGGACACCACAAGTAGGTGAAGCTTGCCAGTGGTCTGCCCTGGAGAGCAGGTCTACCCCATGGGTCATGCAACCAGGGTCATAAGCTGCTCCAAGACATGAGATTCTGATTGCACTAATGTAGCAACGTGTGGGTCGGATTTAGCAGAGGAAGGGAGCGTGTTCCTGCCTGTCTTTTTATATGGGCCCTACAGTTGTGTTGTCTGTGTATACTAGCACATACTGGCCTCTCAGGTAATGACTGCAAAGTCTCATGGCCAGAAACATGGTTCACAGTTCTAGATAGTCTAAACGGAACCCCAATTGGGTCAGTGACCATATGTCCCTCACTGCCATAAATCTACACAGAGCCCCCAGCCTTTCAGGGAAGCGTCTGTGGTCATCACCAGACACTTGGACACCCTATCATTTGGAGAACCCTGGTGGAGCAACCTAGTTCTCACCATGGGAGAAGAGCCACTATGCAGGCCCTGGAGATGGTCAACTTCCAGTGAAGATGATGTGTGGGACAGAGATGGTGAGAGCGTACTGAAAGTGCTGCACCCCACTTTAACCAACAGAGAGGCCCCATGGCTATAGTGGAAGCCATCATGCCCAACAGCTGTAAAGCTGTGAAGTGTGTTATTTTGGCTCCCGGTTGGAAGTGGGTCATGTGATTGCGAAACACTGCAATCTGGTGATCTGAGCGGCACCAACAAAACTGAACCTCATTTGGGCCACATGTCTGCAAAGCGGAAGAAATAAAGTGTCCTCCCGACGTTCAGAATTTGAAGCATTGTTAACAGTAACACGATCCACCAAAAAGAGTTTCCTCATCCTACGGCAGGTCGTGACTGTTGACATAAATGTCCAGCACATCCTCCTCTTCCTCCTCCAGAGGAGAGAACTGGGAAGTCTCCAGGTTGGATTCAGTCAACCTGTCTGTCACCTCCACGTGATCTTCCCAGCCAGCAGCGGGGAACTCGATCACAAGGCCGCTCGCACCGGAACTGTGCAAAGCCGCAGGAGCCGACTCGGTGAGCATGGAGTCCTGCTGCAAGCTCACAGTGTCTTCGCAGTGTTTGTCAAAAAGCTAAAAGAGCCATGAAAAGGTAGCGCTTGGTGGGGGAACACTGACTAAAAGGCAGCAGAATCAACACATCAGCAAGCAGTTAAGCTAACTTTTCAATAGCATAACTAACAATCATTTATTTGTACTTACTTGTTATCAGCGTGGTGAAGAGCATAAGAACTGAGAAATGCCAGTGATGACAGGGGCTGGTATGTGGAGGGCAGGGTCACCCCCCGTGTTACGCTCATTGGCCTTTACAGGTATGATTAGATGTGTCTTCAGCCAGGTCACACCATCGACATATATACTGGACAATTCATTTCCATAGGCTCCAATAACACGTTTTTGTGCCAAAATGGGAGGTGGCCACCACCTCCATTTTGATCGTGTCACAGGTTCCGTCAAGCCCAGACAATTCCACAAAAGGGAAGAGAGGTGGAGCTGAGGGTGTGGCTGTAAGGCTGGGATCAACTGACGACACCCGGCCGAACTAGCTACAAGCTAACCTGAAGCTAACCCATAGCTAACGCGGAGGTGGGAGCTAAGCTAACGGAGGTAGCAACCTAGCTACAACCGGAGTTAACTGTGCACAACACCAGAGCTTCTGAGTCAGAGATACGCTGGGCTGACCGCTGGGTAAAACCGGGTGGAACACAGAGGTCTCCCGAAAGCTGCTGAAAGCCGGCAGCCTGCACAGCAGACAGAAGCCGCGATCAGACAGAGATGCGCCGAGCTGCGGGGAGGGGAGAACCACAAGCCGGCCGGCAGCCCGCGCAGCAGACAGAAGCCATGATCAGACAGAGATGCGCCGAGCTGCGGGGAGGGGAGAAACGGGTGGAAAACATTGGTCTCCCGAGAGCTCCACAAGCCGATAGTCGGAACCCAGCTCCACCAACATGTTATATTTCAACCCATTTTCTAAAGTGCAGCAATATGTTAAATGCACGGGGGTTTACCCTATTACATTTAAATTTCATGGTTAAACAGTACATGTTAAAATCTAAGCTCAGCTCGGCAGTGACCTAAAATACATAAATATAATTTTACTTACCGAAAAAAATGAAGTGGAGACTCCTTGGACGCTCTATTAGTGCAATTAATGCCACAGCAAGTCATTTTGTCCAACAATTGCACAAAAAATATCCAAAAAGAATTCACAAACACAGAGACTCAAAATGCCGGAGCAGTTTCCAAGCCAGACCGAGGCTCTACTGAAGCCTTTCCACGGAGCTAGCTCTGTGGTCACGTGGGTCTGATGCTCATTAATTATACAGAATTTTAGGCTTTTAATACACTTAAACAGAAGAGTGAGAAAAAAATTCACCCCCCTCAGAGTTGTCATGAGTGTAAACTAAATAATTTAAACCAAAAACATGTTTGGTACCAGGCTGTAAACATGTTTATTTCTGCTGTGAAATTGGTATTTTTAACATGGGAGTCAATGAGGATTTGCTCGCTTCTGACACCAGCCCCTAGTGGATGAGGGTGGAACTGCAATTTTTGGTACTTCCGGGTTGGGCTCAATTTTTGAGCCGCATTGTGGGGGCTTGGGTCACACGAGGGCGTGATGTCCCATGGTGCCTTCGTTGTACTGAGTGAATCGACTGAAAGGGAACATGTTCCTTTTGCAAACAAAAATCCATTTTTGGGTTCCAGGCATTATTTAAAGTGCAGACTAAATAAGAAAGAGATCATTTCTTCACAACGTGGAGATTTAACTCTCCACTATCAACTCGAAGAGACTGGGCCTTAGTGTTTACATTCCAGGAGAGGAGGGATCCGGACTCATTATATGAGGAGGAACAGGGCATGTAGACGCATGCCCCACGTCTCTTTCAACCATCAACTTAGACTTTTGTTTTCAAAATAATGTGTTTGTGTATTTATTCATAGTGCTTTGAAGCTTTCTCTAGTGCTGTTGGAAATGTGGAATAGTGAATAGAAAGCTTACTTTAAAAGGTGGGATTTAGAAATAACGGGGGGGGGGGGGGAGGGGGGGGGGCTGAGCCTTTCTCATCCTTCCTTCCTTCCTTCCTTCCTCCCTTTCTTTCTTCCTTCCTTCCTTCCTTCCCTGTCTCAGGAAATGAATAATCCAGGGTCCAGTCCAGTAATATTTAATGTTTTGTTTGATGAGAGCAGCACCCCCAACCCCCCATCCCCATGGTGCTCCTTACGTTTTTTTTGGGGGGGGGGGGATTATGATCTCACTTATAAACTGTAAGGAGAAATTAAAGTGTGTTCTGTCTGCGTAATCCTTCGTTTCCATCTAATTTTTCTTTCTTTTTCTTGGTAAACAACTTACCTCATCCAATAAGTCACTTGTGCTCAGGGGAGCTGTCACCGAGCAGTTACTAGCCAAAGACAGCAGCTCTCAGCCACGACCGGGAGGTCCGCTGTTTATGGAAGAGTGTATGTTTATTAGCTCAGCCCAGGGCTCACCCAGGGCTTACCCGGGCCTTTCTCCATTGCTCCCCTATCCCGAACCATTAAAAATCCCTGGCTCATAAACTTTCTGTTGCTCTCCCAAGGACAGCCAAATTCACAAACACTTATTCCTGGGATGCGTGCTTGCAAACGTTGAGGAATGCTTCGGGGGGAATCTTTGACTCACCACCAAATGTGCACTTGATCGGCCCATGTGCAGTTTCACATTCTCAAGAGCGCAGCTGCCGCATCCTGTTGTACTGATCAAACTGTGCCGCACCCATCTGTTCCCCTCCTCATTCCTTTCTTTATTTCATCAGATCATCCAAACATACCAGTCCCCTGATGACATGCTGGACATATGTGTGACTTGATGAATAATTCCACCACATCTAACAAAATATTATCAAAAAGGTCTTGTGTAAAGTGACAGATTAGCTTTCTCCTTTGCTGTCGTTTACACACTTCTCCTCCTCCATTTGTCTTTCCTTTAGGTTGACAGCGTTTGTACTGAAGTCCTTTGCTCAGTCTCGGGCTTTCATCTTCATCGACCCTGAAGAACTTTGTGCAGCCAAGTCTTGGCTTATCAGACATCAGAGAGACGATGGTTCCTTCCCTGCGATGGGACGTATCCTCAACAAAGACCTGCAGGTGGGTCTGTGTATGCATGGATATGAGTACTTTGAGCACCTTTTTACTGATTATCCAAGAGGAGGTAAAACTGTAGATCCAAGAGGGAAACCCAGACATCCCTTTTCTCAGCAACACACTCTCCAGCTCCTCCTGAGGGATTCCAAGGTGATCCCAGGTCAGAAAGGATATATAATCCCTTGACCATATTCAGATCTCTCACATACTCTCCTCCCATTGGAATGTGTCCAAAAGCCTCTAAAGGAACGTGACCAGAAGGAATCCTAATGAGATGCTAGAACTATACCTCAGCTTACTTGTGTCGTTGTGGAGGAGCAAAAGCTTTACTCTGATGAAGCACTTCGTCCTATCTCTATGGCTGAGCCTGACCTAATTTCAGCGACTATTCAGATTATTCTTTTATGGTATAACTCTGATGAGCATAGATACTGGTATGAACAGAGAGTGGACATAGACAAAGCTCATGCCTTCTTTGTAATGGCAGACCAGAGCATCTTTCTCGTTTGCAAAAAAAAAACAAAAACAAAAAAAAAACAATGAGGTGCTTGAACTCCTCAGCTTGTGGCAAGTCTTACTGCCAACCCAAAGGGAGCTTTCTACCGTTCTGGTTGAAAACTGTGGTTTCAGACGTGAAGGAGTAAACTCTTACCTCTTCTCAGAGAAACCGTTTTTTACTCATAATTGTTTTAAATATGATCAGTCACTCTGAGTTTAACATGCAAGGCAAACGTAAAAATAGTCTTCTACCGTTATTCCCTGCATTAGCCATGGATTAAAAAAATAGATGGTGAAACGCTCAGATTAGAAAAGACACTCAGATCTACATCACTCTGAAAAGTAACATTCATTGACTGACATTAGCCCTTAGCCCCCGTTAGCAAAATTTTGCGGCATTCATTCCAATTGCCTTGGTAGTAATATTGCAATAATTGACTTCTAAACGGCGATTGCGCCTTGGCGCGACAGAGGTAGGTGTCCTGATAGTGTATGGAGTAAATGCCAAGCTCCGGCCTGTAATTTTATTGAAAACTAAAGTAAACACGGGCCGTAATTTTTGCTTTTTGAACAAAATCAATAGAAAAAGCAAACTGGAGTGCTGCAGGGCCGCCACGACGTTGTGACAAATTGACGGCATTGTTTTGCAATAGTGGCTAAAACTCGCGACCACAGAAGGCTGTTGTTGATTTTTGCATCCAGGAGAGAGCAGAGCTTGTCTTGGCTGGTAAAAGCTAACCATTAGCATTAGCAGCTCCACAGCATGACAGAACTCCTTCAGACTTGTGAAATTTGTGAAGATACAACATAAATGTTGCAAAGCAAACTGAGTCAGTGGTAGAGTTGCGTTGCTGTTAGCATATCAGAGGCACGATGTCAGAATATCATGAATACTAAGGACTCCAAGTCTCCAAATCCTGTGGTGTTCTGCTTCCCTTTCCTCCGGCTAACTTGTACTTCCTGAATCCGAAGCACCAGAGCTTTCTTCCCACAGATATTGGCTCACAAGACATTCACTTATACTAGACACAACAACACATGCTTCGAAAAAACGAGAACTGTAACTGTATCACCTAAAGATTCTACAGACCGTAGTGAGGACAATAAAAAGATGATATTGGAGTTGTCTTTGCTGGATGATCGATGTATTGTAATACAACCACCCTCATGTGAAAATGACAGCTTTATTGATTGTATTTAATGTCAATGGTGGTTTTTATTTTGTTCACAGGGTGGGATCCATGGAAAGATTTCTCTAACAGCTTACGTGGTAGCAGCGCTGTTGGAGACGGGAATGACCACAGAGGTGAGACATCCAACAATGTGACACAATCTGAACTAGACAATGCTACAAAACTATCTGGATGCATCACTTACTACTGGCTTTTATAAAGCGGATGTTTTATTCATGAGGATTTACCCGAGTGATTCCTCCTGACCCACTTCAACATCTGTAGCCCATCCTACCATCCCCGGATCGTGTACGGACGTATCGCTGCATTCCTGTTGTTAAGATGGATGTTCTGGCAGTCGGCCCACTCAAATTTGTTCTGCCTCATTGCTTTTAATGTAATGTCTAATCACGTTTGAACTACCTCAAAACATTCGGGCTGACATGCAGAGGCAGTTTAGACCCCTGAAAAACACCTTCTTGGAATGCCCTTTTTCTGCCATCATAAGTGTTTGAAAAACTGCTTGCAAGAGTCCAAAACGAAGCTTGTTTTTGTCTCTGTTTAGTGCTCTCCTGTTATCCAGAAAGTTAACTCTTGATTTAAAATTTCCTCTCCCTGACTGCTTTATTCTGTCGTCCATCTCTCTTTTTTCCACTCTTTCTATCTATCCCAAAAAGGATTCTTCTGAGAGTCTGCCTTTTTAGCACCGATAAAGAATGAGAAGGTATTCTTCACTTCAAAGCCGTACCTTCATCTCCCTTCCAATTTCACTTAATTAAAAGATGACTGCTACAATTACAGTGAGTGGCTCTGGAGGCCTATCATCTCATGGATGAGAAGGAAGGTCACATCTGCATGAGATGAAAGTCAACTCCCCACTTTTTAATGGACCAAATGAGTTACGGGAAAAGGCTCTTATCCAATTAGAAGGAGCCTTTAAACAGCTGAGTGAGATGGCAATAGAGTACACTAAAGATCCCTATATGCAAATACTCTGGAAACCATCATGCTGCATTAAGGAATGCAGAAAATGTTATATTTCCTTCAAAATCAAATTCTGTCATTGTCGATTTATTTATTTTGTTGACGGTGAGAAACAAAAATAGGCAAACACATTTCAAGTTTTCAATTTTAGATTTTCCTATGTTGAATCATGTAAGCTTAAACTGGCACATGTTTTTGGCTGTCCCATTTGGTGCAGGAAGAGAAGGTGGCAGTGACCAAAGCTAAGGGCTTCTTGGAAAGCAACACTTACTCTGCAGATGATCCTTACACCACAGCTCTGTCTGCTTATGCCCTGTCTCTGCTTCGTAGCCCGTACGCCCCACTGGCTCTGCGTCGCCTCAACCACTTGGCCATCACTAAAGGTATCTTTACCACATGACACTCGAACACCACACCCAATCTTAGATTTGCTCCAAGTTACTTAGATGCTGGAGAAAAAGAAAACTCAGAGACTAATTTAAATTTGCATGAAACCAATGCTAAGTGTGAAAAAAGGACGTTCTTCTTTGAATTTTTCTATTATGACTTCCTGAATAAGAAAATAGCAGCAAGGGTTGAGATGAGAACTCATTCTCTCTTAATGTCTTATCTTTAGGTATCATTTGGCCTTTTCTTGATTTTCTCCACAGTTTTGTCAAATTTTATAGAATCGAGGGGGGAACAAAGCTCATCAACTTGATCAAACTTTTAAAGGTGTGGAACACTGAAAAAGCATTTGCAATGATTCTTTCTGATTATAATGGGTCACTCTATTTTTCATACAGGCTGAACATGAAAATAGTCTCCTACACCTACCTCCTGAATTAGCTTATAATAGAAAATAGACAGTGAAACTCTAGGACTTGAAAATCCTGACAGATCTATGTCACACTGTCACTTAACATTCACGGACTCACCCATCTTGACTCACGACGGGGAAAGCTGTTGTTGGTTTAGTGTCCAGGAGACCGCAGAGAATGTCTCGACTAGTAGAAGCTAACCGTTAGCATTAGCAATTCAACCACACAGCAGAACTCCTCCAGGCTTGTGTTATTTGTGGAGATAAAACATCAGTGTTGCAAAGCAAACAGAGTCAGTGGTCGAGGCACATTGCTGTTATCCAACCCCAGGCAAGATGTCCAAATATCAGGAAATAAGACTTCAAATCCTGCCAGCTCAATCTCTCTTGTCGCAATCTGCTGCTTCCTGGTGCACCAGGGCTTTTTTCCCCAGAGTACGACTTACAAGGCATTCATTGCTACTAGAGACCACTGCAAATGTATTCATTAAACAAGTGTTTCACACCTTAAAACTAAATTAAACCTTCTCAGTGGCCTAGTGGTAGTGTCCACCCTGGGACTGGGAGTTCGGGGTTCAGATCTCGGTTGGGTCATACCAAAGACTTTAAAAATGGGACCCAATGCCTCCCTGCTTGACACTCAGCTTTAAAGTGAGGGTCAATGCATGGGTGGAGACGTATTTCATCCACACTTCCTGTTAGGAAAACGCTTCTGAAAGAGGCGTTGCCTGGCGGACCGAGAGAGCGGCACTGAGGCAGTGGTAGACTGCACCCCCCTCAACCCCCCACCCCCGCGTGCGCTGTGAGTTTCTCAATCTAACGAGTTGTTAACAAGCGCGTGCACGCAAGCACACAATCACACAACATTTACCGCTCAGGAGAAAAACAGACACAGATTCTTCAGCATTCTGGAGGATTTCCTGTTAAACGCGGTCATTAGATGAAAAGGGGGAGGAGGGCATTTTTTTCAAGAAGGCGAGCGGCTCAGAGTGCTAATGTGTCATTGGCAGGGGGGTGGCTGAGCCAGGTGGAGGTGCGACTGCCTCACCTGGAGACCAGTGCAGTGCCGCCACGTAGTAATCTGCTGACAAACTAATTTTGGTATGTCTTCCTCTTTGTTTTTATATGACCTGTTCTGATTAGACGGACTGACCCACTGGAGTCTGACTGGCAGCATGGTGACTGATGAAGACACCTTCATGGGATTTAGTGATGGCCTTTCTCAGTCAGGTATCTGTTTATGACAAATCTGAGGAGCTAACGGATGAGATAACATTTTTGAACATTTTTTATCAGAAAAATTTTCATTAACAACAATTAAAATTTTTGCTCCCAGTGGTGTCAGCGGAGGTGGAGATGACAGCCTACGGTCTTCTGACCTACACCGTGCTGGGTGATGTTGCTTCTGCACTTCCTGTGGTCAAATGGCTCTCCCAGCAAAGGAACGCTCTAGGTGGTTTTTCTTCCACACAGGTATTCTATTTGCCTTGACTTGTGAATCTTTAAACTTCATCTTGTAAAGTAAAAACCAGCATGTACATAATGATATGATTAAGTCATGTATTTCCCCAGCTGACATTTTAAATTCCCTCTTTCAGGACACATGTGTTGCTCTGCATGCCCTGTCAGAGTACGCCATCCTGTCTTACATAGGGGGGGTGAACCTCACCATCTCTCTGGCTTCTACCAACCTGGACTTCCAGGAGACCTTTGAACTAAACAAGGAAAACAAAAAACTCCTTCAGAGCGCCAAGGTGAAACAAATCATTTGCTGCTTGTCTATTTATCTGTTTAATGGTCGTCTTGGCCAGCAGGTGGGTAGGGCAACCTGATTAAGGCATGCTGGCTTCTATATGGACAGTATTTATTTAACTTATGTGACATCCACTTTTTATTACCACAACTTCAGATTTGACCCCATGAAACCACTCCCCTTAAGCCTAGTTTAGGTTCTTTTGAAATGATGACTAATGAGCAGCACTCTGGCATTAAACGGTAATCTGTGTGTTTGCTTGTGTAGCAGTCCAGCAGCCAGGACCTTTTAACTCACTGCCAAACCAAACCAGGCCCACGTTTCTCAAAAAGCACCTTGTTGGTCGGCGGATTTAGGAACTGTGCTTTATTGTTCAGTTTGTTCACACGTAAAACAAACCGCCTTTGCTCGAGTTGTGTTTGGGTCAGGTCAACACGGTTGTGAGGAATTAATGGCTCCATCTGCCAGCGGGAGACTTTCAGGTGAGAAAGAAGGAGGTCCTCTGCCAGGCGTGTTTCTTTCTACTATGATTAGTGGTGTCAACTTAATTGGGGGGCAATTTAGGGCTGCCGGTTAGTAGCCAGGGAACCACTTGTGGCGGCGCAGCCACCTAAAGCATCCATTCAGTTGATAAATGACTCGCTCACCTCTCCCTGCCCCCTCTGATTCGCTGTGTTTTCCTATCTATTTTCCTTCTTAGATACCCAGTATCCCCACTGGCCTGTTTGTCAGCGCTAAAGGAGAAGGTTGCTGTCTCATGCAGGTATTCTGCACATACATAGCTTTTTGGAGTCTTTACAGTTGCCTGAAGTGAACCTTTAATACCATGCCTACTTCAACATTTCACACTACAACTCTCCCAGCAGTGTGACATCAGTTTGGAAAAAGAATAATATTTATTATTTGTAGCAGATGTTTACTCCTTACCTCTTGTTGTCTGTGTTTAATCATTCAGGTTAAAGGGGACATATTATGTTAAACTCATCTTTTGCATTTTTTGTGCTGCTATGTGAGGTTCTACTGCCTCTGAGCACTCCAAATGTGAACAATAAAGCATCTATCCATTTTTTGTCAGTTTGGTTCTAGGAAATATGTGCCTAAAACAAGCTGTTTCAAAAAGTCCCCGTTTGTGATGTCACACATGGGGAAATTAGAATCACACCACCTCTCATGTACAAGAGAGAGCTGCTGCTCCTCAAGCAGCAGCTCTGCTCAGAGCTCCTCCCTCACATCAGAGCATTTTTAGCTTATTGACGCTTTGCAGCTATGTCACCTGACCACATGGATCCACCATAGTGGACATCAACAGTGGATTATTGGCGGATGGAATGGAGGGCAAAAATGGTGACTGAGATGATTTTTTTGCTAGTTTAGCCTGTCTGCTACTAGTTGAAGCCTAGTTCACTTGTGGGGAGGTTTAGCACACCTAGGTGGCGCTCATATGGTGCAGTATTTACAAAGCTATGTTAACTAGCTTATGAACATTAGCTTACGTTCTCCCTGCTGCTGTTTACCAATTTAAACAAGTAGACTTTGGCAGGATTCACCCCGCTGGATTTCTAACATTATGTGTTAAACAGCATTTGACTTTTCACTGGAGCTGATTTTGTCACTCCCTGGGTCACCGGGTTCAGCTGCTACTGTCACACCGGGGGCACCAGATGCCTCATGACGGCAAAGCTCATCATGGTAAATAAATAACGTAATGTTTCCATACATAATCTTGCATTAGAACAATATTATTAGTATCTAGAAAGAAAGAAAACAATGTTTTATACAGCACTTCTCAAAATAAAAATCACGAGGCATTTCACAAGAACAAAAAATGTAATGTAAAAAAGATTTGTTTTTTTTAAGTGATTAAAAAAAATATGGTTAACAATTGTGATTAAAAATGTAAGGAAAGGGAAAGAGAAATGTTTAGGAAAAAGGCTAATCAGTGAATCCCAAGAAAGGCAGAGTTGGTAGAAAGAGCAGAATAAGTAGGGTGGTGATGAAGGTCACACCAAAACCAGCTTGAACAGGTGAGTTTTCAGCTGCTTTTTAAAGGAGACCACTGAGTCCACTGATCTCAGGCTCAGGGGGAGAGAGGTCCAGAGTCTGGGGGCCACAGCAGCAAATGATCTGTCACCTTTGGTCTTTAGCCTGGTGCTGCACAACCAGTAGGCTTTGATCACTGGACCTCAGGGACCTGCTGGGGGTGTAGGGACTGAGAAGATCACCAATTTATGATGGTGCTTGTCCATGTAAGGCCCTATAGTCCAGAACCAGGATCTTACAATGAACCCTGAAGTTGACTGGCAGCCAGTGAAGCTGGAGGAGAAGCGGGGTGATGTGGGTGTGTTTGGAGGACTTGGTCAGAAGCCGAGCACAGGCGTTCTGAACCACCTGTAGATGGTTCAGGGAGGTTCTGCTCAGACACGTGAAAAGAGAGTTACAGTAGTCTAAGCGTGAGGAGATGAAGGTGTGGAGAACTGTCTCAAGTTCAGAGTGAGACAGAATGGGACTCAGCTTAGCAATGTTCCTGAGATGGAAGAAGGAAGGGCGAACAAGAGAACTGACATGAGAATCCAGGGTGAGAGCTGGGTCAAAGGTCACGCCAAGATTCCTGACAGAGGGTTTGGTGTGAGAAGCAAGCTGACCAAGAGAGTCTCTGACTTTGGGAACCAGCCGTCCAGGTTTTAATAGAGTCTAGCAGGTGTGTAACAGCTGCATCTGAGACATCTCGTGGGGCTTAAAGGAGACGTACAGTTGGAATGTAGCAATTCACTATAGTGAACAGAAAGCCTCCATAGTGAAAAATAGAATTACCATTACCACAGTCAGTCTCTGTCTTCCTCATGAAGTATATGAATGTTGATCCTACCTGGTAGAAAGTGTTTGCTGCAAATCCAAAAACACTTTGAGGGCTGCTTGTCTGTTTGATTGACCGTAGCTGTCCATCCCCATCTTCAGTCTCCTTCAAAATGATTCAGTATAGAGACCAGTTGGGCTTACACCCTTGTCTGTTAAAGTGCAACCAACCACGCTGCTAACTGTTTCCATTTTGCTATCAAAATAACAAAGTAAACGTGTTATAACGCTTCAAATTGACTTGTTTTGGAACAGCTTAATAGAGTTTTAATAGACTGGAATAGAACAACTTTATTTTTTGACACCAAGCGGTTACAGAAATGTGTCTTTCAACAGGGCTCATCATCATCCACCTCATCATTCACATTCTCATAGAACAGTAAACACAATAAAAGAAGAAAATGAAGTTATAGAAGTAAATGGTTTGTTTGACGTCCAGCATGGCAAAAGAGGTGTTCCCAAAGGTAGTGTGACATCATGTGCAAAAGGTCAATAGTAGCCTGAGTGGGGGGTGGGTGGGTGTGGCTGTCAGAAGCTTGTTTTCTTAAAGTGACAGAGCCCTGAAATGACTCTTTCTGGAAGGTACTGAACTGTCTAAATGAATCTGCTGAAATGGCTCAATGTGGGAGGGATTTAGTGAAAAGAACTTCATAAACATGTTTTATATCAACAAAATTATCACTTAAAAAAGTCATAATATGTCTCCCTTAAAACAAAAAATTGTGCAACAGAACATGACTTTTCTCAAAATATGTAAATAAATGACCTAATTTGTGCTGCAGATTCTGTTATATTGTTGTTCTCACAGTGAGCTGTGAAGAACAAAAATCACTATGTTTCACCAGTTTCTCTCACACTTTCACCTCCATCCACACCTCTTTGTGCATCAACACTCCTCTCTGACACACCCTCAGGCCAATGGCACCTGGACTCTAATGAAAAACAAGAGCTGGGTGGTCAAAAACCATGTCTAATTCAGTTTTTGGTTCTTTTTTGAAACACAGAAAAGGTTTCACTTTACCTTGCTGACAGTTTCGTTTGCGGCTGCAAACATCCTCAGAGCTGACGCTGATGGTGGCGTCACTTCTTACTCCGTTTATCCGCCGGCAGCAGAGGATGTTGTCGCCCTCTGCTGCCGGCTCTCCCATCTCCGATGATGCAGTCTCATGCGCGATCCAATGTGTAAACCCCATTGTCCCTGTTCATGGTCCCACATCCACGTCTCCTTATTTCGATTGCTTCTTTTATCCATCTTTTGTATTTTTGTTGTTCGGTGTTTATGATCCTTGTGTTGTCCCAGTCCATTACATGGTTTTCTCTTGTGCAGTGATCTGTTACGGCTGACTTCTTTATTGTGCTTTCTGCTTCTTCTGTTGCTGCTCTTGTGTGTCTTCGACTTGTTTCTCTCTCGTACAGGGTTATCACTGGTTTTGGTTCCTGTCTTTCTGGGTTTCTGGTTCTTTGCTTAGGTTGTTCTTTTCTTTCTGTTGTTGTTTGTTGTTTTCCTTTGTTTATCGCCCATGTCGGGTATCTGCAGGTCTTTAAAGCGTGTTGTATGTGTTTGTCTACTTGGTACGATTTCCAGTACCAAAAGGACAAACAGAAACACTAACACAACACTTGAATAACATTGACGACACAGGCAGCATAAAGTTCACATATGAGTCAGAAACAGAAGGCGTATAGCATTTATGGACATGAAAATCACCAGGCAGACCGACGGGACCCTAAACATAAACACATATAGGAAACCAACACACACAGACCAATACTTATCATGGACATCAGAACACCCCACCATACACAAAATGTCAGTAATCAGAACATTATATCACCGAGCAAACATGATAACAGAAGAGAGAGACCGTAAACAAGAGGACAAACACATACAACACGCTTTAAACACCTGCAGATACCCGACATGGGCAATAAACAAAGGAAAACAAACAATAACAGAAAGAAAAGAACAACCTAAGCAAAGAACCAGAAACCCAGAAAGACAAGAACCAAAACCAGTGATAACCCTACCATACATCAGAGGCATAACAGAAAAAATAAGAGCAACAATGAAAAAACACAACATAAACACACCAAGGAAACCATACACAACAGTCAGAAACAGACTAGTACACCCAAAAGACAAGATACCAGCTGGACTTAAATGTGGAGTCATTTACGAAATCCCATGCAAACTCTGCAATAAAACCTACATAGGAGAAACCGGACACCAACTCAACACACGAACAATAGAACACAGAAAGGAGTGCGAGAAAGAGGCAAGTCGAAGACACACAAGAGCAGCAAAACAAGAAGCAGAAAGCACAATAAAGAAGTCAGCCGTAACAGATCACTGCACAAGAGAAAACCATATAATGGACTGGGACAACACAAGGATCATAAACACCGAACAACAGAAATACAAAAGATGGATAAAGGAAGCCATAGAGATAAGGAGACGTGGATGTGGGACCATGAACAGAGACAATGGGGTTTACACATTGGATCGCGCATGGGACTGCATCATCGGAGAAGGGAGAGCGGGCAGCAGAGGGCGACAACGTCCTCTGCTGCCCGTGGATAAATGGAGTAGGAAGTGACGCCACCATCAGCGTCAGCTCTGAGGAAGTCTGCAGCTGCAAACGAAACTGTCAGCAAGGTAAAGAGAAACCTTTTCTGTGTTTCAAAAAAGAACCAACAATGGAGTTAGAAGTCAAATGCAGCAAGAACGTACCAAAGATGTTTAAAAAAAACATGTCTGTTTATGTGTTTCGACACACACTTGATGCCAAAGGTCCCGCGTCATGCAATTATAATTTAGTCGCTTTGCAGAAATCTCAAATCTATCCAGAATTCCCTATCCCTAGTGTTGGGGGCACAACCTTAATTCTCGCTGCAAGGCTGTTTGACTGCCCTACAAAATAAACCCTCATCGGAATTCTGGCCCCCTTTGGGCTTCTTCTGTCTTTGCATCCATAGATTGATGTGTCCTATAACGTCCCTGACCCAGTGGCAAAGCCAGCTTTTCAGCTCAGGGTTGAACTGAAGGAGCCTCTTCAGGAGCGACACCCGCAGCCTTCTTCATCCTCAACCAAGCATTCTGCGTCACGCTCCCGGAGCCGAGCCGATAACCGGTCTGAGCTTAACAGGAAGCGGCGTGCACCCATCGACGATGACGACCCAGTGGCCCACCAGGATAAGATGAACTTCCACATCTCCTTAGAAGTCTGCGCCAGGTTGAGACTGACCACACTCTGATGTACAGAACCACTTTAAACATTTCTCCCATCTAACGCATTAACGTCTGTGCCCAGGTGGCTCCATTCAGGCTCTTCCAACATGGCAGTCATAGAAGTTCCCATGATTTCTGGTTTCCGAGCGGACGTCGAAAGTCTGGAGAGAGTATGTCATCACACCGACACACATGTTCTATCTGGATAACAGATACATCACAGAAAGAGAAGCACCTGTACTTGGAGAACATTTCCTGTTTTCTTCACAAACTCCACACTCACATCAACACAAATACATACCTTACCCCCCACCCCCCACCCCCCCCCCCCCACACACACACACACACACACAAACACACACACACAAACCACAGTGAGAAGTGGATATAAATATTTACCACAGCTGGAAGCAGAGAAGTGTTTACCTGACATGTCCTCCCTTGTTGGTTGAGAACGTATGCTCTAATAAACCAAGGAATTGTGCATTAAGACATATCCACCGCTGGTTGGATTAGTGGGTTATAATGAGGAAGGTGGTGGTAGTTTTAAGGGGCTGAATCCAGGTCAACTCCCCAGTCACCCGTCAGAACGTTGATCCTCATTACGAGACTGTAATAGGGCCTTGAGTCTGCTGTTACAAAAAACACCTCTGTGACTATCTGGAGATATTTCAAACACACACACACTGTCAGTGTGTCACTTAACGCTGACCTAAGCTGCAGTGGATAATAAGCTCAGTTTAAACCCCGCTGGCCTCCCTTCAGTTTTACTTCTGCCTGCCACTCGCATTCCACAACTTTTACAGTGGCAGGTTTGGCTTCAGCAGTCGTGTCTTTTTGCTTTCATGCATCCTGTGGACATGAATGACTCCTCCAGTGACCGACTGGGAGTTTCCGTTAGGTCCGTCCAGTCAGAAACAACAACAGCATAATGTTGATTGAGTATTTAAGGTGTTAAAGTTCAGGACAATTTTGTTCACTATAGACAAAAACTCCTTTTGTAGACAGATTACTGTGTGTGTGTGTGTGTGTGCGTGCGTCCATGTGGCGCCAGCTCCAGGTGAGCACCTCATAAACCCCCACTGTCCCAAGGCTGACACCTGTGACATAATGAACATTTCCCCTATGGGTGAAATAACTTCTAACTCTGCAAAGATGTGCGCACACACACACACACACACACACACACACACACACACACACACACGCACGCACGCACGCACGCGCACACGCACACGCTCACGCGCACGCGCGCACGCACGCACGCACGCACGCACGCACACACGCACACACACACACACACACACACACACACACACACACACACTCAGGAGACAGCATGCTGGTTACGTATTTTTTGCACATTTTATCAGTCATTGTGTAGAAATGTTTTACATTGTCATGCTGTCCTTTGAGGTGCAGAATATGGACCTCAAGATGGACACAGTGGTCAAAATGTAATAATTTGTGAGAGAAAATGTGAACGCCAATTGTAGCACTGATAAAAGAAGGTCCGACATTGTGCATTTGCATTACATATTTCCTGATTTAATGGGTTGAGTTTGGGTAAATTAATACACAATTTGATTTTTTACACAATCGTTTATTTTCCTCTTAACCAGACTTTGATTGTATATAGGGAGCTGTCCGATCAGATGTGGTGCTGATTAGCAATAAGGCACATTAAGGTGGCTTTTCTTCATTTAATTTATAACCGCTTAATTCAAATGTGTGATGAGCTGTATCACAACCAACTTGAAAATTTGTTCAATTAACTTTTAATGTACAGTTTTAATATTTTCCAGCAGCATTATTTTCTTTAAAGCTACAATGGTAAATCTACTAAACAGGCTAGCATATTTTTCATGCTTCCTAACAATGTTCTAACATAATATAGCTATAAAAATGTTGTGGACAAAAGAAAAAAGAAAAAAATGTATTAAGAGGTTTTGAATTGTTCAGAACTATTAAAACAACTAACAGCAAGAAGGCAAACAACTGCACCAACTCTAATGTTGCGGGCATATTAGTGTAATAAGTGTAGTAAGCACTCCCTACCATAAAACACCCAAGAGTGCTCTCTCCAGATGTGATAACGTATTTATCTAATTATCAGCTCGCTGTGTATGACTAGTCTTTGCTTGTCAACTAGAATCCTCTGGTGCTGATCTGCAACAGCCATGAAACTCTTGGAACAGGAAACAGAATGTGTCTTTTTGTTTATAAAAATTGACTGCAGTATGTAAATTTGGCCACAGGATGTCACTCTCACTTCATTTTACATATTGCAGCTTTAAAGTGGGATCATAAACTACCTGGCTAAACAAAAGGTCACCACCTAGATTTAACTAAGTAAACAGGTTGGAGCCTATTGGGTAATTATCTTCCAGCTGGCAGTGGGGGCTAGGCAGTGCATAATGCACAAAATGTTGCAGCTGTTTCTTAATTTTAATGCATTTTCTTGAAGTATTGTAACAAAAAATCTAATGAGTTTATTTTCTTATTGTCAGCCTATATATAAATAACCAAATGTTAAGGTAAAAAAAAATCTAAAACCCTTCATTTGTGCTTTGTTTTTATGCATTTTTATGTTGAATCACCCACTTGATTGTCATTTTTATTGTCCTGAACAGCTACTGATGGACAAGAGAGTAGGTCTGAAGAGATACGAGTTGAATGGAAGGAAAGTCTTGTTCTACTTTGATGAGGCGAGTTTTTCAGTTTCTGCCTCTTTGCAGATTGCAATTCATTAAAGACGACTGAGGTGAAGTTTGTGTCTGTAAAGTCTTTGCATCTGTGCTCATTGGTGTGTTTCTCTTTTTTAGATTCCCAGTCAATGTATGACATGTGTGGCCTTTACAGCTATCAGGGAATACATTGTGGGCAAGACGGCGCCTGTTCCGGTCAAGGTCTATGACTACTATGAACCAGGTGATTAACCAGGAAAAGCCCCTGGATCTCTACAGTGTAAGGGGTTCATTCAAATGATAAAACTCATCAAAGTATATGTTGGTGTGGGTCATGCAGCTTTCGAGGCCACAAGGTTCTATAATGTGAGTGAGAGCAGTCCTCTTGCACGGGAGCTGTGTGACGGACCTACATGCAACGAGGTGGAGAGTTCAACCAACCAGTGGATCGGTAGGGCCTCATTAGCTGCACCCAGAACAGCTGGTTAAAACACAACAAAGAAGGTGTTCTATAAATATTTGTTCCTGCAGGCTTTGTGCAGGCAAACCAGTGCAACAATGTGTTTGGGTGTCTGGAGGAGGAGCAGTTTGAGCGTTGCACGTGCTACAGGGACTGCGGCTATGATGGAGAGCCTGTTTGTGGATCAGATGGGCAGCTTTACCAGAACCAGTGTCAGATGGAGGTGTTTGCCTGTCGAAACGGGACTCGTATAAAGCAGGTTTCGCTCTCCCAGTGTCCACATGGTAAGCAGCAGTCTCTCATTGTATCTCTTGCAGATGACATGCTAGCCGTAGTACGGAATTTGAAATATTTCCTTCTGTCAGATTTCTAAATGATTGTGCTGCAGGACTGTGTGTTTGTTCTGTCGGCTGATTGACTTTGTTCTACTAGTGTATAAACATTTCTGCTGTTTGTGCACCTGCTAGTATGTCTGAGCTCATCTCGATGTGCCATGATCTGAGCAGAGGAAACAGCTGTTCAGGTGATGAGCTGATTACTAGACGATTTCTTTAGAGAGAAAACACACACAAACGCAGGATCCTCCCTCACTCTTCGTCGTATTACAGGTCTCTCTCTCCAAATGACAGAGTGCTTTTGTCCAGCCTCAGAAATCCTCGTCACATTCCTTTCCGACGCACAGCCCAACAACAAAGGAGCCTTCATGTAGCGGAGCAGATTGCGGGAAAAGGAATAGACAAAACTTTGGTGGGAAACATCCTCAGCTTGTGCCAAGTGTTTCATGCAGTGGATCATCAAAGGGGTCGGGCTTTTTGTTCAGTGCTCCCTGACCTTGTTTGTTTGTGTGTGCAAGCATGGGGTGGATTCTTGTCACCGTTTCTCCAGTTTGAAAGAGGAGGAAAAAAAATGTTTGCACACATGGCCTCCTGGCTGCGGTTTGGCTTCTGCTATTTTTGGACTGATGGGTTTTTGCACAAACCTCCGTTAGATCCAAGTGTTCAGCTGAGAAATGTTGCTTCCCCCACCCCCCACCCCCCCCATGTGTTGTTCTGTGAAAGAGACATAAATGTGATGTGTGTCTGTGCATTTATATTTGCAGTGGAGATCACCAAAGACAAGCAGCCAGTAGTGAATCAGGAAACAGAGCAACCCTCAGTACCCGCACAAACAGGTAACTCCACCTCCCACACCGTTCTCTTTAATAGCATGTGTTCCTTTAATGATCCACATACATTCAAAAACTTTGCAGCTGTGTTCAATTCAATCAATATTTTTTGTACTTAAAGTTACATAAATCATGTCTTTGTCAGGCTGTTGGCATACTTTGCCCGTGCACTGTTTTGGAGCGTTAGAGTTTGTGATGACAAAAACAAAGAGTGTGAAACGACAATGAAAGATTAAAAGTAACTTGAGTAATTCATAAAAGTGACCGACTGAAGAAAAAATAAGAGCAGGGATAAAAGGCAACAAGGATATTAAGAGGAAAGCTGAAGAAAATGGATTCATAGGTGGGGTGTGTGGCAGCACATTCCCCTGTCACCACATCATGTCCGCATCCAGCGTGATAAATGGGAGAAGTTCCACACAGCAAGCTTGATTGTTGCTGTCATGAGCGTAATCTTTTCAGAAACGTAGCCAGAGAATTTCTGATAGGATGTTTGGCTGCGTGTGGAGAGATACCGGAGGCAGCAAAAACACGAAAAGGTACTGCAGCCGTTAGCACACGGCAAAGCACGTGTGCTATCCTAACATGCAAACGGTGCGTGCACATTGTAACGTTTGAAATCTCTTGGACAGAACATGTGTCCAAGAGCAAAACGTGTCTGCCTGTGTCTGACTTGTAGGCGTGTGTGTGTGTGTGTGCGTGCGTGCATGCATGCGTGTGTGACCTGCTCTGACTTGTTGCCCAGCCTGCAGCTCCCAGTAGCTGCAGCTCACAAAGCTGCTTTCAGTCGAAGGTCTCCTTAGTACAAAAGCTAAATGCTTCACAACCGTCACAGGAATGCTGTTCCTCTTTCTCTCTCTCTCTCTCTCTCTCACACACACACACACACACACACACACACACACACACACACACACACACACACACACACACACACACACACACACACACACACAGACACAGACACAGACACACACACACACACACACACACACACACACACACACACACACACACACACACACACACACACACACACACACACACACACACACACACACACACACACACAGACATGTTTGTAGCTTGATTTAATGAGTAAATACACATCCAGACCACTGTTTATGACCGTTCTTGGTTTACACTGACACACACACCAACACACACCCAGGTTTCCACAACTTGATTAGAGTTAATAAACACAGTGAGAACGCTGTCCACGTAAACCATTAAACTGTTGACATCGTGCCTCGCTAAAGTGTACGGGGAGTGTAACAGGTAAAGGTGGGTTCTGCCAAAGAACTGACACCACCATGGATGAGCGAGGTGAAGATCTGGAATTAGCCTCCAAGTGCAGACTTGTCTTATTAGTGAACTTGTAGCAGTAATCAACAATAAAGCAGAAAACACTCACAGACATGAAGGCATCCATTAGAATGACACAGTCATCTGAGCTTTTTTAAAAGAGTTGCATTACAAAATTTTGTTTTGTTGTTTGTTTTTGTATGTTTGATTTTTACGTATGTTTGAATCTCAAACTGAGATCAATGTTGCACAAACTATAAATGATATGAAATTACAGGGTAGTCATTTGAAAACAAACAATTTAGAAAACTAAACAGAACACAGAAGTTGTAAAACTATGATTCAAGTTGAATGATACCTAAGAAATCATGTTAAGTAGAGTGCGACCCCTGCTGGCCAGAAAAAGGTAATGCTTCAGTTCAGATGTAGTTTTTGGTTTGTTTTCAATGCTTTTCTGAGCCTTTTGTCAGATCAACTTTGAACACCTAACATCCCTTTTGTTGTTGTTTGTTTTTATTTATTTTTGCTGTTATGTTTTCATGCTTGCAGTCTTTTCCCTCCATCTCTGAATGGTGCATTGCACTGTGGACGATGACATGTAAAGGGCTGCTTTGCAACTTTTTTAAAGTTTTAAATCATTTTCCTGAGCCAGTATGTGCTAAAATGACCCTTTACATGGTTAATGAAAGGACACCCAGCCCCTATCACCCCCTCTGGCCAGAATATTCCACTTGCAACTTCAGACTGGCGGGCGCTCTGTCGGGACTTAGAAAAATTGAGCTGCAGTCTGTTTCCAGCAGGTGTCCTGCATGTTTTAGCCATGAACACAGCTGATTTGTTTGATTTAGTGATGAACCACTCCTGTAGAGACTAATGAAGGCTATAGAGACATTTCAGCTGTTAGATTAAGGCGTTAAAAAGATGAATCAAATCAAATCAAAATCAAATCAAATCACTTTTATTGTCACGTCACATGTGCAGGTACACTGGTACAGTACATGCGAGTGAAATTCTTGTGTGTGAGCTTCACAGCAACAGAGCTGTGCAAAAATACAGTAATGTAAAAAACATGTAAAATATCAAAATGGCTAATCTAAATATACAAATGAATAAAGTAAACTATAAGATAAGAGATATAAAATATACAGTGGTTGGTATGTGCAAAACAGTGGCATTAATGTACAGTATGGAGTGTGTAATGTTGGAGTTTCAGTAGTGAGGGTGAGGTGTCTGCGATGTGTTCAGCAGTCTGATGGCCTGATGGAAAAAGCTGTCTCTCAGTCTGCTGGTTCTGGACCGGATGCTGCAGAACCTCCTTCCTGATGGAAGTAGTCTGAACAGGTTTTGGCTGGGGTGACTTGAGTCCTTGATGATCCTCCCCGCTTTCCTCAGGCACCGCTTCTTATAGATGTCCTGGAGGGAGGGAAGCTCACCTCCAATAATCCTTTCAGCACACCGCACTACTCTCTGGAGAGCTTTGCGGTTGTAAGCGGTGCTGTTGCCATACCAGGCGGAGATGCATCCAGTGAGGATGCTCTCAATGGCACAGTGATAGAAGGTCCTCAGGATGCGGTGGCTCATGCCAAATCATGCCGAATGCATGGCGAGGAGAAAGGTTTTTCTTTCAGTTCGACAAACGGACACTAAGGGGTGCTAAAAGCAAGCCAGAACGGCCCAGTTCCCCTTTAAACACTCTTTTACTACCACTACCAACAGTGACATATTATAAAAATAGAATAAAAGTATGGCTGCAGCCAATATATAATTTGTTTTATACGTTTGTTTTAAATTGTCGTCGTTTCTGCTGTGATTTGGGTTAATGGCTCTCTGTATAAACAGGTGAGGAGGAGCAGGGCTCCATGGCGGAGGTGTCCTACTACTCTTACGATTACGACTCAGACTCAGAGCCTGGCCTTGGTGATGGAGGAGACCGGTTTGACGTACCTGATGTTGGGGCTGGTGTAGAGAAAAAGTTCCTCCAACCAGCAGATACCCATCCACCTGTGATGGACACAAAATCCACCCCTGAGCGATGGTACGCTTCTTTTCTGATAGTGATTAGATTTAGTCTACATGGCCTGATTTGAACATTTGTCTTGTTTTCTTCTGCAGATTTGCTCAGAGAGAAGCCATATTGACCTCTAAATTGTATCATAGTTGTGAATATGTTTTCCAGTGGAAGAGAACAGGCTTGCTTCTGTAAGAATCTGGAGGCTGAGAGTGAACGTTTTTATTAGGTGAATGGAGTCAGAGTGGATGTCTTTGTCACGTATGTCTGTTTTTGTGTGGCTGGATGAGAGATTATTATTATTATTATTATTATTATTATTATTATTATTATTAAAGCTAAAAACCCTCCAGACATGTCTTCATGTAGTCCTCAGTAAGTACCATAACGTCCTTGTTATTAAGTGTGCTTTGTTTATTACACCAGAAGGAATAATCAAGTATTTATGTCTGTAATTACACCTGTTGTTGTGAAACATGTTTGTTATATTTTCTGTCTGTGGTATTTATTTGTAGCTAGAAGTCATATCATTTTAATTGTTTAAAGTCTGACCTTCCACCCCCTCATGTGCTAGCCAAGGGAAGCTTTAACCCAATACCTGAAAATGAAATAAACCTGCCGGTGTCATGCTGGAGAAATTTACCATATGCTTTTATAGAAACATAAGCTAAGTTTTTTGAAAGATTTTTTGTACGTTTAACTTGTCAAACAGCAGATACGTAAGTTTGGAGGAGAACGATCAAGCAGGAAAGAGTTCTGATAGTCTCAAACAAATAAAACTTTACTGGATTCCTTACTGGAAATGTGCTTTTTCAGCACGGACGCTCCAGCTGTCTCTGACACCTCTCAGCCATCACCAGCATCCTCTGCTCACCGTTTACTCACAAGGAGACTTCTTTGTACAGATCATAAGCTATTTTGTTTCTTTTTGGTTTTTAAAGCAATCAAGCATTTCTGTAAATGTACCAAATTTGATTAAATGTAAACTTGACATATATCAAAGATTGTAATTTTTAAAACAAATGAGAATAAAATTTGTACACGATCAGGTCTTCTTGTTCTTTCCATCAGCAGACAAACCCCTATGCTGTCTGCATTTATCTTGTATATGTGCCTGTTTCTGGGTGTCTAACGTTCTACCTCTCAAAGAGGATTCAGAAACCTGATGCACTGAATCCTTCACTTGTCTTCTGCCCCCTGGTGGAAAATTCTAAGACTGCAGGTGGACAGTGCACTTTTAAATGCTGTTGTATTTTTTGGATTATAATAAATTACAGTAGATGTTTATCTAAATGTTGAATTAGAAAATAAATGGTTCTTTTTAAATTGAATTAATTATTGATTCATCTATTAGACTTTAAATTGGTTACATCATTACCGAGGCAGTTGTGTTTTAAAAACAACAGAACTGCAGCCTGGTTGCATGAAACTGACATGGCCCTTTTTAATTTACTCTAATAACTTGCCCTTTGACCCCTGACACATTTGTGTATTAGACACAAAAAGAATGCAGACATGTCCATTTGTGCATGTGTACGTCTTCAGCCAAATATGTTTCTGTCAACAACAAAGTCAAGTCTCCAAAGCAACAGTTTGAGCGTGTTAAAGATTAATGTTTAAGCGATGCACATGCTGACCCTTTGTGATACCTCCAGCAGCTTACAGCACAGTCCACAAATAACAAACGTTAAACAGAAATCTGAAGGCTAAAACAAAGCTAGATCTGGGCATTCCGTGTGCATGGAGGCTTAGGCTGATAAAGCAGAGGGACATTATGTTCCAGCTGAGATCAACACGACTTGCAAAGGTTGATCTAGCACTTCTGTTGAAACCATAAGACAGCATTGTAGGCAACATGGGTGCAAGTCTCCGTGGTAACTGCATGCTTGGCTGAAGAGTGATATTGCATGTCTACACTGTAATGAGCAGAAAGAGTGAAAAGAGAAGGAGGGGATCTGGGTTTCATGGTCTGCAGAAGAGAGGTAGCATTACATGAGACTGAATCAGAGTGTTGACATTGTTTCTGAGCTGAGCGCACCTATACATCCATCCCTTTGGTAGGCAGGCCATTCACCTGTCTGAGCCACATTAGACTGGTGCTTTGGACAAAGGGGCAAAAAGGCAGGTGGATTACACCCGAGCCAGGTGAGAGTCTGATGCTGTTGACATGTTGATGCGTATTATAGGTGTCAGGTTTCCTGGCTGTTTCAGAGGAAATTGGGGATTGATTGTGGATGAGCCCGGGCTCTGGGTTTTCTGCTGAGATGTGGATGAACCCAGAGGACGTACAGTGATACCTGGAGGAAGGCCACCAGGCAGACTTGGACTCAGGAGGAACATGGTGCTGTTCTGATGATTGACTATGAACACCCTGCTTCTGAACAGGGAGTTTACCTTTTAGGTAAGCTGCATACATTTACTTTTGAGGAGTGTCTTCATTATTTTACACTTAAAAATAACCTAATTTCTTTTTAGTTTTTCTAGGATTGTTGGATTCCTAAAAATTATATATTATTTTTACGTCAAATGGACAAAAAATACCCAGCAATAGCAGGAAAAGAAAGAGGTGCGTATAACAAAGAATTACTCAATATCAAAGCTATTGTTAATGATTATCAATTTATGTTTTGATGTCTTTAGCCAGTACATGAAGGTCATGCAACGCCTGTCATTTTGTTATTTGGTGTATGAAGGATACACAGAACAGACCAACCAGGACTTGCTGCCTTACACTTGTGCACATTCCACTGATGTCATGATGTCTTTTTCCTAATTTCAATGTTGTGTTGTTGCCCTTAGTTGTTAGTTTGACTCAAGTGTGTTCCTACAGACTCAGATGTTCTCTTTGTGTCACTTAGATCATTATATTTGTCAACTAACATCAATCAGGAGCAAATTTAGGAAAGGCAACATAGCTTTATCAGTACAGTACGTAAGAACATAAAACATTAAAATCAGCATTAAACAACTAATTCTAAAATCCAATTTTAAATACACAAACTAAATTAGATGTAAAAATAAAAAGGCAAAGTTAAAGGCTGAGATGTTACAGTGCAGAAGATGCAGCATTAGAGACATTCACTTAAAGACGGACGAAAACAGGACAGTTTTCAACTTTGATTTGAAGGTTGGGGCACCTTTGAGTTCATAAGGAAGCTGATTCTATCTGTGTGCAGCATAGTTGCTAAAAGTAGCATCGCCCTGTTTGGTTCTGAACCATGGTACAACCAGCTGACCGCTTCCTAAAGATCTCAGAGCCCTGCTGGGCGTATGTACTGGAAGGAGATCCGACATGTACAGTGGGTAGTAAAGTATTCAGACTAGGGCTGGGTGATATGGCCTAAAACCAATATCATGATGCATTGAGGATTTCACCTCGACAACTATAAATGGACGATAACTACAGGTATGTGCAGAAACAAAAGTTGTCCACTAGATGGGGCTGTCACGTGTATTACGTTGAGTCACAATTTTACGTGACTCAAGATGGTACAGCTTCTTAAAGGGACATGAATGTTGCCAACCTACACACATCTTTTTAATTTTTTAATCAAATGTATTGACATGGGAAACATTTTCTCGATAAGAATCAGACATTTCAATAATGATAAATTTTAGATTTATTGCTCAGCCCTATTTCAGACCCCCTCCACTCCCACTTCCTATTTGAAAATTTCAACAAATGCTGTTGCCTGGCAGACCAAGAGGGTGGAGCCGCTAACAAATTCACACACACAGGCTCACAATGACATCGTGGCATCATAATGTACCAGCAAACGTCATAAGTGTACCTCTTAGCCAATAGCAATGGAAGATTTAAATTCAAATGTAGTGCAGAGTTTTTACCTGACGACGGTGCAACACTGACAGTTTTAGGCTGAATATTTAAGTTTTAACTAAGATGCACTAAAATGCCAAATTGTTGACTACACATGTCTACAGCACGATTAGCAAAAAAAAAAAAGTTGATTTGTATGACTTGCTCTTTAAATTCATTTTGTCCTCATTAATGTTCACACAGCACCCCATACTGACAGAAAAACATTTAGTTATTAAAGAAGAATTTTTGAAATATCACATGGTCCTAAGTCTTCAGACCCTTAGTTCAGTATTTAGCAGAAGCACCCTTTTGAGCTAATCCAACCATTCAAGAACAGTCACAGAAGCCCTGAAGCCATTCCTTCATTATTTTAGCTGTGTGCTTAGGGTCATTGTCATGTTGGAAGGTAGAAAATAAGTGACTTGTAAGTTTGTGAATGAGAACATAGTCACACTACTTCCACCTGTCTCTAGGACCAGGACCTGGGCGTTATGGACTTCCTCCTACAATTGGATTCATTGGTCATGATTTCACAAAATCAAGCGGCCCTGCATATTCTTTCCACGCCAGAACCATTAATACCAGTGAGCCAGTTCATTTTTTCCTCATTCATGTCCTGTTGTCCTTCATTAAGTTCAAACATTTACATTTAAAAGAATAATCATAAAAAAGCACAAATAAACTATTATTTCTGAAGGTTTATCAGCAAACAGCACATTGTTTTCTCGTGTGTATTCTTTCATAAATATGTTACGTTATAATGAACATCACTTTTTGTCAATGTATTTTTATGTAATAGGATTTATGAGCCACCAGGGGGCGACAAATCATGATTTGATATTACATAGTTTTTAATTTCCTTTCCATTCTTTCACCATCTTTAGTGTATTCCCTTGACTCCAGTCCAGGACCTCGTTATCGCATTGATCCAAAAATCACTCGATTTGGAAAGGATGGAGCACCTTCACATTCAATCTTGGGTAGAACTAAAAAAAGGGGTAGGATTTTCTTGTTAACAAGTTATCTTTAATACATTTTTGCTCCTGAGCCCCAAACTTGCATTTGATGAGAGTTAAAAGAAAAAAAAAAACATATCTAGCTGTTAGATTAGTCTACTCTCATTAACAGAAACAAAATTACAAATCTTAAAATAAAATAAAAATGTCTAATTTCTTTTTTTTAAAGAAAGAAAACAAATGTTTTCACTTAATATTTACCAGCTCAGTGGCCTAGTGGTAGAGTGTCCGCCCTGAGACTGGGAGATGAGGGTTTGATTCCTGATCGGGTCATACCAAAGACTTTGAAAAAATGGGACCCAATGCCTCCCTGCTTGACACTCAGCATTAAGGGGGTTGGATTGGGGGGTTAAACCACCAAATAGTTCCCGAGCGCGGCTGTGTCTGCAGCTCACCGCTCCCCCAGGGGATGGGTCAAATGTGGAGAACAAATTTCGCACACACACCTGTGTGTGAGACAACTAATGGGACTTTAACTTTATAGACACTTGATATTGACTTTAACAAAAAGGTCTAAGTTGAGGAGAATAAAATTTTATAGTGCAAGGAGCCAATGTCCACATGTGGATACGGGGCCCTAGGAGGTTAGATACAAGACTACTGGTTTTGAAAACAGTCTGTTTTCAGCTGTAATGACTGAAACTCACTGCTGATGTGTTGATCCGACATTAAACTGTCATTTGTTCTCCGGTCAACAGATGCGCTGTTCCACACTCCAGGACCTGGCGCTTACAGCCCCGAGAGAGCGCCACCATGCAACCTGCAGCGAAGACCCCCATCCTACACAATGGGCTCTCGTACACGCTACTGCAGCTCAGACCCAGTCCCTGCTCCTAACAAGTACAGTCTGCCTCCACTCCTCGGCTCTCGTGTACCAAACAAGCCGGCCAGTGCAAGCTACACCATGTCAGGTAGTTTCAGCAGAGGGGGACCATCCGTGGATTTAACCAAGACACCTGGCCCCTGCAGCTACAACAGCACGGACCCGAGTGTTTATCTTCCCCGGCAGCCTGCGTTTTCCATGTTGGGACGTCACAGCTTACCGAAAGATGACACCAAAAATCCTGGTCCTGGGACATATAATGCAGAAAAAGTCATGGCTCACAAGGCCCGAGCACCAGCCTACTCCATGGGCATAAGACACTCCGAATTTGTCACCCCACTTGTTATTGGTCCATGACAAACATCAGAAATATAAATCTATAACAAAAATAAAAATACACAAATATATAATCAATACTATTTTATTTTGTTCTTTTGGTAATATGTCAAATCAACCAACTCACTGGCAATTTTCTATCATCTAAAAAAATATATGTATACATCTTCAGCATAACTTTAACAAAAACAAAGACTCCATCTACAACATTTTGCTAGTAACATCCCCTTAGTAAATAAACCTTTATAAAATGTAAGTCAAAACATAAACTTCATGTTTTAGTCCACAAGGATTTACTTGCAGTTGAACCCAAGCAACATTTTTACTCTCATTACCTCAAAATACACAAACATAAAAACAATGGAGGGAATTTGAAAAAAGCACCAAACTAAGCAAGTACAGCCTTTCTATACAAGATACAAGAACACGTAAATACAAAGAGATTTATGAAGCAGCAACACAAACAAGAAAACAAATAAAAACACGTTTTAAAGGTGGTTTCCATTCATTCCTTAGTTAGAGGCCTTCTGAAAAGTAGTATATGTGGCTCTGGGGAGTAAAAGCAAAGCAGGCATGTGTCAGCTGCATATGAAATCAGAATAACCACATGTTTACATAACTGTCATGAAATGCATCTTTATACAGAGCGTTCGCTGGATAACTATAGAAAAACTTCATTTCTGTGAAGCTGCATTTTTAGGAACATCTGACTATTTGAATGATGCCTAAGGAAATATAGTCATGGTTAAAACATTGACAGACACTGTGACTTAAAATAGATCATAATCTGAGGTGAAGAAATTGAAAAAGAAAATAAATAAAAACACTGAACACTTATACTTGTTGGTGAGAAAATGCAAACAACTCAGGGATATATTGATAGATCAATATTTATTTAGCTAATAAACAGTCTGGATCTAAACTATACAATCTAAAATGTAACATTTGTGTAGTCTCTGTGTGTGTAACTATAACTTTTTTGAACAATGAGGGAACACGTTTGTAACTATTATACAATCACGAAATTAAATGCAATAACCATTCAGTTGCTATAACCATAACATAAACTTGAAGGACTTGTTTATATTTATGTTGATTTATTTTAGTTTGACCAAAGCTGGGGGGGGGGGGGGGGGGGGGGGGCAGTTTGATGGTTACTAACCTGGTTTGTGGATCATGTAGTGGATCCAGCCCTGGCTCTGTTGCACCCCCAGACCTCTCCATTCTTCTTCTGTCATCAAATGGGAGGTCGGCACCAGTTTGGACAGCTGCTTCGGGAGCACAACGTGCCTGTGGGGGGGCAAAAGCTCCTATAATGCATGTTTCTTCAGTTGTACCAAAACAAAACTGCATTTGATAGCCCTCTGAAAACAACGGTAACAACGGTGTTAGCATGGCTAGCAGCTAGCCAGGCGTTGTTTACGAACCGTGGTTTATGCAATAACACTAACATATTCTACCCGGTTACCGCTGAAGCTATATGGAAATAAAACTGGCGCCATGTTTTAAAAAGTTGTAGTGAGACACGGCGCAAAAAGAGAGGCGTTATATTGATATTTTGGACCAAACAGATAACTAATTTTGGAAATATTATGGATTACCTGTACTCGAACTCGTCGTCGTTGTACTTGTCAGAGTAGAAAATCTGTTTTTTCGACATCTTTTCCCAAATAAAATCCTGTTTTCGGAAAACCTCGTAAGCTTGGGTGAATTACTGCTCAACAAGCTGCTGTGAGCTGTCATATATGCCGCTGATTTCAAAACGCAACCGTTAGCCGCTGTCTCCTGATTGGTTAGGTTAGTAAGCACGTGACTAAACAAGATCGTCTAAACATGAGAAGATGAACAACTTGACTGCGAAATGCTAAAACTATCAAACATTTCGAGTTGCTATAAACGTGTGCGAGTTTGAAATGTGATACACTAAAATAGAAACGTAACTGCATTTCACAGCAGGGAAAATAAGCAGGTTTTATGGGAAGATAGCTGGAACCTGGTCGATTGCGACTTTTGGATTAAACAATTTGAAAGAAGTGGGAATTCTTTGCAATATAGGCTCATGCTTCAGACAGAGGCTGCAGCTAAAAGAACTTTTACATTTATATGAACACATCTTCATAATATTAGATTAAAGCTAAAATGTTGCTAATAATAACAGAGGGAGCACCCCACAAATCCAGAACTACTCCCAACCTATGGTTTGAACGCGTTTCTACATGATTTCTACATACATTTTTCTTTATAGAGCAACTTTTAGAATAAAATCTTTTTAGAAGAAAAAGAAAATATCTTTTCAATAGCGCCTCTCAAGATAAAAATCACGAGGCGCTTCACAAAAACAAAAAATATAAAAAAGAATTTAGAAAATGATTAAAAATATATTTTAAATGAGCAAAAAATAGACAATTGTGATTTAAAAAAATTTAAAGAAATAGAGAGTGCATAGGAAAGAGGGAAATCAGTGGATCCTGGGGAAGGTGGAATAGGTGGGGAGAGCAGAACAAGGAGAGGGTGATGAAGGTCACTCCAAAACCAGCTTGAACAGGTGAGTTTTCAGCTGCTTTTTAAAGGAGACCACTGAGTCCACTGATCTCAGGCTCAGGAGGAGAGAGTTCCAGAGTCTGGGGGCCACAGCAGCAAATGATCTGTCACCTTTGGTCTTTAGCCTGGTGCTGCACAACCAGTAGGCTTTGATCACTGGACCTCAGGGACCTGCTGGGGGTGCTAGGGACTGAGAAGATCACCAATGTATGATGGTGCTTGTCCATGTAAGGCCCTACAGACCAGAACCAGGATCTTGAAATGAACCCTGAAGTTGACTGGCAGCAAATGAAGCTGGAGGAGAAGCGGGGTGATGTGGGTGTGTTTGGAGGACTTGGTCAGAAGCCGAGCACAGGCATTATGAACTTTTTTACTAAACGATACACATTTTATAAACTAACAGGAATTTCTAATTCCATTGTTCATTTATGGCCAGATTTTTCCTGTAAATTAATTTTGGGAAATGCATTAACTACTTCAAGATCAAACACGTAACAGGAGTTCCTGTTTAAAATTTAATCCAACTACATTTTTAAGATAAATCTTTTAACTCTTATGTTGGAGTGTATTTATACAAAATGACCCTGTAAAATACTGTCACGTTTTATCACACTGGAATGATTGCTCTCTGTTTGATAATGTATTTACCAAATTCTTTTAAAAAATCAACAACTTTATTTTATTTTTGCTCTAACTTTAATAATTTCTTAGAATAGAATAGAATAGAATACTTTATTTGTCAATTTCTTCGAATGTGCTTGCCTTACAAAGGAATTAAAATTACGTTTCACACTGTCCCATGCGTAGATATTAGCATAAGTGCAGATGCACAACAATAACAAAAACAAAAAAACATCCCTAACAATAAGATAATATTAAACAGGTAAATATCGCTAATAATATACAAAACGTATAGCAGCAGGTGTGCGCAATTGCAATGCAGAGGTAGTTGTTTACAATCAGAAATGTTTACCCCGTTCTTGGTTCAACCACATTTATTTGCCAAATTCTTTTTAAAAATCAACAACTTTATTTTATTTTTGCTCTAATTTTAATAATTTCTTCAAGGAGAACTGGAAAAAACTGCATCAATCAACACTTATCGACCTCTTCTGGTTTATCAGTAATGTCTGAACAGTGACGCAAACAAACAAGAAGTTGTTTTCTAGTCTCCTTTCTTTCTAACCCTAACCCTTCCCAGCAAGAAGCCATTGGAAATCTTCATAAACAAGTTATTTTAAGGTGAGTGTTTGGTTCTAATAGGATTCTGAATTCTTTTTAGTTTCCATGGTTTATGAAATTGATTCTATTTCAATAAAATTTGATTGATATAAATTTGTTTTATCTCAAATAGAAAAACGTTGCATTATTCTGCCAATATTTTAATTAGCATAATTAACCCTGTCGCTTCAGTTAGGACAGTCCGGACATTGACCTGCTTTTTCTTCACAACAATATGGTCATTTCCCAATCTTTATATGCAGAAAATTCATGTTTGTGTTAAATTTTTTAAAATATGATTTCTTCCTTCTACTAGTGTGTCATATTAGACAAAAAGAAAAAGGCAGCAAATTCATAGATTTCTTTTTATATTCTTTTCTTTTGAGATTTTCTTTGTTTTAAAGATTTGTCCTGTGTTGCACAGCACGTTGTTATGTAAATCTATGAAAGGCGCTCTATAAATTCATTGTACTGACGTACTCACTATTGCACATCTTCCATATCATTATGACTACTGTGAGACGCTAATCCTACAGACTCTTTCAAACTTTAGATGGGTTGACGGAACAGTGCAGTTGATGAATGTAAACACCTGAATGTGCTGCTGCGCAGTGCAATTATGTAAAATGTAAAAAAGAGTGAAAATTGTTTGACAGGGGTACAAAAAAGGGGAGCGTGCAAGATAAGAGCTAAAAGGGTTGATGCTGGGGTGGCTGATTGCTCTCTTGGGAGGTGGATGAGAGGGAGGGGGAAAGAGAATGCAGGCAGATGGAATAGGATAGATGTTCCCCCTGTGTTGTTCCCTTTGTTGCGTCTTCTTCTCTTGCCTGGACCAGTGAGATTACACACTCATGCATTGACTCAAAACTACTTTAACTAATTGATAAGTCCTGCTCTGATTCTTGCTCTCTTTCATGATCAGCTGTTGAATTTCTGTATTCTAAAATAGCTACAGGTTATTGGTGTTGGACTTCAGCAGAACATGTGTTGTATAATTATGGCAATTTTCTAACACCTTCGGACACAGATTAGGAATTCTGCTGTGTGTTCTTTATATAGATGTGCAGGTGATCTGCAGAATGTGTGTGTGTGTGTGTGTGTGTGTGTGTGTGTGTGTGTGTGTGTGTGTGTGTGTGTGTGTGTGTGTGTGTGTGTGTGTGTGTGTGTGTGTGTGTGTGTGTGTGTGTGTGTGTGTGTGTGTGTGTGTGTGTGTGTGGGTGTGTGTTTTGAAGCAGGGTTGTATAAGCAGATGTGCCTCAGCGAATACAGTCAGAGCAGCTGGGCAGGGCAGGGCTAATGGGCCAATGACATCATCTACAGAGAAGGAGAGACAGCAGCGCTTGAGCAATGTAGCTTCGAGGGGAGAGAAAGAGAGCGGCCACGCTCAGATGGAGAGCAGAGCAGCATGACAGTGGGACAGTGCGTGAGCGAAGGAGGACCAGGCAGCGCTGAGCTGACTCCATCAAGGATTTAGGAAGATTTTCCATTTTGTTTCTTCTTCTCTTCCATCACACACCCCCTCCCCTCCCCTTCCCCTTCTCCCCCTTCCCCTCCATCCTCGGTCCATCCTGTGTCTCTCCTGCTTTAAGCGGCTCCACCGGGCATGCTCCTTAAGCCGAAGTATGGCCGCTTTCGCAACGAGTCTGTGACCTCCTCTGACGACCTGATGCAGAGCTTAACCATGAGCGGCAAAGTTGTGGCCACACCGGTGGTCTCCTCCTCTACTCCAAGCCTTCCTCTGCCTCCTCTACCTCCACTGCCTCCTCTAGATCCCAGCAGCAGGTCCTCCTCCTCTGCTGGAGCTGCAGCCTTGGCAGACTCCCCCTGCCTGGATGGGGAACAGGATGCCACCACAACTTTCTGCATGCTCATTCCAAGGATGCCTCAATGGAAGTTTTCCAACTCCCTGCTCAGCCGGAGCCCATCCAGCTCCAGCAAGGACTCTAACAAGGCAGCAGTTGCTCCTTCGCAGGCCTTAGCCTCTTCCTCCTCATCATCACACAGATCTGGAGGGGCATCCCATGCCAGCGGCCCCGTGGCCAGCCTTGCAGCCGTACTTAACTCCTGTGACCCTGTCTGTGTCACTCCCTGTTCCTTGCAGGCCATTCGTGGGCAGCGGGCAGTAGCAGCTGCAAGCTCTATAGGTCCAGGGGGACATGGATTTGGGGCCACAGAGGTCATGGTGAGCCCTGGTGGTCCCAGTTGCTCCCGATCAGGGATGAACCGCAGGACACGGGTGGAAGGCATGTGGCTGGGAGGAGAGGACCTCAACCAGAAGGGCAGCTTCATCCACAAACCCTCTCAGGGCTGGCTGCACCCAGACAAGAAAATCCTTGGACAAGGAGCTTCTTATATTGTCAGGGTAAGTCAGTGAGCATCGTTCTTTAGTGCATTCAGACTAAAGGTAATTAAACGCCTAATTTAAAAATGAAACAATTACTAAACACCTGTCGTTGCCTTTTGGGAGAGATCTGAGAACATTACTGACAATTTAAAGGCTTTTTCATCTGGGTGGAAAACAAAAACATCTCACTTGCAGGCGGTTTGTTACGCAGCCCTAGAGGAGACGGCAAGGGAATACATAATTTAATCCAGATAGATGGTCTGGGAGACTGCACCAGGGCAGCACACACACAGGGTGGAGAACGATAAATTATGAAAAACAATGCACACTGACAGTAGAAAACATTAGTTACATTTCTTTAAGCTAAAGATAGAATGATTAGCTCCTTGTCTGACTGAGCTCCCACATGGGAGTGGTTCCTCTCTTTGTGTGTTTTCTGAGATTGTTTGCTTTTATGTGTGCAGTGAAATGTAACCATTAACATGCTTCATTTACAAACTTGGATCATGTTTAAGAACCCGTGTTTCCTGTTTCCATGCTGAAGCAGAGGATTCACAGACTCCTGCTGCTTTTACAAAATAAATCTTTAGTTATTGATTAGAAGTCCAGAAGATCACTCTGTCTTTCGAAAAGATGTTCAGGATTATAAAGAAGCGGTCTGCTTGCTGTCAGCCTCTGATGTCCTCTCAGTGATCTCCCCGTGACTGTTCACCTCTTGCTCCCCCCCCCCCCCCCCCCCCCCTGCTCCTCATCCTCAAACTGATGACATGACTCTTGATTACTGCAGTCTGGGACCCAAGCACATTTTCTAATGACATTACGCAGGCAGCATTCATTCTTATATTCAATTATGTTTAATCGCAGTGATTTGCATCATGTGATGTGGAGGAGGAGGATGGATAAGTGTGGAAGAGGTCCCACCATCGGGACTCCTGTCTAACGATCCGATTGAGCTTCTCGCAATTTGTTGTCATCTTTTTAGGTGTGCTGTGAGCTTTGCAGACAACCTGTGAGAGAACGTGTTTGAGATGTGCAGTGTTTTGTGGGCCCCGTGCAGCTCGTGGTGAATCCATGCAGGGAGGAGCTTTTAAACAGCATGTTTTAGTGTCGGAGCGACAGCTGCTGCTGGACTGTGCCATTTTTAAGCAGTGTTGTGAGAGTCCGTCTCCCTCGCTTTCTTTCTGCTTCCTCAGTGTTGTTCATTCACACTCATCCATCTCTCTGCAGGGGAAGATGTCTAATGATTTTATATGTTTGGTGTCACTTTATATTTCTGCCTTGCATTTCTGATAACAGGAGCACTGTTATGAAATTAAAGAACATTAAAGGATACTTAGCACATTTTTCATATTTTTGAACCATTTTCTTGAGCCAGTATGTGTTAAAATGACCCTTTACATGGTTAATGAAAGGCCACCCAGCCCCTTAAACGGCATGTGGTCAGAATATTCCACTTGCAACTTCAGACTGGCAGGCTGCTCTGTTAGGACTTTAAGAAATTGAGCTGACGTACCTGGCGCTCCAATCTGGTTCCAGCACATTTCCTGCATGTTTTACATCATGAGTACAGCTGATGAATCACTCCTGTAGACACTAGGGCTGGTCAATAAATCGAAAATGTATCGTTATCGAAATGTCTGACTCTTATCGAGATAATTTTTCTCATGTCAATAAATTTGACAATAGAAAAATGAAAAGATGTGTGTCGTTTGGCAACATTCATGTCCCTTTAACAAGCTGTACCACCTTGAGCCAGGTATACAAATAACTCAACGTAATAAATGTGACAGCCCCATCTAGTGGACAACTTTTGTTTCTGCACATACCTGTAGTTATCGTCCATTTATCGTTATCGAGGTGAAATTCTCAATATATCGTGATATTGATTTTAGGCCTTATAGCCCAGCCCGAGGAGACACTAAGGCCCTGTCCACACGGGCCCTGTCCACACGTAGCCGGGGATCTGCCAAAACATAGATATTTTTCTGCGTTTTGGCCTGTCATCCACACAAAAACGGAGTTTTTTCACACGCAAACGGATCTTTTTAAAAACTCCGGCCAAAGTGAAAATCTGCGTTTTCTCCGTTTTGGGTGTCTGCGTGTGGACAGACAAAACCGGAGTTTTAAGGTCCGCAACGTCACTTTCCGCGACAAAAAAATGCTGACATCACGTGTGCGACCTGTGTTTACACTAGCCGACAGCATGGATGCCCTCGGAGCTGCGCTCGCTTTATCAATTGTCCAAGCGCTTTTTGCTTGTTTGTTTTTGAAAGCGGAATTACTGCTCCTTGCGGAAGACCACAGACGAAGGACGAGGTTAAGAACGGGGGAAGTACTGCCGCCTACAGGTCTGGCATGTCCTTAACAACGTATTTATCCGGGTACGTGTGGACAGTTTTTTTTTAAAACAAGGTGGTGTGGATGCAAGCTTTTGGAGGGGCGGATATTCGTTTAAAAAAAACGGCTACGTGTGGACTAGGCCTCAGAAATGTTGGGAGACATTTCAGCTGGTAGATTAAGGTGCTAAAAACACGAACGCACAGTGAGGAGATACACTTTGCTTTTGGTTCTACAACAGACACTAGGGGGGGCTAAAAGCAAGCAAAACTGCTTGGTCTCTGTTGTCCGGTCACCCATCAGTACTCACTGAGGTTTTTGTTCTGTAAGAGTAAAATTAAAGTGTCTCAGACAAATGCATTGAGTTTATTCCAGAGGCTAACAGTGGTTGATCTTAAAGAAGGAAGCCACATCAGACTTTGAGAAGGAGATACCTCCTTTATTTCATTTCCAAGGAATGTTTCTTGGAATAAATCAGCATCCCGGTCATAGGATTAGGTCGTTTTGGGCCAGAGAAGGGGATGTGTTTCATCAGCAGATTAGTGTGGGAGAGTAAGAGATGGAAAAAAGAAAAAAGGAAGAGTAATTTCACTGATGGAAGACCTCCCTCAAACCCAAATCTTATTAGAAAGCTCATTAAGCTCTCTGGCTCTGAGGTTGTTTTCTTTCTGTATCTCAGTCTGTGTAGCTGTTTGTCTCAGAAATATTCCTCGGAGAGAATGGAAAAGGATAAAATCAGTCCTGAGATGTGTTTTAGAAAAAAAATTACAAAACAGGGAAATCAGTTTTGTAAAAGGGATTATCTTCATTATGCTAATTCATTGGTATCAGCAGAGGCATGTATGTGCTGTCAATGTACAACAAGCAGGGTGTTACACACACACACACACACACACACACACACACACACACACACACACACACACACACACACATACACATCGTCATCATCATCATCATCTTCCCCAGAGGGCTCACAAGCTGCAGTGTGTCCACAATCTAGAGCTCTTGGCGATGCTAATCTAGTCAGGGTGCCATTAGCACCCAGATCTGACAGCCATTAGGAAGCCACTCAGCTAGAAGCTCACGCTAATGGGCCGTATTTGGATTCTCAGTTGGAATATTTGCTGAAAACATTCCTATTTACTAGTGTTAACCTCTAAAGAGTGTCTTTACAGGAAGACTCGATGCAAACATAACGTTTCTTTAAATAAAAACATAAAAAAAGCTCATCATCATTTTTAGGTCTTATTTTCTCAGCTGAAGTTGTACCTCCCACCTTCCAGAACCTTTACTGCTTTTTCTGTCTCTGTAGTACATGGGTTGCATCGAGGTGCTGAAGTCAATGCGCTCTCTGGACTTTAACACGCGGACTCAGGTGACGAGGTAAGCTAGTAACCATCGCTACTGACAGTGGTGACGAGTCAGGGGAATTTGATCTAACTGTGCTCTTAATACACACACCAGACAGATCTATGACTGCATTTAGAACACGTTTTATTTAGCACATAATGAACATGCAATAATAACACATTTTTGTTACAAATGCACAGTTAATGACACTTTTTGGTTTAAAAACCCCCAAAAAGTAGTTTTTTTTTGTTTTGTTTTTTGTAACAATGCAGTGTAGAATTAGAACACACACTGCAGGAGTTCACACTTTAAACTGTACCGGAGCTTCTCCGTGCACAGGTTTTTGTTATGTTTTCATACTACCACACGTGATGTTGTTGTTATAAAAGTCACAGCATACATACTTCTCCCTCTGTCTCCCCTCCCCTCTGTTTCTCACCCTTCTGTCTCTCCTCAACAATTATCGATCGTCTGTTATCTGAGTCGTCCGGGTATCCAAGGCCTAAGTGCAGCAGGACAGGGGTCGAGAGGAGGGGAGGGGGATGGAGCGATAGAGAGGGAGATCTATAATTGATGATGTTTTCTAATGACAGTAGAAAGCTGCAGTGGTCTATGTGAGCACGCCCTGCTGGATTATGTTTTTAGATGAAAGTTCTTGGCAGGGTGAGCAAACAAAACAGCAGCCATCTTTGCTTTGACAGGTGAAGTCAATCCTTTTGGCAAAATATTTTGCAAACCACTGAATGGAATTGAATGAAACCACCACAGCTAGTCAAAAAGGGCTCTAATTCAATACGTTTAACTCAAAACAAGCTAAAATTTCATACAGGGAGCTTAAGTCTCCTCCCTTTCCGGTCGGCTCATGGGTCCCCGGAAGAACGTCAAAATGAATGCAAGTGAACGGAAAAGCTATTTTCTAATCTGCTGTGCCTTCATCGACATATAAATATTGGACAATGGGTTTCCAGAGGCTCCAATAACACATTTTTGAGGCCAAATGGGAGGTGGCCACCACCGCCATTTTGACCGTGTCACAGGTTCCGTCAAGCCCAGACAATTCCACAAAAGGGAAGAGAGGTGGAGCTGAGGGTGGGGCTGTAAGGCTGGGATCGACTGACGACACCCGGTTGAACTAGCTACAAGCTAAACTGAAGCTAACCCAAAGCTAATGCAGAGGTGGGAGCTAAGCTAATGGAGGTAGCAACCTAGCTACAACCAGAGTTAACTGTGCACAACACCAGAGCTTCTGAGCAGTGTTGCCAACTCGGCGACTTTGTCACTGTTCCTAACGACTTTTGACCCCCCTCAACGACTTTTTTTTCCAAAAAGCGCCTAGCGACAAACTTAGCGACATTTCTCAGGACCCGTTGCTACTTTCTGTAGAACTTTCATGTAGATATTCCCTACAGATTAGCAACAAAGAAACCGTTTGCACTCTGAACCGTTCTTCCGGGAGTAAGGAAAGAGAACGATAATCTGCGCATGTGCACGAGGACTGACCAATCATAAACCGTTTTCGGCCGGTCTGATTCGCTGAAGCTGCAGAGCTGGAGACCGCCGATTTACGTCTGCTGCTTTCATATTGCTGCAGGCTCACGCTTCTACTAGAGACGGCGCGGGCGTCAACCTGCCATCTCTGGTTCTGCAGCCGTCAGACACTTTGGTTTTTCCTGCATTTGGCAAATAAAGTCATCGGGAGTTTCAACTACCGTCCCGTTTACACACGCAGCTCTGTGGCTCATCTGAATTTCCTTCAGTGACACAGGGATGGTTATACTATGAGACACCCGCTCCCTTTTGCTCGGAGCGCCGTTATTATCACGATGGAGAGAATACATAACAGAGAAGTTGAGAAACTATGAGGTGTAAAAAAACAGCTTTTTAGGAAAATGTCTGTGAGAATGAGGAGAGCAGGAGGTCTGAGTTATATCCTACAACAGAACTGTTTGGATCACCACACCATATCTGTTTTAATGCCACTTTATTGGTAGTTTTGGAATTTATTGTACATATCAAAGCAATTTGGGCCATTTTAATCATACTAATTAATAACTTTAACATATAACATAGTATTTATTTTCCTCCCTTTTAGTCCTATTATATATATATATATATATATATATATATATATATATATATATATATATATATATATATATTAGATGCCATAGAGAAAACGAACGCTAATGTGGCGTGATGACGTCATCAATATGTAAATAAGCACGTGCCGTCATCTGGCGACATCTAGTGACTTTTGGGGGGAACTTCAGCTACTTTCAGTCAAAAACAGTTGGCAACACTGCTTCTGAGTCAGAGATACGCCGGGCTGACCGCTGGGTAAAACCGGGTGGAACACAGAGGTCTCTGAGACCTCCACAAGCTGGCAGCCGCACAGCAGACAAGCGCCGCTGCGATCTGAGATGCGTAGAGCTGCCGCTGGGGAGAACCGGGTGGAAAGGTTTCCATCCCAGAGCTCCACAAGCCGGCAGCCCGCGCAGCAGACAGAAGCCGCAATCAGACAGAGATGCGCCGAGCTGCGGGGAAGGGAGAACCGGGTGGAAAACATTGGTCTCCCGAGAGCTCCACAAGCTGATAGTCGGAACCCAGCTCCACCAACATGTTATATTTCAACCCATTTTCTAAAGTGCAGCATTATGTTAAATGCACTTGGTTTACCCTATTACATTTAAATTTCATGGTTAAACAGTACATGTTAAAATCTAAGCTCAGCTCGGCAGTGACCTAAAATACATAAATATAATTTTACTTACCGAAAAAAATGAAGTGGAGACTCCTTGGACGCTCTATTAGTGCAATTAATGCCACAGCAAGTCATTTTGTCCAACAATTGCACAAAAAATATCCAAACAAGAATACACAAACACAGAGACTCAAAATGCCGGAGCAGTTTCCAAGCCAGACCGAGGCTCTACTGAGGCCTTTCCACGGAGCTAGCTCTGTGGTCACGTGGGTCTGATGCTCATTAATTATACAGAATTTTAGGCTTTTAAAACACTTAAACAGAAGAGTGAGAAAAATATTCACCCCCCTCAGAGTTGTCATGATCATTTAAACAAAAAACATGTTTTGGTACCAGGCTGTAAACTTGTTTATTTCTGCATTGAAATTGGTATTTTTAACATGGGAGTCAATGAGGATTTGCTTGCTTCTGACACCAGCCCCCAGTGGATGAGGGTGGAACTGCAATTTTTGGTACTTCCGGGTTGGACTCAATATTTGAGCCGTATTGTGGGGGCTTGTGTGCCTTACACCATTTATATGTTGTACTGCAATTTAAATGAAAAGTAATGATGGGGGTTTCGACCTCGCCTGTCACGTACTTTAAGATTTATCAGATTTTAAAGGTTCGTAATTAGCATGACTACAAATCAGCTGCTTCTTACCACATGGCTAGATTCATGGTAGGTTCTTTCCTCCTGAAGGAAGGATTTGAAGTTTGCTGAACTTACAGCCATTTGCCCTCTGTTTTACTACGTGTCAGGTTCCATGACGTCACTTTTGTAGTCCTGGACTCATTTTCACACAAAACCTAAAAAAATGCACGATCACGAGCCCTATTGTAGTTGTTCACAATAAAAAACCCAAGTTCTTGACGGATCACATGAGATGTGCTAGAATCTTTCAGCTAAAAAAACAAGAGGATCTCAGAATAAAGCAGCAGGTAATAAATACTTATTCAATGACTTCTAGGTTTTTAATGATTTTTGCATAAATACTTTCATGTGTAATTATCAACTTTTCTAGTCTTACTGTTCTCCGCCTCTTACAGCATTTTGTTTATTAGCACTAATACCATCTTCCTGATAACATCTTTATTCTTAGTATCACTCAGAGTTCAGACTGGACCTCAGCTTACACGCTGACTAATCGTGTCCCAGAGGACAAAAACAAACAGTTAAGCTGCTGTGAGAATTTCAGAAATGTTTTTCAGTTGGTGATCTGAAAATAAAAAAGGTGCTGTCTCACAACAGCACACTCTGTGTCATGCTGTTCAACAGCAACACTGGTGATAATGAGGCTCAGCCTCATGGTGCAGATACCAGCACTGCAGACAAAAACAACAACAGCAGCAGCAGCACGTCTCTCTCCTCCTCCCCTTCCTCTGCTTTTCTCATCTACGTGAGTCATTTGAACATGGTGATGCTTTTCAAAAATCCCTGAGAAGACCTTTACTCGAGCTGAGGCTCGGGACGTGGCTAGCTTTTAAATATTTACGAGCCACTTGATAAAGGCAGCTGAACTCTGATTGCATTCCTACTGTCCCCCTGGTAGGGAGCTCTTGAGCTACATCCTCAGGTCCACATGTCTCCATCCACCTACCCCACTGAAGCACACACACACACACACACACGCACGCACGCACGCACGCACGCACGCACGCACGCACGCACGCACGCACACACACACACACACACACACAGGTGGTGCAAACTAAAAGTGTCCACTAGGCATTCCCAGGAGCCGATTTATTGCAAAGCAGGAACAAAGTCTCAGTGGAAAACAAATGTAAACAACAGTAACAGTAAAAGCCGCTCATCCCGCTCCACATTCTGAAAAACACTCACAGAAAATGCTCTTCAGGAAGTCCAAAGCCGGATCAGATCTAGATAACCAGCCCAGAGGGAAAAGACTCACCTTTGAACTGTGACTTGTCACATTTGGACAAAATTAGACTTTTTGGAAATGCAGCAGTTTTTCAAATGTCAAATTTCTGTCTTGTTTTCATTGTTTCTGAACATCTGAAACATGCATTCTGATGCTAGGCTGGATGTAATCAGTGGCTGGTTCCCAGTCTGATTTGTAACTTTTACTTCCTTTTCCCAAACCAGGGAAGCCATCAACAGGCTGTGTGAAGCTGTGCCTGGAGGAAAGGGGGCCTGGAGGAAAAAGGTCCATTGCAAATTTATGATTTATGTCTGATTATTTGTAGCTCTTGCAGTTTTATTGTGTGCATTACTTAAAGGTGTGGTTCAATGAAAAACAATATTTTTAATTATCATTTCTGAGTTTCTCATGCAGGCTGAACATGAAAAGACTCTCCTACACCTATCTCCTGCATTAGCTTCTGATAGGAAATAGACACTGAAACTCTAGGATTTGAAAAACCTGACAGATCTACATCACACTGTCACTTAACATTCATGGACTCACCCATCTTGGCTCAGGGTGAGGAAGGCTGTTGTTGGTTTAGGGTCCAGGAAACAGCAGAGAATGTCTCTGCTAGTAGAAGCGAACCGTTAGCATTAGCAAATTTGCCACATGGCAGAACTCCTCCAGCCTTGTGTTATTTGTGGAAATAAAACATCTACGTTGTAGAGCAAACAGAGTCAGTGGCATTGCTGTTAGCCAATCAGAGGCGAGATGTCCGATTATCAGGAAATAACCAGAAGAGCTTTTTTGCCACATTTGTAAGAAATCACAATATTTGGAGATTGCTGCGGTAAAAAGAAATAAGCACTATTAAATAATAATATAGGCAATAATTAGATAAATGGCTAATATATACGAGACAGTGTAGGTACTGATCAGAGCAGAACAGTTCAGGTGCAAACACAACACAGGTGACTGAAACCAACCAGCTGGAGTAGGCAGTCTTATGATTGTTATTCATGAGTCCAACAGCAGAGGGGAAGAAATTGTTTTAGTGGTGAGAGTTTTTGGTCCGAATGGATCTGAACCTCCAGCCAGATGGAAGAGAGTAAAAAAAAACTGTCCAGGGTGAGGAGAGTCAGCTGTGATCCGACCTGCCTCAATGTCCTGGAGGTGTGCAGGCCCTGTATGGAGGGGAGTTTGTAGCCAATGACCTTCTCAGCAGAGTGCATGACACGCTGCAGTCTCTTCATATCCCTGGTGGTAGGAATACCACTCGGTGATTGAAGAAGTGAGGATGGCCTCGACTGCGTTGTCGATGGAATGTACTGGCAGGTTGAATGTCTAATAATGAGTAAGATTTCACATCCTGCCGTTTTCTGCTCCCCAGTCTTCTGGCTAACATCTACTACCCTGAAAGAGGAGCACCAGAGCTTTTATTCCCCAAAGGCATTCACTTATACTAGAGACCACTGCTAATGTATTCATTAATTAAGTGAACCACACCTTTAATACAGCTAAAATTCACTATATTATTTTTTTACCTTCAGACTGCAAACAAAGCTCTGCATTCAGTCATGGGGAAGAGTAACCTGCGGTTTGCAGGCATGAGCATCGCTGTCAACATTTCTATAGACGGGCTCAGTCTGCTCATCCCAACCACACGGCAGGTTAGGTTATCCTTAATAACCTCCACTTAGGGGCTAATTATCAATGTGTTTCAATGTTATTGCTGAAATGTTATCAATACCAGTCTTTAATGACAGTCAGTTATTTTTTATTTATTAATCAAGTGTTAAATCCATCCATCCATTTTTATCCGCTTATCTGGAGTCGGGTCGCGGGGGCAGTAGCCTAAGGCGAGAGGCCCAGACTTCCCTCTCCCCAGCCACTTGGGCCAGCTCCTCCAGGAGAATCCCAAGGCGTTCCCTGGCCAGCTGAGAGACATAGTCCCTCCACCGTGTCCTGGGTCTACCTTTAGGTCTCTTCCCAGTTGGACGTGCCCGGAAAACCTCACCGGGGAGGCGTCCAGGAGGCATCCTGACCAGATGCCCGAGCCACCTCAACTGGCTCCTCTCAATGTGGAGGAGCAGCGAATCCACTCCGATCTTCTCACCCTATCTCTGAGGGAGAGCCCAGCCACTCTGCAGAGAAAACTCATTTCGGCCGCTTGTATCCGCGATCTTGTACTTTCGGTCACTACCCAAAGCTCATGACCATAGGTGAGGGTAGGAACGTAGATTGACCGGTAAATCGAGAGCTTTGCCTTCTGACTCAGCTCTCTCTTCACCACAACAGACCGGTACAACGCCCACATTACTACAGATGCAGCACCAATCCGCCTATCGATCTCACGCTCCAGTTTTCCCTCACTCGTGAACAAGACCCCGAGATACTTAAACTCCTCCACTTGGGGCAGGACCTAATCCCTGACCCAGAGAAGGCATTCTACCCTTTTCCAAATCAAGACCATGGTCTCAGATTTAGAGGAGCTGATTATCATCCCAGCTGCTTCACACTCTGCTGCAAACCACTCCAGCGAAAGCTGAAGATCACGTTCTGATGAAGCCAACAGGACCACATCATCTGCAAAAAGCAGAGACCTGATCCTCAGGCCACCAAAATGGACGGCCTCCACACCTTGGCTGTGCCTAGAAATTCTGTCCATAAAGGTTATGAACAAAATCAGTGACAAAGGGCAGCCTTGACAGAGTCCAACTCTCACTGGGAACGAGCCCAACTTACTGCCGGCAATGCGGACCAAGCTCTGACACCGATCATACAGGGATCTAACAGCCCGTATCAGAGGGCCTGGTACCCCATACTCCCGGAGTACCCCCCACAGGGCCCCCTGAGGGACACGGTCAAACACCTTCTCCAAATCCACCAAACACATGTAGACTGGTTGGGCAAATTCTCACGCACCCTCCAGGATCACCCTAATGGTATAGAGCTGGTCCAGTGTTCCACGGCCAGGACGAAAAACATATTGCTCCTCCTGAATCTGAGGTTCGACAATCCGACGGACCCTCCTCTCCAGAACCCCTGAATAGACCTTACCAGGAAGGCTCAGGAGTGTGATCCCCTGTAGTTGGAACACACCCTGCGGTCCCCCTTTTTAAATAAGGGAACCACCACCCCAGTCTGCCAGTCCAGTGGGACTGCCCCCAATGTCCATGTGATATTGCAGAGCCGCGTCAGCCAAAACAGCCCCACAACATCCAGAGCCTTAAGGAAATCCGGGCGGATCTCATCCACCCCTGGAGCCTTGCCACAGAGGAGCTTTTTAACCACCTCAGTGACCTCAGCACCAGAGATATGAGAGGCCAACCCAAAGTCCCCAGATTCTGCTTCCTCACTGGAAGACGTGTCGGTGGGATTGAGAAGGTCTTCGAAGTATTCTGCCCACCGATCCACAACGTCCTGAGTAGAGGTCAGCAGCACACCGTCCCCACTATAGATAGTGTTGGTAGCGCACTGCTCCCCCCCAAGGCGCCGGATGCTGGACCAGAATCTCCTCGAAGCCGTACGGAAGTCTTGATCCATGGTCTCACCGAACTCCTCCCATGCCCGGGTTTTTGCCTTGGCAACCACCTGAGCCGCTTCCTGCATGGACTGCCGGTACCCGTCAGCTGCCTCTGGAGTCCCACAGGCCAAACAGACCTGATAGGACTCTTTCTTCAGCTTGACAGCATCTCTAACCGCCGGTGTCCACCAGCGGGTTTGGGGATTGCCACCATGACAGGCACCGACGATCATGCGACCACAGCTCCGGTCGGCTGCCTCAACAATGGAGGCACGGAACAGGGTCCATTCAGACACAATGTCCCTCGCCTCCCCCGGAACATTTTGGAAGTTCTGTCAGAGGTGGGAATTGAAGCTCCTTCTGACAGGAGACTCTGCCAGACATTCCCAGCAGACCCTTGCGATACGTTTGGGCCTGCCTGGTCTGACTGGCATCCTCCCCCACCATCTGAGCCAACTCACCACCAGGTAGTGGTCAATTGACAGCTCCGCCCCACTCTTCACCCGAGTGTCCAAGACATGCGGCCGCAGATCAGATGAAACAACAACAAAGTTGATGATCGAGCTGCGGCCTAAGGTATCCTGGTGCCAAGAGCACACATGGACACCTTTATGTCTGAACATGGTGTTCATTATGGACAATCCATGACTGGCACAGAAGTCCAATAACAAAACACCACTCGAATTCAGATCATCGGGGCCTTTCCTCCCAAACAAACCTCTCCAGGTCTCACTGTTGTTGCCCACGTGAGCGTTAAAGTCCCCCAGCAGAACGAGGGAGTCACCGGAAGGAGCGCTTCCCAGCACCCCCTCCAAGGTCTCCAAAAAGGGTGGGTAGTATGAACTGTAGTTTGGTGCATAAGCACAGACCACAGTCAGAACCCGTCCCCCCCCCACACGTAGGCGGAGGGAGGCTACCCTCTCATTCACTGGGGTAAACCCCAACGTACAGGCACCAAGATGGGAACAACTAGTATGCCCACCCCTGCTTGGCGCCTCTCAGTGGGAGCAACTCCAGAGTGATAGAAAGTCCAACCCCTCTCAAGGAAACTAGTTCGAGAGCCAGAGCCATGCGTTGAGGTCAGTCCGACTATATCTAGTCGGAACCTCTCAACCTGACACACCAACTCAGGCTCCTTCCCCACCAGAGAGGTGACATTCCATGTGCCAAGAGCCAGCTTCTGTAGCCGAGGATCAGATCGCCAAGGTCCCCGCCCTCGACTACCACCCGTCACACACTGCACCCGACCCCTTTGGCCCCCCCACAAGTGGTGAGCCCATGGGAAGAGTGTTAAATAATAAATCTGAGGGGCAGACTGAAAAAGAGTAGAAGCCCTTATGTGTCCTTTTGTCTTGCTTTCATTTTTTAATAATTTAGGATGAAAAATGTGAGATAATTATAATAAAATAATGTTATAAAATGTTTTAAAATAAAAGATCTATTAGTTCATTTTTCCTTTAGGCTCATACTTCAGTGTTGTTATAATTGCATTAGATTTTTTTTCTACTTTTAATCAGAATGTAGTTGATTTTAACCCTGTGTTTTTATTAATGCCTTGTGCATCATTTATTCTTTCTGCAGCACACCTCGAATGTTCTGCCAAATTATAAATAGAATTTAAATGGATTTTCTCTTTTAGGTTATAGCACACCATCCCATGCAGTCCATCTCTTTTGCCTCTGGAGGAGACACCGTAAGTGTTTGAAACACATCAGTCAGCTGCAATTTATTTATTTAATCTGGAGAGTTCCAAATTTATACCCAAACAAGTTAATATAATTAGTTAACCACTTTTTCCTTTCTTTGGTTTTATTTACCATCCTGCATCCTGCAGGACACGCCTGATTATGTTGCATATGTGGCCAAAGATCCAATAAATCAGAGAGGTAACTTCCTTCACATTGTCCATTTCATAATAATAACTAAGTAAATCTTATTTCTGTAACACTCATAACAAAAAATCACAAAGATCAACAAAACAAATCATGAAGTTACAAAATGATCATTAAAAACAGAAGTACAAAATATCATTAAAGATAAATAAAATCTGAAAACACAAAAGATTGAGTAAAAGCAGTTTTAAATGAAAGTGTCTAAGGGATAATGTGTATTTAAAAGGTGTTCATGAAGCACATGTTTCTTTCTCTCTGGTGTTTAAATGATTTTTTCCAGCATGTCACATCCTGGAGTGCTCAGATGGTTTAGCCCAGAGTGTCATCAGCACCATCGGGCAGGCCTTCGAACTGCAGTTCAAACAGTATCTACACAGCCCTCCTAAAACCATGACGTCTACAGAGAGGTAGGAAAATCAGGACCAATGAATGTCCTGATTTGATTTTTAAACTTTATTTACTCTAAATTGGACTTGATTGGCACTTCGTTGAAAGTAAATGTTGTTTTCATACAAAACAACTGTAATATTATTGTGGGTCCGCTATGGACAGAAGTCTTGTCCTTGTCAGAACCTTCCAATAACCACCAGACACTAGTGCACAATAGCAATTCTTTATTTAAAGACACACAATTATCATGCTGCAACAAGCACCAATAAAAACTATCCCTCCCCACTAAAACACCCCCATATAAAATAAGCAGCACACTTATCTAGTCAGTCCATTGCGACCCTCTCCCGGGGTCAAAGCTCCAGCGCCGTCCAACGCCCCGGGAACTAACGTCGTTGGCGGCGGTTGAATCCTCCGGCCTGGCCGCGGCGCCCTCTGTGTCCCGGCCCTGCCTAACTACAGGAGGCAGCTGGCCTCCCCTCCTCTCACCGGAACACCTCTCCTTTCGCTGGCTATCTTCGCCGCTGGCAGCCCTAAACAGCTGCGATCGGCACCCACCCCCCGTCACCAGGGCTCCGCGTCCGCTCAGGCAGTCCGACTGTTCTCCCAACCACGAGCCTTCCCCTCCCCAGTTTTTATCTCTTCCCGTGTCCTCATCAGTGCCCTAATACATCACACCTGGCCCTCGAATGTTAACTCCGCCCTCTTCACGCCACATAACTGATTAAAAGCAACTAAACTGCATCATATAGGAATAATTTACAAAAATGCTTTTTAAATGATTTTCAAGAGGAAAAAAAGCTACACCAACACACCTGTAATTATGGTGGAAATTAATAATGAATAATTTGGACAAACATCCCCTAACAAAGTCCTCAGAAACTTGATCTAGTCTCATGATCTCAGGTTTCTTTGTTTATTCTTCAAAAGAGACATTTGAAGGTTTGTTCTTGTAATACAAAACCATAGAACTTTAGACGGTACGAATATTACTTACATCATTATTTTATTGTACCAAAAAAATCACTAACATGGAGTTTTATTAAGACTTTAAGCTCTAAAATCTTCTCTATCTTCTCTTCTATGTCCTTCTCATTTCAGGTCGGTGAGGCTGGAGGAGCCAGTGTGGGGGGAAGACTTTTCTGAGCATGATTACTATAATAGCATCCCAGGGAAGGAGCCTCCTGTTGGAGGCCTCGTGGACTCCAGACTCAGGCCCACTGGAGCCCCCCTGGGTCACATCCACACACAACCACAGAGCAAAACAGCATCTCAGGTGAGCATCTTGGACCAAGATCAAGTCAGGTCACAAAAACAAGGAGACCTGCCTCTCTCTTATTATAGTCTCACTCATTGCTCTCTGTGCTATTTTAACAGAATTAAAGGGATATTCCACCCAAAAATGAAATTTTGCTGTTATCGTCGTCTTCCTCCGCTTCTCCGGGTCCGGGTCGCGGGGGCAGCATCCCAACTAGGGAGCTCCAGACCGTCCTCTCCCTGGCCTTCTCCACCAGCTCCTCCGGCAGGACCCCAAGGCGTTCCCGGACCAGATTGGAGATGTAACCTCTCCAACGTGTTGTGGGTCGACCCGGGGGCCTCCTGCCGGCAGGACATTCACAAAACACCTCCCCGAGGAGGCGTCCAGGAGGCATCCTGACCAGATGCCCAAACCACCTCAACTGGCTCCTTTCGATACGGAGCAGCAGCGGTTCTACTCCGAGTCCCTCCTGAATGTCCGAGCTCCTCACCCTATCTCTAAGGCTGAGCCCGGCAACCCTACAGAGGAAACTCATTTCGGCCGCTTGTATCCGCGATCTCGTTCTTTCGGTCATTACCCAAAGCCCATGACCATAGGTGAGTATTGGGACGTAGATCGACCGGTAGATCAAGAGCCTGGCTTTCTGGCTCAGCTCCCTCTTCCCCACGACAGATCGGCTCAGCGTCCGCATCACTACAGAAGCCGAACCAATCCGCCTGTCGATCTCCCGATCCCTCCTACCCTCACTCGTGAACAAGACCCCGAGATTCTTAAACTCGTCCACTTGAGGTAGGACCTCTCCCCCGACCCGGAGTTGGCAAGCCACCCTTTTACGGTCGAGAACCATGGTCTCAGATTTGGAGGTGCTGATCCTCATCCCAGCCGCTTCACACTTGGCCACGAACCTACCCAGCAAGAGCTGAAGGTCAGAGCTGGATGAAGCTAGGAGGACCACATCATCCGCAAAAAGCAGTGACGAGATTCTCCTGCCACCAAACTCGACACACTCCACACCACGGCTGCGCCTAGAAATTCTGTCCATAAAGGTAATGAACAGAACCGGTGACAAAGGGCAGCCCTGGCGGAGTCCAACCCTCACCGAGAACAGGTCTGACTTACTACCGGCAATGCGGACCAAACTCACTCTCCTCTGGTAAAGGGACTGAATGGCCCTTAACAGAAAGCCACCCACCCCATACTCCTGGAGCGTCTCCCACAGGGTGCCCCTAGGGACACGGTCATAAGCCTTCTCCAAATCCACAAAACACATGTGGATTGGTTCGGCAAACTCCCATGCCCCCTCCATCACCCTTGCAAGGGTATAGAGCTGGTCCACAGTTCCATGGCCAGGATGAAAACCACATTGCTCCTCCTCAATCTGAGATTCAACTAGCGATTGGACCCTCCTCTCCAGTACCTTGGAGTAGACCTTTCCAGGGAGGCTGAGGAGTGTAATCCCCCCATAGTTGGAACACACCCTCCGGTCACCCTTCTTAAAGATGGGGACCACCACCCCGGTCTGCCACTCCACAGGAACTGCCCCCGATGACCACGCAATGTTGCAGAGACGTGTCAACCATGACAGCCCTACAACATCCATAGCCTTGAGATACCCAGGATGAACCTCATTCGCCCCCGGGGCTCCGCCGTTGTGTGGTTGTTTGACTGCCTCAGCAACTTCTGCCCCAGAGATTGGACAGTCCATCCCCAGGTCTCCCAGCTCAGGTTCCTCCTCGGAATGCACATAGGTGGGATTGAGGAGCTCCTCAAAGTATTCCTTCCACCGTCTGACTATAGCCCCAGTTGATGTCAGCAGCTTCCCATCCCCACTGTAAACAGTGTGAGCGAGTTGCTGCCTTCCTGTCCTGAGGCGCCGGACAGTTTGCCAGAACCTCTTTGGAGCTGATCGATAGTCTTTCTCCATGGCCTCACCAAACTCCTCCCACTCCCGAGATTTTGCCTAGGCAACTGCCACTGCTGCACCCCGCTTGGCTATCCGGTACCTGTCTGCTGCCTACGGAGACCCACAGACCAGCCACGCCCTGTAGGCCTCCTTCTTCAGCCTGACGGCTCCCCGAACCTCTGGTGTCCACCAGCGGGTACGGGGGTTACCACCACGACTGGCACCGGCCACCTTGCGACCACAGCTAGCAACAGCCGCCTCAACAATTGCAGAGTGGAGCAAAGCCCACTCTGAGTCAATGTCCCCACTGCTCTCGGGACGCGGTCCAAGCTCTGGCAGAGGTGGGAGTTGGAGACCGTCTTAACAGGTTCTTCTGCCAGGCATTCCCAGCAGACCCTCACTGTGCGTTTGGGTCTGCCAGGTCTACGCAGCATCTTCCCCTGCCATCTGATCCAACTCACCACCAGGTCGGGATCAGTTGACAGCTCCGCTCCTCTCTTCACTCGGGTGTCCAAAACATACGGTCACAGGTCAGATGATACGACTACAAAGTCTATCATCGACCTGCGACCTAGGCTGCCCTGGTACCAAGTGTACCGCTGGGCATCCTTATGTTCGAACATGGTGTTCGTTATGGCCAAACTATGGCTTGCACAGAAGTCCAATAACGAAACACCACTCAAGTTCAGATCAGGTGGGCCGTTCCTCCCAATCACACCCCTCCAGGTCATGCTGTCATTGCCCACGTGAGCTTTGAAGTCTCCCAGCAGGACAATGGAGTCCCCTGATGGAGCACTATCTAGCACTCATCCCAGGGACTCCAGAAAGGGTGGGTACTCTGAACTGATATTTGGCCCATACGCACAAACAACAGTCAGGACCCGTTCCCCGACCCGAAGGCGCAGGGAAGCTACCCTCTCGTCCCCCGGGGTAAACTCCAACACACAGGCAGAGAGTCTTGGAGCTAACAAAAAGCCAACCCCAGCCCTCCGCCTCTCACCCAGAGCAACTCCAGCAAAGGAGAGTGTCCAACCCCAATGTCCCAAAAACCAGTTTTCTTGTCCGGGGATCTGACCGCCAAGACTCCCGCCTTGGTCTGCCACCCGATCCACATTGCACCGGACCCTTCATGTTCCTCCAGCAGGTGGTGGGTCCACAGTTGGATGAGCCCATATATCTGGTTTGGGCTGGGCCTGGCCGGGCCCCATGGGTGAAAGCCAGGCCACCAGGCACTCACTCACGGGCCCCAACCCCATGCCTGGCTCCAGGGTGGGACCCCGGTAACCTTCCGGGCCGGGTACTCCGACTCTTTGTTTTAACGTCCATGAAAGATCCTGTGAACCGTTCTTTGTCTCACCCTTCACCTAAGACCAATTTGTCATGGGAGACCCTACCAGGGGCACAAAGTGCCCCAGACAACATAGCTCCTAGGATCATTAGGGCACTCAAACTCCTCCACCACGATAAGGTGACGGTTCAAGGAGGAGAAATTTTGCCTGTTGACATATTTCCCAGAGTTAGATAAGTGGGATAAACTTATTTTTAACCAGCCTAGTCATTCTCCTGATCCAGCTGTACTCCTATAGCTTAGCATAAAACACAGTAAGTGGATGCATCCAGCTAGCGTTGTGATTAAAAAAAATTCCTGAAAAATGGTATGTAACTGTATAGAACCCTCTTTGGGTTTTACAACCCCCCAAGGCACTTCACAACACAATCAGTCATTCACCCATTCACACGCTGGTGATGATGAGCTACGATGTAGCCACAGCTGCCCTGGGGCGCACTGACAGAGGCAAGACCTGGGATACATTGGTGCCTCTGGTCCCTCCAACCACCTCCAGGAAAAGTACTCAGCAGTGATCCCAATTCACACACACACACACACACACACACACACACACACACACACACACACACACACACACACACACACACACACACACACACACACACACACACATTTGTGCAGGAGAGACTGGAGCTTGTGTGTGTGTGTGTGTGTGTGTGTGTGTGTGTGTGTGTGTGTGTGTGTGTGTGTGTGTGTGTGTGTGTGTGTGTGTGTGTGTGTGTGTGTGTGTGTGTGTGTGTGTCTTATGACAATTTGTCTGTCTGCATCTGTGTTTACAGAAGCAGGTGTCTTTGGGGCTGCCTTGCACCTTTTAGCGGAGGCTCACAGCTGTGCTTTGTCATAAAGTAGTCCCAAGTCTAAAATGGTGCCTGTGATTCATTTATGTTACTTATTATTTTCACTTGTTGTCAGTCTGATTATTTAGGTCACCAAGCAGAATTATGATCACTACTGAGTGATTTTAAGAACGTTTTTACTCACAATGCTAGTTGGATCCATTCACTTACTGTGTTTTATGCTAAGCTAAAGCTAAAGGAGTACAGCTGGGTCAGGAGGATGACTGGGCTGGTTAAAGATTGTTTTTATCCCACATATCTATCTCTGGCAAATATGTCAACAGACAAAATTTCTATTTTGGGTGGAATATCACTTTTAAAGCATAGGAGGATGTTTTTTGAAATGCCTGTGCTGTAACAGCAAAAGACACGTCTTAAAAAGCTTGCAATGTTGACTTGCTGTTACTAGCGTTTCCATACAAAGTGCTTCGAAACTGCATTATGCAGAGATGAGAATTCTTTATGAGGTTGCAGAGATGCAGATGTCTTCATGTTGTGTTGTTTGGGTGTGGTTAGCAGATGGGATCCCCAGCCAGGAGGGAGCAGGCCTCTTACCAGCCTGGACAGCTGTGTTATGAGCTCCACTGGGACACCTGCGGCTCAGGTGAGGCACCTTTTGGAAGGAGGTCTCCACAGCAGGTCACCCAATGGTTAACCCTCAGGCTCAAAATAAGTTTTGATAAAAGAACGAACAACTAAGTCCTTCAGGGGTACTTCTGAGTAAAAAAAAATGCTCATGAAATACGTACAGTATGTCGAGTAACCAGATAGGTAGGTTTTAACGTTGCAAATCTGCAACGCCTGCCTCCAGAGGGTTAAGAATTTTAAAAATGCTCTTTATTAGAGACTCGATGTGTTCATTTTCTATGAGATTCTGATGTTTTTAAGTTTGTTTGTTTTCCTAAATTAGTTACATATGAATTGAATTGAACTGAATTGAATTCTTTATTGCCATTATGCATACACATAACAAAATTATGTTGGTAGCTCTCAGCTTAAAGGGTACTAAGACCACAAATAGAATGATAAAAACATGAAGAGTAAAAAAAAGAACAATACATAACCTTCCCTTTAGGGAGCCATACACACACTTGAGTAAAAAAGCGGAATCATTTAAAAGATATAAAAGATAAACGTTGCGCTGACTGGTATTCTGATCGTACTGATCGACATGTTGATTGATATTATTGCACTGCTTGTTATTGCACATAGACGATTCAAGTGAACAGGACAATAGCAGCATGAAAAAACAGGATCATTGTAAATTACAACCAACCCATCATTAAAATTCTAACAGTCTCATGGGTCATTGGTTGGGAGTGTAGGTATCTGCAGGGTCACAGAGGTGGGGGGGGAGGATGACGGTGGAGAATGACTGGGGGGGGGGCTTTAACAGCTCTAGAGAAGAAGCTGTTCCTCATCCTGGTGGTTGTGGCCTTGATATTCCTGTAACGTTTCCTGGATGGTGGCGGCATAAACAGTTTGTGACCTGGATGGAAGGAATCAGCAGCGATACAGTTAGCCTTCCTTTGTAGTCGGATGGTATATACTGAGTCCAGATCTGGTAGTGGGCTCCCCACGATCCGCTGAGCAGTTTTCACCACCCTGGCCATGTCTTTTTTGTTCTGGACGGTACAGCTCCCATACCACACCGTCATTCTGAGTGATAGGATGCTCTCAATCGTGGCTCTGTAGAAGTTCTTTAGCAGTTGGGGGGAGAGACCGGCTCCCTTCAGTTTCCTAAGGAAGAAGAGTCTTGGCTGGGCCTTCTTTACCAGAAAGGAAGTGTTCAGTGATCAAGTTAGATCTGAGGTGATGTGGATGCCCAGGAATTAGATGTTGTCTACACGCTCTACCAGCTCCCCTCAAATGAGTAGAGGTGGGTGTTCTGTCCTGTTGAACCTCCTGAAGACCACTATGACCTCCTTGGACTTACTGGCGTTAAGCACCAGGTTGTTCAAAGAACACCACTGAGTGAAGTGCTGTACCTCCTCTTTGTAGAGGGTCTCATCGTTGTTTGTTATGAGACCCACTATGGTGGTGTCATCTGCAAACTTCAAAACCATGTTTGAGGGGTGGAAGGCTGTGGAGCCTGGATATTTTTTTAACTGTGTTGTGGAACATTTCTGGTAATTACTGCACTTTCTGGTGGGAAAAAAAGATTTACTTCACAACTTGCAGAAACAAGGTTTTGCTGTTTGGCGTGTTCTCGGAATCACATTAATAGGATTAGAATTTCTGGGAATGTGTCAGATTTTCTCTCATGTTGTGTAATCTGTTATTTCTAATGGAAAAGAAGCAAAATGCATCTTCCCGATTTTAATTAACTCTTTTGATTTGTCAAAAATGGGGGAAATGGTTACATAAAAGGGTTTCATAACATTTGAAAATGATGTACATGTGTGCTTGTTGCTCAGGATATATATATATATATATATATATATATATGTGTGTGTGTGTGTGTGTGTGTGTGTGTGTGTGTGTGTGTGTGTGTGCGTGTGTGTTCAAAAGATCCCTTCACGACATTTTCAAAATTGCACAAATCAAACTGTAGAATTCAGATTTATATAGTCACAATTTTAAAAGGGTTTAAGGGGAACCTCAGGCACTACACTTATTCAGCAATTCAGTTATTTCACCAATTATCTCTAATTGCATGATTTACTTAGGTTGTAGTGGGTTTAAAGTAAAACATTTCAAAAGGTATAATCTGCCTGCTGAAGTGGCTAAAGTAAAAAATAAATATGAAAATAAATATGAAAACATTCTATTGTACTATTGCACAAGAATGCAGATCAGAATTCATCCAGCTTGAGGCGAGAAATGTTCTTGAGCTGTTGTTTTTTTTCTCTGATGTCAGATGGTTATCTGTGTGCTGATGGTCAGCCTTCAGGCAGCAAAGACTACGAGGAGCACCAGTACGTAAACACCCAGAGTCTGGAGAACCTTGAATCTCTCACACAGGGTGCAGAGGGACACAAAGGGGCCAAGGCACATGACAGTCCCAAAAAAGACCTTTTTGACATGAGTGAGTGCTTTAACAATAAGCGTATGTAAAAATGAATAGAAAAACCGCAACAAACTAATAAAATCCAAAAAAGGCAGCTGGACATGTTTGGTTTCTAGAAAACTTTTCGCTTCTCATTTCCATCAATTCTGACTGGAATATGGGAGAGCCAAACTTTTAAACTGTAGCTGTCTTTTGTTGCTAAACTGCTGGCTGTTTCCTGATCAGAGAGCCCCTGGCTGCAAGCGTTTTTGAGCGCTTGTAACTGTTTTTTGAAGAGTCACAGAATATTGTGCTCTATGACCACGTAAATACCAAAACTACCAAAAGAAAGAGTAAACTCACTTCTTACATCTGGAATAATCAGCATGTTTTTAGCTTTTTCTGTTCTTTCACAATCTGTTGTCGTAAGTGTGAGCTGCAGCTTTTCCATCCCAAAACGACTTCCTCATACCTGATCATGTGATGTGTGACACATACAGATGTACGTAAGTCAACTTTCGAGCCGTGATGTTTACTATCAAGGTGAGCAAGCTCGCTCCCAAGCTCGCCCCATTAAAAACACTATTGACAAGTTTAGGCAGCAAGCAGTTGGATTTAAAATGGCGACTTTAGTCGTCAGTGGCAGTGAATGAGTTAAGAAGCAGAAACACCCTCTGAATACCCCTCCTCCCCACCTCCCAATAAGTCGTTAGGCTCTATTGTGTGAGAATGGTTGTTTTGATTAGCAGCAGGATGTGACCTAGACTGAATTAGGTTTAGAGCTGCATTATAAGTACTGGAAAGGTGAAACCTGAATCCTCCTCCTTTGTTGAATGTAGGATTTTCCCATTTGACATAGATAGCTTATTTTATTCCTCTCTCAAAACATCTAACTACTCTGTCCAGAATGTGTCCCTTGTCCTTCAGGTGTAGGTGGACTGCAGAGTCTTGACCTGATGAGGTGGCTCTCCTGTGCTGTGCCATGCGCTTGTGTAGTTGTTGTTTAGCTTCCCCAATGTAAAGATCTGGACATTCCTCACTACATTGGACTGCTTAAACGATGGCACTAAGCTTCTGTTTGGGTGTTTTGTCTTTTGGATAGACCAATTTTCTTGCTTGACTCCCATATTCCAGTCAGAATTCACAGAGCTCCTCGGATGAGAAGCAAAACGTCTTTAAGAAACTAAAGAAGTCCAGTTGCCTTTGTTCAAATTTCTCTATGGATTACCATGACCTGCTTGACTTAGTGCCATCACCAGCATGTGTTTATTAAACATTGTATCTGCAGGACCTTTTGAGGATGCGCTGAAGCTTCACGAGGCCTGTGGTGGAGCTGTTGGGTCCAGTGTACCAGGAGGTGCTGGCTCTCAGGTGGGAGGTGTTCGAAACTTGGAGGACCAGTGGCCCAGTCCACCAAGACGCAGAGCTCCCGTTGCCCCAAACGAGGAGCAGCTCCGCAGGGAGCCTTGGTACCACAGCCGCATGAGCCGACGAGATGCAGAGAAGCTTCTGGTCCGGGATGGAGATTTCCTCGTCCGGGAGAGCACTACCAACCCTGGCCAGTATGTGCTAACAGGCATGCACTGTGGCCTGCCCAAACACCTGCTGTTAGTGGACCCTGAGGGAGTGGTGAGTCTGTCAAGTTTAAATGTTTACACATATAGTTCTTTGCCAATGTGTTCAGTTAAAGAACATAATTCTGTTTTTATTTTGATAAAGGTCCGGACCAAAGACATGTTGTTCGAGAGCATAAGCCATCTTATATCCTACCACCTGAAAAACGAGCTGCCGATCGTGGCAGCAGAAAGTGAACTTCATCTTAAACAGGTTGTCAGGAGAAAACAGTGAGACGCCTGGCTCTGCTTGGACGGTGAGTTCCAGAATTATGTGTTTAAATGCAAATAATTTGCGTGGTGAATTTATCAACTCTAAAAATATATCAAGCTTCAAACCAAAAACGAGCAGCTCCTTTCAGCTTTCATTCTATTTTTGACCAATCAGCTATTCAGTCATAGAAGACTTAGGTTTTTAGAGACATGAAGGAATTAAACTAATGTTATGTTTGGAACATTATCACATGCATAAATTCTCTATATTAAAGGAGTACTATGTAGTTCTGGCTTGCTTTTAGCACCCCTAGTGTCCGCTACTCAAAGCAAAATTGGAACTCCCAGCGCTGTTTGTTCGTCATTTTAACACCTAACCCCCAAATTCCACTACCTCCGCTCCGCTCCGGTCCGCCCCCGCCTTCCGCAGCCGCTCGCTTCCAAACTCAATTTTACTGGTACCCGCTCTACAACGGCTCCGCTCCGGTGCTGAGACCTGAGGAGAGCAAACAAGCATGCGCGGGATTTTCGAGATCTTGCGATACAGTCCGAGCAATAAACGCGGAAGTTAGATCCAAACACCCGTTGTGTGGGAGAAGCATCGGCATGAGCTGTTTAATCTGCCTATCATTTGTGTTGAGAGATCAGCAATGTTTGGATCAACAAAGTGTGACTACTTTGATAGTGGAAACTGTATTTATGGCTTAATTTTGTGCATTTAAACTTCAGCCGCCATTGATAGTGGTTAAAAGTTGTTAAATATGTGCATATGAAACAAAAAACGCCTTTTGTTTATCGATTTATTGTGAAATATGGAAATTGTGCTTGCTCCTTTTCCTGTTGGGCGGTTGTGATTTCTGTCCATTTACTGCGGAGGTGCTCTGGCGTCCGGCGAAAATAGGATCGATTCTATTTTTGCCGGACGTTGGAACAGAGGGCGGCGCACGGCGCCGCACTGCCGTAGCACGGCCGCAGTAGTGGAATAGCTCTGATTGACTACAACGGGACCGATTTTGCTCCGGCGTTCGTGTCGGAGCGGAGCGCAGCGGAGCGGAGGTAGTGGAATTTGGGGGTTAATCTAAATGCCGAAATGTCTCCTCAGCCTTCATTAGTTTCTACAGGAGCAGTTCATTATTAAATCATACAAATCAGCTGTGTTCAGGATCCAAAACATGCTGGAAGCAGACTTCAGGTTCAGCATGTCAGCTCCACTTCATCAGGGACCGGACAGACACTCTGATGTTGCAAGTGCGACATTCTGGCCACAGAGGGGTCTGAGTGACTTTTGTTTTAGCACGAGAAAATGATTTTAAAATATGACAAAGTTGCGTGTGCCTTTAAAAGATCTGTAATGGTTGATGTATGCAAATATGATTGAGCGTTCATGGAAAGTCTGTTACCAGTCAGATTATTTATTTAAATGTCTTCATTTATTGCAAAAGTACCTTGTTGGCATGCAGTAGGAGATAGATTACATCATGACACTTGTGTTAATATATGTAAATATGTCTCTGTTCAGCTTTTTCCGGAAACAAGTTCTTCTGTTGAGGAGATATTCCACCTTAAAACCTGGATGGATGATTATTAATGCCGAAGGAACTCTTGATACGTTTGTTTATTAACAATGAGCACACCTCTCAGGAGAGCGATGCATCTGATTTCTCCATGGACTCGTTCTGTCACAAACTACTCAACATGTAAACGTTAAGCTAACAAGCCTAACAGGATCCACAGTTTGCCTCCTGCTGAATGAAAAAAGGTCCAAACTTAAGCGGACTGCTTTTTGACGGGACTTCTTGAAAGGACTTTTTGATGACTAGAGAAGAAAACACAGAAATGTCCATCAGAGGCTGAAACCATGAAGTGCTTCCAGCAATCAACAATGTTGTTACTGTTCAAAATAAATGAAATCTTCAGGAAATAAAAGAACTGTTGACAATTTTCTGGTACGGATTAAAAAAAAGAAAAAAATGGTCATTTCATTTCTACGCGGATGCAAGAAACGACTGTAAGTCTGTGACTTTACAAAGACACTTTGTCTGTTTGGAATGTAAACACTCACGTAAACACTCACCATACGTTCACCGGTCTGCAGAAGCCACAAAGGAGAAACGAGGAGGACAAAGCAGCACATTTTTCAGCCTTTAACCAATAATAAAGTAAATCGAAGTATATTTTCATCTAAATCATCCAGTGGACATACGTTGTGTTGTCTTGCAGTAGCTGATTATTATCAGTCTTTTGTGTGGTTTGTAAAGAACTGTTTGCTACTACTTACTGATTAGATGTTTGTCTCTTGTGTTTTAAAAGCATCCAAACTCACCTTATCATGTGTTTTTGCAGCCCTTCAGTCTTCAGTGCCTTAATGCTGACAGGCTTTTGTCTAAGAGTGTTGATAATGTGCATTTAAGCTCCTTCTGCAAAAGATTCAAACTTCCTTTCTTTGCCAATGAGTAAAAAAACAAATTTCAGGATGATTGAGCTCTTATATTTGTGAACAGTAATCTAAGCTGCTCCTATTTAGAGTTGAATATTGATTAATAGATTTTTAGATGTTTAACATTGTTTTTATGCATTCTTTTTTTTAAAAACAGTCAAATCAGCCATTTTTCTGTTTTCCACTAGCATAATAAAATAGGTTTATGGATTTGAAAGCATTTGATTTCCCCCGCTTAGGAAATGTTTACTGCACGTGTTTGTACGGCTCTTTGGGTGGACTAACTCGGATTTCATTTTAAACATTTTACGACTAAGGCCCATCATTGTTCTCAGTGTCAACGTTGCAAATGCACAGAGAAATCGGATTATCTGCAATGTTTTGATGAAGTCAAAATGTGGTTTTTTTTAGATTTTTCTTGTTTGCTCAGGAATTGGTGGGTTTTTTTTTTCATAGCAGGCAGAATTGCTTTTTGACATTAAAATAAAAAATAATGAACACAACTCAAATGGTATTCTGTGGATTGTGAGTTCTAATCTTCTAGCAGGTCCAAAATATTATCAGGATATTTACCCACACATGCTCGAAGGTGCCAGGTAATGAAGTACAAATACTTTGTTACCTTACTTACTTCAGTCAATGAAAGAAAATCCCACAATGGCTGCAGAAATAACTTGAATCTGAAAATAGTAATAATAAATAAAAATTCTATGACATTTAACCAATGAAAGTTGGGCATTGCTTTTCAACCATGCTTCAGTGGAATTACTTTAAAAAAATAAACTCATGGAATCCCTAACTCAATATTTTTTTTTGCAATCACTGCAATCAAACGATTCCTTTAACTGTCATTGAGACTTCCGCACCTCTCAGCAGGTAGTTTTGACCCACTCCTCATGAGCAAACTGCTCCAGTAGTTGGAGAATTTTTAACGACCACCATTCGAACATTTTATTGGTCTCTAAGCACAGAACATTCATTCATAATCTTTAAACATCTTAGGTGTGTTCATTCATAATTATTGTATTCTGTGTTTTGACAACACACAAGGGTCGTTTTTACTAAACTAACAATGTTCCATTCCACTTCGATAACCTCCTGCCTTCAGAGATTCTTGCAGCTGCTGGACGTGCGTTTACATTTTAATTAAGCTTATTGATAATGTGCCTAATAATAGTAATAAAACTTTTTGCACCGTTCCAATACTTATAGGCAGCTAGTCACCACATCTTCCACTGAAACAGGAGTTAATGCTCACTAGTCCACTGCGCATCAAGTATGTTTCAACAATGAGCAAATCAGTGAATCGGTTGCTTTTGATTTTGTTTTATTATAACAACATTGTGTAAAATCGGTAGGCCAGTCACACCATCGGTGCATACTATCATCTCAAAACCCACATTCACTTCCTGTTCTCATGAGCAGATATAAAAAGGCACTCCTCTTTCACTTCGTTTGGATATGAGTCAAGCATTGAGGCTGCTGTTTAAGCTAATGTGTTCTCACATGCAGCGAAGTCTGACCACAGATCAGTTGTGTTTGGCTTTGTAAGTGAGGACTGGCTCTACGTATTACAGGAGCTGCAGATGGTGGGCTCTCCAGCACAGAGCCAGAAGGTGGAAATAGGAACTCGAAGCGACTTCAGTCTCCCTGTTGTGTCATTCTCAGGATCTGGAGCAGCAGCCGCTGCACTTCTTCATCCATGCGACCCTGTTGAGTAAAGCCGCCACACCCAGAATCATTTCAAAGCTTTAAATGCAGATGGAGAAACTTAATAAAAATCATGTAACAAGCTCATGAAACGTCAAACAGGCCTATTGCAACACATTATTTGTGCATTCGTCAACAAATCCTCATTGGGACGGTTGGAAGGTGATCCGCATCTGCACCTGGATTGTTTTGCAGTTTATTGCAGATCAAGATCAACCAAACAGCAAGAATATTTGTTTGTACGCGTTCTTCTGACCTGCACAGCTGCCAGTAAATGGGAGCGATAAACAGTCACCACATGTTTGTGCTTTTTCTCCCAGTCCTACAGAGACACAACAATACTATAAAGATCCAGAGAATCGGAAGCACAACCTTGTCATTTAACAAAACAAACATATTATTTATAACACACATTTTTCTGTGAAACCTTTACTCACTTGCAGCTGTTGTGTGAGAATAGAAATCCTGTTCTGCAGCGCCACCTGCTGTCCAGGATTGACTTGCTGGATGGTAGAGAATGAGGAGGAAGATGTGATCCCAAGAGGAGGCGACAGAGCTCCCAGGGCCTCTTTTAGCCGAAACACTTCCTTAGACAGTTCTGTTATCTGCACAAACACCCGACGCATTCATTTACTACCTCACCAACTCAATATTCAGCTGTTAAAATGGGACCTGCAGCTCCACACCTTGCGGTCCTTCTCTTTGACCAGACCCTGGGACTCCTGGATGTCTCTGTGGAGCTCCTGGATGTGGCTGGACCGGGCCTGTAGCTCAGTGAGCTGCTGCTGGACCGAGGCCAGCTGGGACTCTGCAGCCTGCCGCTCACTCTTATGAAACAATGCCTCCCTTTGGACCTGGAACACCTGAAGAAATAAACAAACAGCTTTAATTCTAACTTGGTGAAAACACTGACTAGATTTAGCAACCTGCAGTTCTCACATGTTCTTATTTTGCAGAACAGGAGGCCTAAATAATGGTTTAAAAGTGAACTGTTGTGATACAAAAATGTATTAATTCATGCTAAACAAAATTTACATGGTAGTACATCTACTTCAGTTATCTAAAGAGTGGGCGCTCATCCGAATCTGAATATTCAGACGTGGATTTAGGAGTGAATATTAAAAGTGGAGGTCACTTTGAAGTACAGAAGACCAAAGAATAAATTAAACTACCTACAAAATCAATAATAAGGCTAATCTAAGCTTTTTTTAAGCTTTCTTGTACTCTTGATAACAGCACTAATGCCCGCCCTAACCAGTTTCCCACTGGGCTGTGGTAGCTGGTGAAGGGAATTCCAAAATGTCTTCATTCCAGATAACAGATAAGTGAGTCGTAGATCTTGTTGCAGAATTTTTTTACATTTTGAACCCTTCAAAAAATTTACGGGACAAATTTCCTCCCTAAACAGCCACAAAGTTGTCTCAGGCATCTAGATCGCAAATCTTTTTCTGTTTAATTTAGTGACAGACAACTAAAGAGGTTGGTGAACAAATTGTGAATTAAAATAAGATTAAATTACAAAAAAGTTAAATGCTTTCTTGACCAAATTGTGACGAGAAAATTGGCATCGCTGCCACAATCCAGCACGCCCTGCCTGATACATCAACTAATTGAGAGCATCTAGCAGCAGCCATCTAGCGTCAGGTAACAGAGGGTACGTTTACACAAAGGACACAATTCACAACATAAAATGGAGAAAAATAAGAGGGAGAGTTTATTGCTCAGCACGATTCTGTGCATCAAGCATCACTGTAACAAAAGGAGGTGACGCTGGGGGAAAGTAGACAATAAATAATGCAAAGAGAGAACATAGGTCTTCATTCAGCTCAGCTCACAATGTCACAGAAGCAATAACATCTAATTTGGCTTTACATTGCCTGATGGCAGACACAATAACACACACGTGCAGAGACACACCCACCTCCGTGCACGTCTTCTCGTGTTTCCTAGTGAGATCGTTGAAGCGTGCCGTAGCGGCGTTGATCTCCGCCTGCAAAGAGAGCCTCAGGGCCTCATGGTCCTCCTTCGAGATCAGACCCTGTTCTGCTGCCTTCTGAGACTTCAGCTCCCTCAGCTCCATCTCCCTCTCTCTCAGGGCGTCCCGAGCTGCTGCTGCTGTACTCTCGTTGTCCTGCAGAGCGCGACGTAGCTCTTCCTTTCAGAGAGGATGCACAAGCAGGAGCATGAAGTCTGTCTTGTCACAAACTTGGCTTTTTGGTGACTGAACGTTACGCTGAATAATTTGTCATTGTTTTTGACCTCACTAAATGACTCTAGACGGTTTTGCTCACCTTGACCTTATCATGCTCCTCTTTGGAAACGGTGTCCTGTGTGGTTTGCAACTGGGCTTCTAGACTGGCAACTTTCTCCTCAGCTTCTGCACGTAAAGTTTTCTCCTCTTGGAGCTCCTGCAGCACCTGAGCCACCTGCTCCGATAGTGCAGACAGAGCCTCTTCGTGCTTTGAGAGTGGCACGGCATCCTTTAGCTGCAGGGCGTCCTGTGCTCGTCCCTCTCGCTCAGCACAGAGACAGTCCAGGGCCTGGGCTGCCTCCTGCCTGGCCACTTCCAGGTCTTCTCTAACTTTTGCTAACAAACGCCTCGAGTGTTCTGATTTTACAGAAGAACGGCAATTTAAAAAAAGAGCTGAGTCAGCAAAAACAATCATAGCAACTACACACCTGACATGAGAGAAGGCTCTGAGCTCTCTGAATGATCCTCCTCCTCATCTTCCTCCTCCTCCTCATCACCACGTAAAGGAGGTTTGAGTCTCTCCAGCTCCAGCAAGGCATCGTTGAGTCTCCTCGCCACCTCCGCCCTCTCCCTGGCCAGCTGCTCACACTGAAGTCCAAGAGTCACCTGCACCTCCTCCAGCTCTGAGCGAGGAACGCACTTTTGAAGTTCTCCCTCCAACTCTCCCAAACGGTCTTGAAGTCGACGGATCTGATTTCCATCTCCAGCGGCTGCTCCCCCTTTCTCTGACACACTACTCTCTGCCAGGGCTGACTGCAGCTCAGCTACTTTGTCACGAAGAGACTTCACTGTTTCGCTCTCTCCTTGTGTGTGGTTAGACTCTCTCTGGGCCAACGCAGCCTGGAGTTCCTTCACTTTCTCTGTCAGCTGTTGGATGGTGTCAGCCTGGCGCTGTCCCTTAGCAAGCTTGTCCTCTAACTCTGTGACCCTGGCTCTCAGCTGCTGCGCCTCCTGGCTCGCCCCCTCCTCTGCAGCCCCAGCAACTGCTGCAGCAATGTTTCCTTCAACACTCTCCACAGAAAGCACCCCAAGTCGCATCTGCTCCTTCAGCTCCTCCAGCTCCGACTTGGAGGAGGCCAACTGATCCTCCAGTCCATGCAGTTTTTCTCTCAGAGCGTCTGGACTCTCTGCATCTCCTTCCTCGCACTTCTCATCGCCACTGCAAAACAGAACAAGTCGTGAAAACCCAAAGAAGTGTTTAACTCTAATATCCATAATGGATTTGTTTACAGGCATAATTGTCCTCATTAGCCTTGAACCATGATGATCATGTGAATGTAAGCTGTAGTCGCCACATAAGTCTAGTGGCTGCATATCATGAATAAATCAGTCTCACAGCTCCTCAGCTACTCTAGAGTCCTCCAGTGAAGCTTGGGCCTGGGAGAGGCGCTCCTGAATGACCTCAAACTCCTTCCTCAGGGTTTCATACTGAACCAGAGGGACTGAGTCTGGACCGGCGGCCTGCATGTCGGTGTCATCCTTCTCAAACATCTCCAGCATCTGTACACAACAGAATTACAACAGTGTTGCTAAGTTTAAAATGACCAGTGATGCACACGTAACAGGAAGAGTAATTATTGGCCACTCCAAAACAGAACTGCAGTTAAAGTGAAAAGTCTAAACACACCACATGTGATGCTGGTGGGATTTGTAATGGGGCGTGAGAGGCTGCACCAGTCTAACAGGGTCCAGAATCCTTAAGTCTAGGTGGTTAGTGATAATAAATTACTGTTTGCCAATTTGTGATTTTTGGCCATTATTCAGGTGGTTTTAAAGTTTTGATCGGGATTGTATCAAATATCAATATCAGTGGTTTTTTTTTTTTGTTTTTTTGTCTTACCTGCACCTTAAGAACAAGCTCAGAGTTCTGTGAAGTTAGCTCTTCTATTTGCCTTCGAAGCTCAGTTACAGTTCTTGGATCTGCAGGAGCAGAGGAGGGGCTGGCTGAGTCTGTGTCCGGTTGGGAATTAGCCTCCTCCAGGCCAGGAGATGCTCTGGAACGCTTGGAGAGCAGCTTTTCTAGAGGGAATGTTCAATGAAAACCAACACAAAAAAAAAACCACTTAATTGCCAGGGAGGCTGATGCTGGTATGTCAAACTGGATGTGTGCATACCTGGGAAATCCAACATTTCATCCATGTCTTCAGAGTCACTGGCCCCAAAGCCGTGAGTCCCCTTCAACTCCTCAAGCAGCTTGTCTCTTTCTGCCTCTGATTCTGCCAAACGTTGTTTGAGTTGGGAAAGCTGTAAAAAAATGTGCAAAACTGTGATTCTGAGTCCACCTCACAAAAATAATGTCACATTTTGTACGGAAGCACTCAGGAAATTCTGTCAGATTTGATTTGGCTGAAGTAAAATCTAATAATTAGAGTAGAGATGTGAGCGAGAATAAGAAAATTCAATGTTAGCATTATTTTCTGCAGGCCTGTACCTCCTCCAAGGCAGAGAGGGCGCTCTGTTGCTGCCGCTCTAAAGCTTGGATCTTCTGAAGCAGGCGGGCTCTCTCTAGTCGCAGCCGCCGAATCTCCTCAAACACCTCCTCGTCCTCAGACTAAAATCCAGACAACCACAAAAAAAACCTCGGGCAAGGCATCTTGTGTTTCTAAAGACTATTAGAAGACATTTACTGTGTAAACCTGGGCTGACTGCTGGGTTTCTGGAGGAAGAGGGGAGGGAGACGAGGACTTTGGAGGTTCAGGAGACCGCACACGGGGAGCTGGACTTGGAGACTTGGCAGATGGGGGCAAATCCTTGATCTTCATGAATAGAAAGGGGGAAAATATTTCAATTTCATAGCGATATTAAGGAAGAAATTGCCCAATAATGTGTGAAAACATGAATTAAAATGCAATAATTGCTTGGAGATTCATGTTTTTCCCCCCCTAGTTTCCTTTCAACTCAAAACAGGTTGAAAATCAATGCTTCAACATCATTTAATGCTGAAATGTTTCAAAAATGGACATTAAATGTTAAGCAGAATGATTAGAACAAAACAGCTTCCCTCCTGCTGCGATGATCGTTACAGTACCTGGAGAGGAGTGCGAGGCGGTGGAGGAGCTTTCCGCTTGCGGGGGGTTGTGCCCCCCTGCACTGATGAGGCGCCTGAGGGGATTTGAATGGGCTGCGTGGGGGTGAGAGGGTGGGGCGGTCACTGACAAGCAGAGGTCAAGCTCAACTTAAAAGGGAAAAAATGGAGGGAACCAAGAAAGGACACAGGGGTTTAGCAATAAGGGGAGTAAGCTAAGAAAAGGAAAGCAGCACACAGAAACAATGAGCTCATATTGGAAAACATGCACAATATGATCGGCCGAAAGGAGCCATGATCTCATTGATGCAACATATGGATGTGCAACATTACCTCCTCGTCCTTGCCCTCAGAAGCTTTATGGTCATTGGTGGAGAAAAACAATAAAGGGCTTAAACTTCTTCAGCTAACTGATTTCATTTAAATGATTTCACTGTTAGTCTTGTTCATGTATGGATGATTATTTAACTGAATCAACAAAATTTAAACCAAATTAGAAATATGTGCTAACCAAACCCTCTCCATCATCTGTTTTCTTCAGGCCAGCAGCACATCTGTTTTTCATATATCAGCAAAGTCTTTGTTGGGAGATAAAAGTGAAACAAGACTCTTGTGTAGTTTTTTTTTTCTTCTTCTTTGAACCACTCTACAATTACAACCAGCTGTCCTCCTGATCTACTTCCTCCAATTAAAGCCTCTTCCTGGGGGAGCAGCGAGATGCACGCACCAATCAGAAGCCACACATTGGGGCTAATGCCTGGCAGGTTGATTCATTGAAATAATTAATTACAACTTAAGCATTTTTCAAATGTAATGTCATGTAGTGGGAAAGCATTTCTGAAAAACACTCAAGCTTTGCGTTGTACCTGGAGGAACTCCATCCTGCAACATCCGGATGATGCGTTGGTTGCCTATGGTTACGCTGTAGTCGACAGCTTTGTGCCCAAGGGAGTCCACCAGCTGTGTGTTGGCTCCGCCTCTCAGCAGAGCTTTTACAGTCTCCACACTGTCACTCTCACATGCCAGCATCAGAGCAGACCTGTTATCAAAGAAAGCATCTGATTGATTCTAATTAATTTATTAAAGGGGACATATTATGGCTCTTTGTCTTAAGTTATGTTTCTATGGTTGATTAAAAAAAATTTCATAGCGTTTTTTGTGCTAAACCTCTCACATGAAGAGATTTCAGCAGTTTTATTCTTGACAGTTTTAGTACCTTCCAAAATGAGCTCTTTCAGAGCAAGTCACCAGAGTCTTAAGCCTGGGGCACACCGGAGGCAGACGCACCGCGCCCGCGATGTTGAGAAGTCAAGCAGTCACACAGGACGCGCCGCTGAGCGCTTCTTGGAAAGTTGCGTGATAGTCACAACATCACGCGGGACTTGAGAACAGGAAGCGGGAAGTTACTATTGTTTATACGTGATCAGACTTGCTGTTGTGTTTTGTGAGGCTCAAATTCATTAAAAATGGGTAAGTTTGCCATTTATTTGAATATTTCGAGATCAACAGTACTTTAAAGTTATCTAAACTGAGGCTGGGTTTGTGCCGGCGGTTGGGTTTCTGCCGTAAAGCCGTTCCGCGTCATAATGTCTGTTGGAAAGTACTCCAAAATGTTGTAAACAGTGCTGTGGCGCTTGAGATAGAACTGGCACCTATCTTCAGCGCCTCAACGCGGCACGATGCTTCTGGGACGTGGCTTGGCACTCCCCGTGTGCCCACTCTCATTAACTATGATGGTTTCTATTAAAAATGATGGCGTGCCACAGGCTTTACTCGACCCACACTTTCTGTATGAAAAATGCACCAAATGAAGGGATTGCCTGGCAAACCAAGAAGGCGGTACTGCAGCAGCAATAGCACAAGCCCACCTTCCCACCGACCATAGCTCAGAGATTTTCCCCCAGAGAAATGAGCCGCTAACAAACGCGTGTGCACACACACCACAGCAGCACGCTTCGTAGTCTGGAGTATTTCTTCAGGAATTTTTCCTGAGGAAGGAGAGGAAAAGGGAAGGCAGGGAGGAGTAATGAAGGGGGCGAGAGGCTCTGGGCCGTAACATTTCTCATCGGCTTGAGTGACCGAGGCAGCTAGCGGTGTGGCCGAGACTCGTCTCCAGTGCAGTGCAATGTAACCACATCAGAAATACTGACTAATGTATACAATACCAGCTTAGCCAATAGCAACGGCTGATGTGGCTGAACCAAATTCAAATGTAGAGCTGACTTCTAAGCTGAAGATGGCGATACACTGATGGTTTTAGGCAGAACATTTATATTTTAAATAGTGATGCACTGATATAAAATTTTGGGGCCGATACCAATATTAATATCACTGTTATGGCCGATAACCGATATTTGCAGATACCGATATATTGACATTAATGCTTCTAAAATTAGCAGATTTTGTATAGAATGACAATTATTAAAGCTGAATTTACACAGCACACACATTTAAGCTTCTGAGATGATTTCATTCACTGTCACATGACTAAACAAATACACATCATCACCCCCCTCACCCTCTAAAACAGATAAACAAATGGAAACAAGATGGAAAAAATATCGATTGTTAATATCAGCCCAGTTCTATTTATCGGCCCAATACTGATATGTTAGAAAATGATGAACATTGGCCGATACCAATATTGATGCCAATATATTGTGCCATTGTACCACTTTTTATCACATTTCAAGTGGTTATAGAGGCAGCAGAGACCCAAATGGCAGCACAAAAAGGATGCGAAGAGCGCGTTTTACATAATATGTCCCTTAAGTGCAGCTGAAAGAAATAATATTTTTCTCTTTGTCAATGTTACTGTGTGGATAGTTTGCTCATTATTCTCAACAATCTGTTGTCTGGTGCAAGCTGCTGCTCTCAGTTGGAGCTCCTGACCCAGATCTCTCAAAATCTCTGCCAGATAGTCAAGGGTACTGCTTTATAAAGTACAGGAATCCTCCTTGCAACCCAATCCTGACTGATCAGAGTAATCCTGGATAATTTTATGTCTGTCCCTGCAAAGAAACCTTCCCACTTGTCTGACACCTTCACTTCATCCATCAATGATTCACCAGCCTATAATGCAACAGACCAATGCCAAACCAGTCGTTCTACTAACTCACCAAACTGGGAGATTTGATACCAAAGCTCAGTACCTGCCTTGGCTGTCCTGTATGTTTGCATCAGCACCCCGACCCAGAAGAAAGGCACACAGCTCCACCCTGCTCATCTGTGCCGCTAAGATCAGCGGGGTGGTGCCTTCCTGAAAAATTCACATCATTATAACATTATAAAGAATTTCCAGTTCACTCATAAACAGAAGCAGAACAACAAATGTCACATTAGGCGCAAACCTACATTGTCCTGGATATTCAGATTGGCTTTGAAGTCCCACAGGGTCTCTGTGCAGGGCAGGCAGCCACTGATCCCTTTGGGATGCAAACAGAACTAACGATTTATATAGTCGCAATATTTTCAGTAAAACAAGCATGGATTGGAATCAATTTGATATTTGCGGACTGAGTTGTTACCTGCATGATGAAGTGGTGTCCTACCAATGCTGTCAGTGCAATCCACAGCCAGCCTCTCCTGTTAGAGCACGCACAACACCCAACCATCCCATTTATCTCATTTCACTTAGGATTTAGGAAACTTATGGATCATAGTCACATTGTTTTACCTGCAAGAGTCTCTTTAAACACTCTGACTGTCCGTTTTTGGCTGCAAGATGAAGGGCGCTAAAGCCTGAAGGCAAAACATGACACATGCTACCCCTAGGTTACAGAAAATGTAGATTTATACTTATAATTAAATCACATACCAGCCCCATCAGTGACGCTGAGGTCGGCTCCATGAGCGATGATCACCTCCAGGCAGTCTAATCGGCCTCTGGATGCACACACATGGAACCTAAACATTAAAATTATATTAAGCAGTTGTTATTAACTCATTTAGTAGTTTTTTAATGCTTAATAATGAACTAAGTTATGTTAATGAAGGGACCTTTATTGTTAAGTGTTATCAATAAATACAAACAAATTTAAAAACAACAAAAATGGATTAAACTTAAATCCAAAGTATCAGAGGAGCCTTCCTGGACTAGAATAAATATTTAACATGATTTATTACTAGACCCGAAAATAATGAATAATTAATAATTTGCAAATAAAGTAATTCTACCCAAGAACAAAATAGGTCTCAGAGCTAAAAGTTTTAAATTAAACATTCAACTCACGCTGACTTGCCGTCAGAGTCCAGCTTGGTGGGACAGAGACCCTTTTTGACGATGAGAGCCGAGACTTTGTCAGGTTCATTCTGCTCCACGGCCTGCAAGAGTCTTTCATCACTCTTGCTCCAGTCCTGACTCTGAAGGGGGTCAGAGTCGGAAAATGGGTCACATGTGACAAACCTACAGTCATGTCCATAAATATTGGGACATCAACACAATGCTAACATTTGTGGCTCTATACACCACCACAGTGGATATCAAATGAAACGAACAAGATGTGCTTTAACTGCAGACTGTCAGCTTTTATTTGAAGGTTTTTACATCCAAATCAGGTGAATGGTGTAGGAATTACAACAGTTTGCATATGTGCCTCCCACTTGTTAAGGGACCAAAAGTAATGGGACAATTGGCTTCTCGGCTGTTCCATGGCAAGGTGTGTGTTATTCCCTCATTATCCCAATTACAATGAGCAGATAAAAGGTCCAGAGTTCATTTCAAGTGTGCTATTTGCATTTGGAATCTGTTGCTGTCAACTGTCAAGATGAGATCCAAAGAGCTGTCACTATCAGTGAAGCAAGCCATCATTAGGTTGAAAAAACAAAAGAAACCTATCAGAGATAGCAAAAATATTAGGCGTGGCCAAAACAACAGTTTGGAACATTCTCAAAAAGAAGGAACGCACCGGTGAGCTCAGCAACACCAAAAGTCCCGGAAGACCACAGAAAACAACTGTGATGGATGACTGAAGAATCCTTTCCCTGGTGAAGAAAACACCCTTCACAACAGTTGGCCAGATCAAGAACACTCTCCAGGAGGCAGGTGTATCTGTGTCAAAGTCAACAACCAAGAGAAGACTCCACCAGTGTGAATACAGAGGCTTCACCACAAGATGTAAACCATTGGTGAGCCCCAAAAACAGGAAGGCCAGATTAGAGTTTGCCAAACAACATCTAAAAAAGCCTTCTTCACAGTTCTGGAACAACATCCTATGGACAGATGAGACCAAGATCAACTTGTACCAGAGTAATGGGAAGAGAAGAGTCTGGAGATGGAAAGGACCTGCTCATGATTCTAAGCATACCACCTCATCAGTGAAGCATGGTGCTGGAAGTGTCATGGCGTGGGCATGTATGGCTGCCAGTGGAACTGGTTCTCTTGTATTTATTGATGATGTGACTGCTGACAAAAGCAGCACAATGGATTCTGAAGTGTTTCGGGTAATATTATCTGCTCATATTCAGCCAAATGCCTCAGAACTGATTGGACGGCGCTTCACAGTGCAGATGGATAATGACCCAAAGCATACTGCAAAAGCAACCAAAGAGATTTTGAAGGGAAACAAGTGGACTGTTTTGCGATGGCCAAGTCAATCACCTGACCTGAATCCGATTGAGCATGATTTCACTTGCTGAAGACAAAGCTGAAGGGAAAATGCCCCAGGAACAAGCAGGAACTGAAGACTGTTGCCGTAGAGGCCTAGTAGAGCATCACCAGGGATGAAACCCAACGTCTGGTGATGTCTGTGTTCCAGACTTCAGGCTGTAATTGACTGCAAAGGATTTGCAACCAAGTATTGAAATGTATAAGTTTGATTTATGGTTCTTATTCTGTCCCATTACTTTTGGTCCCTTAACAAGTGGGAGGCACATATTCAAACTGTTGTAATTCCTACACCGTTCACCTGATTTGGATGTAAAAACCCTCAAATAAAAGCTGACAGTCTGCAGTTAAAGCACATCTTGTTCGTTTCATTTGATATCCATTGTGGTGGTGTATAGAGCCACAAATGTTAGCATTGTGTCGATGCCCCAATATTTATGGACCTGACTGTATATCTCAACAGGCAAAAGGTGTAGGTGACAGTTTCCGAATTGTTGATGCAGAAAAGGTGCACACCAATTTTAAATGATACATAAAGCTACTTTTAATAAAGAAATCAGTTTTTAAAAGGTTAAATTTTCTTTGGTTTTGTTTGTAAATAGTAATAGAAGACACCTACTGGCAGAGGCAGGAGACTGAGACAAGGACAGAAGCGCTTCATCAGGCTAAAAACAGGCTGCTGAGGATCCATACTGCTAGCAGGATGTCGGACACAACTAAATACTGATGGTGTTCGACCCCCTACCCCCCACTGTGAGTCCTACCTGACACAGCTACATGACATTTCAGATCATTTAGAGATATCAAAGCCTCATGTTTCAGGGAAATTCCTTTCAGAGGTCAGAGCTGCATGACAGCAGAGATCTGTATCAGCAAATCTATTTTGAAATCCTACCTCCAACTCAAATCACTCGCTGCACATAAGCTGTGACACACACATACTAACATCACCACAGTCCATCCCATGTCCTCCTCCTGCACAACAAAATCCCATCGTCCTGCTCTGGCTGCTTGCAGTGACACAGTCGGTTTTTCCACCACAGCTCCTCCTCCCGCTTCTCGCTGTCCTCATTTCTTTAACCTGATTATGTCCATGCTGTAGCAAGCTCCCTTCTTCTCTCCATTAGTTTTTGTCAAGGCCTGCACAGTACTGGCCCTCCACCCCACCCCACCTACAAGCACCCTCCCTCGTCCTGCACCATTGTAAATTTGGTTCTCTGCAGCTACTCACCAAAAAATAAAAAATAAAAAAACAGAAGAGGAGGAATTAGCTGGTTTTGGATGGCAGAGGGAACACATTGATGTTTCTTTGCCCCCTGCTCCCCCTCAGCTGTGGAGCCATCTCTGCCCTCTTCATTGTCAGTTTTGGTGAAGCCGATAATTACAAATTTGGGGGTCACTCTGGACGCTTTTTAAAAAAAATGGATGTACAGATAAATCAGGTAGTCAGGTCGTGTTTCTTTCATCGTCGCTGGCTGGCCAAACTAAAATCTGTCCTGAACAAAAAAGATCTTCAGTCAGATGTTCATGCTTTTGTAACGTCACGTCTGGACTATGCCAATTCTCTTTTATATGATTTTGGTTTTGGCGAATTTACACTGGCTCCCAGTTCGGTTTCGTATTAAGTTCAAAATTCTCCTGTTGGTTTACAAATCTGTTCGTGAAATGGCACCCTCCTATTTGGCACATCTTTTGAGTCCCTATGTTCCGGCGCGAACCTTGAGGTCCTCTGACCAGCACCTTCTGCTTGTCCCTCCTGCCCGCCATATGGCACGTGGCGAACGGGCTTTTTCAGTTTGTGCGCCTAAACTTTGGAACCAACTCCCTCTGACGGTCTGACTTGCCCCCTCCCTTCCCACTTTTAAAGTACGTTTGAAGACATATTTCTATTCCCTGGCCTTCCAGGTTGAGACTGTTTAACCCTTGTGCTTTCCTGGGTTTTTTTGTTTTTGTTTTTTTTAATAGTTTTTATTTGTTTTATCTATTTTGGTGATGTATTGTCTTGTACAGCACTTTGGTTGGCGTTGTCGCCATTTAAATGTGCTTTATAAATAAAGGTTGGTGATGATGATGATGATGATGATGATGATGATGATGATGATGTGCTGTCAGGGATTACATGTTAATAAAGTTTAAACAGTTTTGATTCGTCATTTTGAAAGAGGACCTAAACTGTATAACTGACACCTATTGTTTATATTAGTAGCCCATAAAAGTCAAAATGTATATGTGTGTGTGTGTGTGTGTGTGTGTGTGTGTGTGTGTGTGTGTGTGTGTGTGTGTGTGTGTGTGTGTGTGTGTGTGTGTGTGTGTAAATGGTAAATGGCCCTGTATTTGATATAGCAACTTCTAGATCCTGGAACCCCCCAAGGTGCTTTACAACACAATCAGTCATTCACCCATTCACACCCTGATGGTGATGAGCTTCATTGTAGCCACAGCTGCCCTGGGGCACACTGACAGAGGCGAGTCTGCCGTACATAGGCGCCACCAGCAGGCAAGGTGGCAAGGTGGGTTAAGTGTCTTGCCCAAGGACACAACGACAGTGACACACTGAGCGGAGCTCGAACCTGCAACCTTCCGATTACGGGGCAAGCACTTAACTCCTGTGCCACCGTTGTGGCACCACCGGTGCGTGCATGTGTGTGTGTGTGTGTGTGTGTGTGTGTGTGTGTGAATACGTGTGAATAATTGAAGGCTACCTGAGATCATTGGTCATAGCAGCAGGTTGGAGAGAGACCTGCTCCCCTGCTGTTTAGTGATACTAAATCCTCACACACACACACGCACACACACACACACACACACACACACACACACACACACACACACACACACACACACACACACACACACACACACACACACACACACACACACATGTACTTGATTAAGCTGTCTCCCACAGAGGGCTCTTACCTCGTTCTTTTTAAACTTTGCTTTCAAACTCTTCATGATGGTCTGGGCTTGTTGCTGCAACGAGAGCGATTTAAAAGATAACATTTTAATCTTGCACATCACTCTGTGGCACCTAAAAGGGTTCTTAAAGTCTCACAGATCAGTTTTATCACTCCTTTTTGTTTTTCTTAATGCATAAATGGCCAGACCCTCGGTGTTTGGTAAACGTTTTCCTCAGATCCAGGCTAATTTGTGAACATCTAATGGGAATACTAAAGTGCCTTTACACCACTCCTCTGAGGGATGAACTACTTTTTCCATACAAGGGATTAAAACGTGGAATCCCCAATCTGTAGATCTCAAATTAATTTAGATTAGCACTGTTTTAGATTTAAATAACAGCATTTTAGTAATAAAAACGATTCACTCGTGTTTACTGTAGCCTTTCGTTCTATTTTAGTTTGTGATGCCTGAGTCATGTTTTTATTTATGATATGTTTGTATTTTGTTTTAACTTTATGTCTTTAATGTAATTAAAATGCACATTTATAGACAAGTTGAAAAATTTACTCAGACTATGGAGATTAAGTTAGCATCATTAACTAGGGTCTAATCAATAACAGAGAGAGAGAGAGAGAGAGAGAGAGAGAGAGAGAGAGAGAGAGAGAGAGAGAGAGAGAGAGAGAGAGAGAGAGAGAGAGAGAGAGAGAGAGAGAGAGAGAGAGAGAGAGAGAGAGAGAGAGAGAGAGAGAGAGAGAGAGAGAGAGAGAGAGAGAGAGAGAGAGAGAAACCTGGAGCCTACCTGTGGAGGACAGTCCGAGTCCAGGTAAGGACTGGTTCTGTCTGTCCCTTTAGCTGCTCACAATAAAACATTGAAGACCCTTCTGTCTGGTGGATGGCGGTAAATATCCCGCCCTAATCCTGATTCAGCCAATCAGAAGAGTGATAAACTCCGGTTCAGCTTCTCGTAGGTGGTGATTGATGGTGTCTGTAGTGGTCGCGTGCGGAAGAAATGATTGCAGAGAATCAAACTGGACGCTGGATTTTAAACACAGAACCGCCTTCCTGAAGGGTGAATGTAAAAATGTCCTTTATGGTGTCTGCTACAGATCCGTCTTTATGCTAGCTCGCATTTAATACGTCACTGAGAGTTTTTGCCAATGAGCATCGCTGAAGCAACTAAACCCGGAAGCATTCAGAAGAAAAATGATGAGTTGGGGGCTGGGAGAAAAAAAAACATAAAACTAGTTTGAACTACCATAAATTAAAAGATAGTCATTTTAAAATAGCCTTGGCTTTATTGGGATTTCAGATACAAGTTTTACAAAATTATTCCCTGTTGAAAAGCATCGTGTAGCTTTTTAATTTGACCACTTCTGCCATATTTAAACAGGTTAATTTATCCTAATGTTTAGTTAAAGTGTGGTGAGAACAACTCAACCAAGTAACTCACCTTTTGCGTTTATTCCATGAACATATTCAAAAATTGAATGAGAGATAGAAAGAGAGCGATTGGCTTTAATCAAGAGGTTGTGAATTTTACAATACCTTGTCAAAATGCAGCTAATTTTATTCATGTCCCATCATCAGACGAGAAGAAAAATGGCCAACTCCTATCAGTGAGATCGTGCAGTACACACAACCCACCAAAAGAGAGCAGTCAAAGCAAAGTGGATAAAGCTGCAGAAATAAATCATTTCTAGGTTGTTTTTTTCCTCCTCGTGAGCTCCTTCTGTTCGAGGATTACTTTGTTTAAACTCGTGGCTGTTGAAGTTGATCTTTATGTCAGTATGTAAGGCAAGGCAAGGCAGCTTTATTTATATAGCACGTTTCCCACACGCAATTCAAGGTGGTTTACATTAGAGTACAATAAAAATATACTTTAGATCATTTTAAATACACAAATTAATTTCAGATTTAAGAGTTTAAAAAAAAAGGCTATAAGGCTGAGCAGTTCCAGTGTAGAAGGTGCAGCATGAGAAACAATCATTCTAGAGGCTGTTGAATGCATAAAAGTTTTCAATGTTGATTTCAAAGTTACCAGATTTAGGACAGATTTGAGGTCATAAGGAGGCTGATCCCATCTGTGTGCAGCAAAGTTGCTAAAAGCAGTTCCAACCTGTTTGGTTCTGACCCGAGTTCTACCAGCTGACTGTTTCCTAAGGATCTCAGACATACCGAAAGGAGATCCGACATATTTTGGCCCCATGCCATTGAGTGATTTCTAAACTAGCAGCAGCACTTTGAAATTGACCAGTGTAGAGATTTAAAAACAGGAGTGATGTGCTCGGTTCTCTTGGTTCTCGTAAAGACTCTTCCAGCTGCATTCTGAATAAGCTGCAGTTGCTTCACAGCGTTTTTGGGAAGACCAGTCAAAAGACTGTTGCAATAGTCCAGCCTGCTGTAGATGAACACATGAATGAGTTTCTCTAGGTCTTGGACATGAGACCTCTGAATTGGGCTATTTGATGAAAATGATAAAATACTGATAGTGTCTGCATCTACTGAAACTCAGAATAAATCTGGTTGTGAAATGAAATGGAAAAACTGAGTGAAGCCTGAAATTCACTACATCCATATTTAGCTCCTTATAATGAGGCACTGCTATAAACAATTCCAAAGGACCTTCTTGCTGTTGCCCTCCTTAATTTTAATTAATTGTTGCTTTCCTTGAAACTGATTTCTTCTCATGGCAACATGAAAAAACACTGACTCTAGGTAAAAAAAACCTGTCTTTCTACCACTATTTGTTTAACCATTCTGCCTTTATTTCCCCCTTATCTGTGAATTTCATCTAACATCCTATTTGCCCATTTCAGAGTCCTCTTCTGTAAAGTTTTGATTCCCACCCCAGCTGGGGTGGAAGCATAAATTAAATACAAGCTCAACCCTGCTGGCTGGTGGATGTGGGGTTAAAATGAGCTGTTGGATTGAGCAGATTTGTGCAGATGAAAAAGGGGAAGCATGAAACAGAGAGGAGGGGAGGAAGAAACTGCAGGTATATGATTAAATTTATGACACGAGGGGGAAAATGCTGGTGTGAGATGCAATGACAGAAAAGGCAGGAGGAGGGTTCAGGAGTGATATTTAGAGCAACAAGGTGTGTTGGCTATGGGGAAAAGATCACGTCTTACTTGCCAACATCTTGTTTTGAAGATGTGGGGAATAGTTCACTGTGCATAAAAATGGTTTTATCAAAACAAAAGCTAAGACATGCAGGGCATTTTCTTTCCTGTTGTGGCTTATTAGAGGTGTTGGAAGAAAACAATAGTTTGAGAAGCTTTTTTTTCTCTGATCCTTTCTTTCCACGGTGACTCACCTCAAAGATCTAAAAGATTTATAGCCAGTTTCCCAGGTCCATACCTCCTCCAGAAACTCTTGATCTATGAAGGGAACACATGGAGCACAGGCAGGATGGGGAAGATGATCCAGATCTGGATGGGATGAGTGCTGGTGGTTGTGATAATGAAAGTGGTGGTAGACTCTAGCTCATGACCTCATGCAGTCACCCGCCCCCTGGGAGAAAGTGAGCTCACAGGAGTCGTAAAGAAGAAGGACATTTACGATATTTTAACAGACTTAAATGGGGCTTACTCGGTGTGGCGTGCAATCCAATTTACCAGGCTGGACAAAGGGTAATGTGACATCTGCGAGGGGATGATACACAATCAGAGGGCTCAAAAAGCATCAAACAACTAAAGAAAACGTTCTTTTTAAAATCAGATCTGACAGGATTCAGTGTTTTCTCATATAATCTGGTTATGTACACAGTGCTGTAAATGCGTGTCCCTATTTTAAGGAGCTCTGAGAAAACAGATTTTTTTTTAGGACTGAAACAACTCAAACAGGAAGAAATGGCCCCATGATGATATGCAAATAAATAAGCATGTTCGTGCAATCAGACTCTTTAATCCTCTCCTGTGGGTTTTATTGTTTTATTCCCAGGATCTCTCGCCTCTTGTTGCACCCTAGTGTCATGTACAGACATTGGGATGGATGAACGGTCTGCTGGTTGCGAAAAGGACCAGGAGGAGGACGTTCCTCTGGGAATTAAGCCCCTCCCCTTTAATCGCCTGGTTGAGTTGTTTGCTCTCCGCGCTGCTGTCGCTCTCGTAACTCGCACATTTTCACTCAGTCCGTCAGAGGAGGAGGAGGAGGAGGAAGAAGGAGCTCTGCTGAATTCTAGTGCGTGTCTGCTCTGATCGGAGAAGAATGATGGTTTTTCTAAATTTGTACCCTTCTGATAATTAAAAATCGACACAAGGACAATATTTACCCACTTTTGTTTTGATTTTTTTCGCCACGGACATGAAGAAAAGCGGATTTTCGCGTCTGAAGTGAATCAGCGTGGTGAGTGGTGTGCGTTCGGAGTGCAGCAGCGTCGCTCTGGGCGTTAAATGAGCAACTTTACTTTTGTTTATTATTTTACGTAAACCTTAAGTTTGGGTAAGAATTACGTATTTTTAACACGTGCAAAAAGTTCGAGAGGTTAGAACAGATTACACGCAGCGTTACCGTTACACCCCGTGTTAACGCTGGCTTTTACTGCAGGGGTGTGTATTGTTATTGAAGCCTTTGGACAAAGTCCAGTTGCTAGACGTTAGTAAAACAAAAGTAGCCTGTAAAACTCAGCTGTCTCTCTGAGTTATGTGTGACTGAAGTAAACTAGTGCTGCTCAGATGGTAAAAGCACTTGTGGACTGTTTATTTTCAATCACTGATCTCTGTCAAAACAATGAAATCCTCACTGAAATTGAAATCCAAACGCTCCTGCTGTCTCACCAAAGCACTAACCACCCGTTTGTTCCTGTTTGCAGCCTTGTTTGCAGCCCTCTCCTCACCACGTTTGGAAGCCATGGCCAAGTGGCTGAAGGACTACCTAAGCTTTGGTAGGAAGGTGCCCCCACAGCCTCCAACACCAGACTACACAGAGAGTGATATTCTCAAAGCGTATCGGCTCCAGAGGGACCTGGATTTTGAGGATCCTTATGAGGATGCGGAGATCCGATCCAGAGGGGAGTCTGGGACTTTTGAACCCTCCACGCCGCTTTATGGATCACCCATGAAGTCATCAAGTGTGGACGTGAAGTCTCCTAAACATAGACTGATCAAAGTGGACTCCCAAGAACTGGGGCGCACCAAGATTCTCCTCAGCTCCATCTCTTTGGAAGACCAACAAGAACCTGTAAGAACCTCCCTCTTTGGATTTCTCTCTAGCAGGGAACCAAAAGAATGAACTCTCCTACTTTTTCTAATCTCATTTCCATCTCCGTGACAGCTTTATTGATGAAAGTCTATTAGCAGCTGACTGGTAATGTGTGTCAGAAAATATATATGTTTACATAAATCACACAACATCCTACACCACGTAAATTTCTATGTGGAGGGAGGAAGGGGATGGAGCAGAGTGTTGAGTTGGGTATGGTCCCCTGGGTTTATGTCCATCCATAAATAATAAATGAGGTTTGGTTTTGCAAGCTGAGAGGGACCCCGGCATGTTGGACGGCCACATTCATTTTCCCACATGGTGATGCGTCTCGGGGAGGCATAATTTATCCTGTGGGTGTTGTTTGTGCTATCAGTGCAGTAGGGCTTTGTGCTGGTGAAACCGCAAACTGAGAACAAATAAAATGGAAGCAAAGACTTTACAAGGACATCATCTGCATATAAAGTCAGCTCGGATATGCTGAGTTGGTTAAAGAGGAGGTTCTCATCAGCTCGGTCTATAAACCCACTCACGGAAAATACTCAAAAGTATAAAAGTCTGAAGGTAGGCTGAATTCATTGTTTTTACTGAAGTCAATGGCTCTCCTTTCTGCCTTTCCTGCCGTTCGAGCTCATTAATTTCCTATGGTCTGTGGGAAAATCCACTTTCTAATTAACATAACGGATTCCCACGCATCAATAGATAACCTGTTACAGAAGCAACATGAGATTTAGGATGTCATTTACCAAAGGCGTGAGCGTGTTTAGAGGAAACCTTTTTATTTGCTTTGAGAAGCTGGTTTCTTCAGAAACGTCTGTGAGGGAAGGAGGGAAACAAAGAAGGAACATACGTGTTTTGAGATTCGTCTATTTGTGTTTGTTTATGCGTGTGTGACCATATGGTCACCTTTGGTGGTTGTCGCTGTGCCAGATGACCACTGTTCTCCTCCTGCACCTGCATGGAGGAACAAATGCTACCCAGCAGATAGCTCCCTCTTTTATCTTTGTTCACATTTCTTGCAGCCAAAAAAAACATGTCACTGTTTGTGAGGGGGACTTCATCATGGTTTAATCACTTGTGCATTTAGAAGTAGAGGTTGACCGATATTGGTTTTTCTAATACCGATGTCGATATATAGGAGACATGGTCAACCGATGGCTGATCTGTACTGCCGATTTCCATGGCAAAATTCTAAACATCTTCCGCTCTATTTTCATGCTAAAATGTCACCGATAACATCGGTTGATGCAGAAAATCTCTGAAGCGGAATCAGTTTTTGAACTCTGAATTTGACTAACTGTTAAATCTTAACTTTTTGCACTGCTCAGTGTTAAAGTAAAATGCCTAAATAAAGTTAATTTAGAGTATTTATTATGCAGATTTTTAGTGAATGTAAAAATTCTGCAACCACACTGGGCTGCCCAAGGATGTGCCTGACTTTAAATCGACTTTACAAAGAACAAATATCGGCCCATGTATTAAAAAAATGGTAAATATCGACCCGATATATCAGTCTATCCCTATTTAGAAGGGATTCTTTTTTTATATACTGCATGTATACTTTGTAGAATTATATTTTGTGTGACTTTGCACCAATTTCTACAAGAACAAATCAGATTTTATTTATTATTTAATTCCAAATGTTTCCCTCAGGATTAACTGGATCCATTACAAACTTCATGACCAGGTTTGTGTTTCGTCCTTTAGGTGGTGCCGTCAGCTCCTCTGGCAGGGGACACGGATTACTCGGACCCGTTTGATGCTCGATTAGACCTCCGAGCAGATGCAGATCTCGGACCTGTTCCCTGTGAGAATAATGGTTACATGGAACCATATGAAGCCCAAAGGGTCATCACAGGTCAGTGGACATGTTTAAGAGGAAGCTTATGGTAGAGAAACCCTTAGAAAACCAGAAATCATGGCTTGTTAAGGTGCAGCAATTCTGCTGTTTCTAACTCTTATTAAAACCAGATTTTCTGCTTTTTCGCAATGTCAATTTTGATACATTTTCTGACAATTAACCGTTTGATAAGTGCAACAAAACTTGTCATGGATATGCAAAAACGGAAGAACTTGGTTGCTTTAAAAATTATTTTCAAGATGTCTCTGTACAAGCACCAGTGGTCAGTAAACGTGGTCCAGTGCACCGCTTTTACATCCTCAGTCAAGCCTAAACCCTATTAACAGCAAACAGAACAGACAACTAGAAGATTATAATTAAATATTTACAGAATCTGACGTGTTTATTAGATCAGAATTGCTCTCTAAATATTTAATGTCCTAATCATTTCAGATTCATGTTTACTCCTTTCTTCTCTTTGCTTTTATTTTATGATAATTTAAATGATTCCATTCATCCTCATTAAAATGGGTTTGAAAATGAACTGATAGAATAATTGGGCAGTGGAAGAAGGTGAATTCAGACCCCTTCACGACAGTCAGGCATTATATTGGATTTCAGGTAGATTGCGTCATGAATAAAATATGGATTTGTGCCATGAAGTCGTATAACTGGTCTGTGCATGTCAGCAGACTGTTTAATGAACATCACAAGATAAACATGACCCCCATTTTTGTTTGGTCTGCCTTTTTTCTTGTCTTTAACCCTCTCGGGCTCAAAATAAGTTTTGATAAAAGGACGAACAACTAAGTCCTTCAGGGGTACTTCTGAGTTAAAAAACGCTCATGAAATACGTATGTGGAGTAACCAGGTAGGTAGGTTTTAACTGTTGCAAATCTGCAACGCCTGCCTCCAGAGGGTTAAACTGATAAACTTTTTCATGTTTTTAAATCATTTTGTTCAGCCTGTATGTCCAAAAATGACCCTTTATGTGGTTAATGAGATGTCATTCAGACTCCCACCACCCTATGTGGCCAGAATATGGCATTTGCAACCCCAGAGTGCCTGTTGGACTTAAGCCTGATTCATGCTTCTCCGTCTGCATCAGTGTGGAGACACGCAACGTCCTTGCGGGCCTGCCGGAGAGCTCCGCAAGGCTCTCTTTTCTAAACATCCGTCAGTCGAGATGGACAACGCAAGCTTGTGATTGGTCAGGACGCCGCTGACAGCTACAGCGCCGCCATTGCGCCCTCAAAAACATAAAGAGAGCCGAGGATAACAAGCAGCAGACACGGAGAAGCTTGAAGAATACCTCGCGAAAAAAATCTAAAAACATGAACGTTTAATTCTCCCATGACTGGAGGAGTGAAAAGATACGCAGCAAGAGTTTTATTTGTGGACGGAAATGACAGGAAACGTGGGTTTAGAGGTGGCGAGCGCATGAAGAGGTGGAGGGGGATGAGAGACATTTGTCAGTGTTAAAACGTCTCTTATATACAAAAAAACACAATATAAACACACTATCTTGGACCGATACATGACAGGATACCACAGAACAGCGCTACGCCCTCTTTTGTCCTGCCGGGCAATTGCTTTGCAACACTCTCCAGGAGACGGAGAAGTATGAGAGCAAAACGCTTCCGTCAATCCGTGCGTGTCTGTCCCTTGTGGAGCTGACGGAGAAGCATAAATCAGGCTTTAGTGTTGACATACCTGGCGCTGCAGTCTGCTTCCAGCACATTTCCTGCATGTTTTAGGTCATGAACACAGGTGATTTGTTTCGTTTAGTGATGAACAGCTCCTGTAGATGCAAAAAGGCTGGTGAGACATTTCAGCTGTTAGATTAAGGCGGTAAAAAGACGAGCGCACAGCGAGGAACTAAGGATTGCTTTCGGTTCTACTTAACGAACACTAGGGGGTGCTAAAAGCCAGCCAAAACTGCCTAGTCTCAATGGAAAGATTAGTGATAAATGTGTCGTAATTCTAGTTTATTGTTTGTTTTTTTTTTACGAGTGAAGCGATGACCTCAGCTGTAACCGCCCACTCCATTGGATTTTAGCCCATCAATGTCGTAAAGTGTTTTTCACTGTCCAGCATCGGATCCCTCTCTGCCATTACAGTTTGCTCCCACATCATCTAACACACACACATCGTTTTCCAACTCTCTCTCCCCTTACATCTTTGTCCACCCCCCCCCCCCCCCCCCCAACACACACACACCCACCCACACTCACAAAGTGCCTCTCTGGTTTGTCCCAGCCATTAAGCATAAAGGCTTGTCCCCTCCCCTTTATCCATTTCTACATCTCTCTCTCTCTCCTCATCCCAGTGGCTCCCCTCTGCCTCCAGGGCAGTCTCTAGCTGCCTCTCTAATGTGTCCTTAAGCAGAATCCACTGATATTCTGTCCTCCTACTGTTGTCACTCATCCTGCCCTTTAGATCATGAAAGGAAGTTCATAGTTTTAAGACTAAGTGAATGGGGCGCCCTAAAAAAAGAGCCTTTTGTTGTTGCTGCATCTGGATGAAGCCATTTGAGAGATTAGATCCACAGTGGTGATGGTACCACATTTACTAGAGCATTGTCATGTTATTGAGCCTGTCACCCTGGAGCTGTGGTATCAGCCCCCTTTTGTCCATCTGTCCATCTTGGTTTGATTTTTCTCATTAAAATACATCAAATCAGCAGCCAAATATGAGACTGGAATAATGATTATGGCAAAGACAAAAAAGACACGTGCATTATGTGCTTTAAAAAAAAAGACAAAACACTCCAAAACGTAGTTGTTTAACTTCGTCTTGATTCTCGAGTTGTTCTTGAGGATAAATCCTCAGTCTCCCCGCTGACACACTTCTGCAGTCACCCCCCCCCCCCCATGCTTCCCTGTCATCTTTTCACTCAATCTCCAATCTGTCAGATTGCGTTCTACCCCCCAGCCCCAGCCTGTGTTCTTCTTCATCGTATTTCCTTTGAATTTATCATTTTATTCCCTCAAATCTTGTTTTTATCTCCCGACCTTCATCTCCTCCGTCTCAAGGCTCCTGCGACACCACAAGCTCCCAGCACAGGTAGAGCAGCATTCAGCCCTGCTGTGCTGCTGTCTTCATGACTTAACATCAAACACATACACACACATTTCTCTGCCTTTCATTGCCTTCCTCTCTCCCTTGTTTATGCCATACTCCTTCCTCCTTTTTCTTGTTCTGCTCCTAATGCAACATCCTTTTCTCCTCTTTGCCTCCCCTCTTGGCCCAACTTCTCCTCCAATCTCCTCTTCATAACCTCAGTCTTTCCCTCTGGGTCTCTACTTGGTCACCATGGTGACAACAGGGCAGCCCGAAAGCAATAGTGTGTCATGAAGGTTATGAGTTTTTCTCTTCCTCTCACCTGTCCATGTACCATCAAATCATTGGGATGCAAACCAAAGTTTTTATCTGGTAAAAAAAACATGAAACTTTGAGGTCATTATATCAAACATTGGTAGTACTGGCCCGTAGCCAGACGACAATTCCAACCAGGGCGCCTCCAGCGATGTTTATCTGGTCCCGGGAAAACATCGGAGGAAAAGAGGTAAACGAGCAGGAATCCAGGTGGGAATAAGACTTCTCTTAAAACGTGGTTTATCTAGTAAACATCGGCGTGATCTTCTAGCTTCTTGTCCTTTGTTTGGCGACTTGAGCGCCACTTCCGCATTCCCGCCAGGTCGCGTTGCGGCGTGTTTCATCCGTCCCAAGTTTTTTAAGGTCGGTTTATCCTCATTCCTCAGTGGTTTCTCCTCCTATTCCCTCCATAAGTGGTTTTAATAAACACTGTGGATCTAACCCTACTAATTTGCGTCCACTAACTCCAGCTGTTTCTGTAGTTTCTGATTCCTCCACCTCACTCAGTATGGCTCTATTAAACACCCACTCTGTTAACAATAAGTCCTTCCTGCTCAATGATTTAATTCTCTCTAAAAACCTGGATTTTCTGTTTCTGACTGAAGTTAAGCAGCAAACATCTGATTATTCTGGTCTAATTGAACTCTGCCCGAGTGGTTCTTCTTTTCTTAGCCAGCCCCGGGGTTCTGGTCGTGGTGGAGGCCTAGCTGTTGTTTTCAGAGACCATCTTCCATGTAGCTCTACAACCTCTGGTCACTTTGCTTCCTTTGAACTGCAGCTGATTAAAGTCGGGCGTAAGGACCCGTTCTACTGTGCTGTGGTCTATCGTCCACCTGGTCCAAACGGTTCTTTCCTTCAGGAGTTTAGTGACTTTCTATCCTCCACTGTGAAGCTGTCCAGACTGGTGATTGTGGGTGACTTTAACATCCACGTTGATGATCCCTCCGATCTCTTTGCCATGATTTTCTCCAGCCTTATGGACTCCTTCAGCCTGGACTTACCCAGCATTTTTCTGGCCCCACACACACCAGGGGGCCCACTCTAGACCTTGTTTTTACCCTGAGTCTAAATGCTGACAGTGTTTGTCCTGAGGACGTTTATTTTTCTGATCACCATTGCCTTGTGATTTTTATCTTGAGAGGCGCTATAGAAATGATATCTTCTTCTTCTTCTTTCTTCTTCGTTCTTCTTTCTTCTTCTTCTTCTTCTTCTTCTTCTTCTTCTTCTTCTTCTTCTTCTTCTTCTTCTTCTTCTTCTTCCTCCTTAACGCTGCTGCAGCTCAGAGGCCACAAATAAAACATTTAGAAATCAAATTTCACCTTCAAACTTGCATCATTAATCCTAAATCCATCTATCTCATGACAATATTTGACTCCACTAAACAGATGCAGATACTGAGAACCGTCTGTTGTGGGAACCCATTGACAAATGGATGAAAATGTTAACAAGGAATTGTGAATGCTGCTGTGAGCCATGCTGCATTGCTGCTTAGGTGCATGTTGTGGAATGACTGAGAGGGTTGTAGATTGCATGTCTATCATTTTGCCTCACAGCATCTCACCCATGCTCTTTCTAGGCCCCATTGTGAGTTTCTGAACTCACTACAAGCTGTGCAAACATAATTTGCTTCTTCCCTCTAATTCTGCACATGTCAGGGATCAACAAGCTTCTTGTTTTCTTTACAATTGGTTGGAAATAATACCTCCTTCTTGTTTGGATATGGTAGTTGCTGTTTTTGTAGCCCAGTTATTATCTTCTGCTGTAAAAAGGGGAAATATGGTGATACAAGATGGTCAACAGAGTTAATAAACAGGAGCAAGCACAAAAATGACTACAACTCAGTTTCTTTTACAAATATGAAGCTAAAGTTTATTGTGATATCTGAGAAATCTCCCCAACACAACCTGTAACACTTAACAAATAGCCTCTTTTAAAAAACAATGCTGCCAATTTGCTGCAACGCCATGGCAGCATCAGGGAGCCGTATGTGGTTTATAAGTGGTCAGACCGTAGCGATAACGTGGCACAATCATGTTTTTACAAAAGATTACGCAATGGCGGTATAAAGGGGGTATGGGGGTGGTCTCTGCACTGCTGCGGACTTACGTTTAGCTTGGACATGACTTTTGTTGTGATCGAAGCTGCACTCATAGCGTTTTTTCCACAAGCCGCTTCTAAAGGTGTTGTGGCAATACTACTACCAAGCGTGGCGGCACAAATGCTACAAAATTCCCACAACGCCATGCTGCCACGGCATGCTCAGAAGACACACCATGGCACCAGTATTACCCTGATTTGCCGGTATGGTGTGTGTCGTCTTAAAAAGGCTATTAATCCAGATGACTGCTTAAAATGTTGCCACTGAAGAAGAAGAAGAAGAAGAAGAAGAAGAAGAAGAAGAAGAAGATATCATTTCTATAGCGCCTCTCAAGATAAAAATCACGAGGCACTTCACAGAAACAAAACATGTAAAAAAATAAAAAAGAATTTAGAAAATGGTTAAAAATATATTTAAAATGAGCAAAAAATAGACAATTATGATTAAAAATCAAAATGTTAAGAAAGAGAGAGTGAATAGGAAAGAGGGAAATCAGTGGATCCTGAGGACGGTGGAATAGGTGGGGAGAGCAGAATAAAGAGAGATTGGTGAAGAAGGTCATACAAAAGCCAGCTTGAACAGGTGAGTTTTCAGCTGCTTTTTAAAGGAGACCACTGAGTCCACTGATTTCATGTTCAGGGGGAGAGAGTACCAGAGTCTGGGGGCCACAGCAGCAAATGATCTGTCACCTTTGGTCTTTAGCCTGGTGCGCTGCACAACCAGTAGGCTTTGATCAAGCCTGTTGATTGGTTGATGAAGTCAACATTGTTTGTCATAAACCAATGGACACATTTTATTGATTGGGTCAACTGAGAAAAGTGAAATTTCCTGCATTAGCCACTGTTAGAAAATGGGCAGCCGAGTCAGAAAAAGCCACATAGACCTACGTGAAACTGAAAATTATCACGGAGTCACCCATCTTGGCTCACAACCGGGAAAGAATATGTTGATTTTTGCAGCCATGAGAGAGCAGTGTGTGTCTTGGCTTGTAGAAGCTAACTGTTAGCATTAGCAACTCTGCAACATGGCAGAGCAGGTTTGGGCTCCTGCTTTCTGAAACAGGAGTGCTACAGTTTTGTTTTCCCCAGAAAATAACGCACAAGGCATTAAATACTAGAGACCACATCAGATTTATTGAAATACTGAATAAGCGTCCCTTTCATGAGATCCTTGGACAGTTTTTGTTGGATGTTCATCTACAACTGATTAACCTAATGACTACAACTTGGATAATTTTAAAGATATTTTTGACAGTTTCATCCAGTAGTAGCTGATAGTGATGGGAATTCCGGTTCTTTTGGCTCGGCTCACCAAAAAGAGCCGGCTCTTTCGGCTCCAAAGTGGCTCCTCAGATTTTCTGTTGCATAAAGTATATTTATCACCAAAATAATGCAAATCTATATGTAAAATTATTTACTAATGTAAAAAATGCAATATATCAAATATTTATCATTTATATTGATTTAATAACTGAACACTTTAAGAAATCTCAACTTTCCAACTGCTGTCGCTCATTTTCTCACCGTCTTCGTCGCACTTTCCTCTCTCTCTCTCTCACTCGCCTTTTTCCTCTTCCTCATTCCCTCTCGTCTCCCTCTGCCTGCATGTGCTCTGCTGTGTGTCTGAGTCTGATCCTCCCTCGTCCTCGCCCCTACTGCTCTGTGTGTGGACAGTCTGGACACGCAGTTACACATGTTGACCTGTAGCCTGTAGCTTTCACCAAAACCATGTTCAGCACCTTGGGCTTCCTCACAGGGTTGCGGAAGGTGCTTTATAAATAAAGCTTTGATTGATTGATTGATTGAAAACAAGAGGGGAGGGGGTGACGGCTCCCAATGACGAGCCGGCTCCCGTCGTTCACTTCACAGAGTCGGCTCTTAGAGCCGGTTCGTTCTCGACCATCACATCACTAGTAGCTGAGATTCATTCACAGATCACACTTAACAATTTTCAACATCTAACCAAAACAGCTAAAGCCACTCTGTGTAACTTTTTCAGATTTTAAAATCTTTTTATTCAGCCAGTATTTGCTTAAATGACCCTTTACATGGTTAATGAAATGTTACTCACACCCCTACTGCCCCCTGTGACCAGAATACCACATTTGCAACTTCAGACTAGCAGACTGTTGGACTTGGGAAAAAAAGCTGACATACCTGGCGCTGCAGTCGGATTCCAGCATGTTTCCTTCGTGTTTTAGATCATGAACACAGCTCATTTGTGTAATTTAGGCATGAACCACTCCTGTAGACACCATTGAAGGCTGAGGAGACATTTCAGCTGTTAGATTTAGGTGTTTAAAACGACGAACGCACAGCGAGGAGATGGTTTTCATTTTTGGACACTAGAGGGTGCTAAGGCAAAAACTGCCAATTGTGCCTTTAAAAACTTTGTTTCTCAACATTAGATGTTCTTAATCTAAAACTTTCAATTCCTTAAAATGATTTGGGCATTAAACAGAGATGTTCTCTTGCAGAATAGTTCATCGTTACGATTGTGTACATTTATTTTACATACACTTTTATATTTTTTCTGCATGTGCTTCAACAGAACTACAGCGCGCTCCAGGAGGACGCTCACGAGGAGGCGTGCAGCTTTATGACACTCCTTATGAGGATGAGCGAGGACAGCGCCTGGGTTACGTGTACGCAGACCTTCACGAAGAGAACAAGGAGAGCAGCAGGTTGCCACAAGATGATGAGAGACCAGCCGATGAGTATGACCAGCCCTGGGAATGGAAGAAGGACCACATCTCCAAAGCGTTTTCAGGTAAAGAATTTCTAAAAGCACCTCTTGACCACAGAAAAGCAGTTCTATCATTTGCGCCGCCAAATCAAAGTAGCTGCTTTTTAAGGACAAAATTCTCTCATTTCTAAAAGATGGCCGAGTCCCTTAACTAATCCGTCCTTCATACGTGGTTTCACTGGTTTCATCTGCTGTGGATTCGTCTTGTCTCGTCTCGCGCAGCTAAACCTTGATCGATGCTCTCTTTTGTTCCCAAAAGCCTCACATATTATTGGCAGTCCTCTGTTGAAAGTGTCTCAGAGTAAAAACACTAAATCCCTGCCAACTACAGACGTGAGCTGCTAAAGCCTCCAGGTGCTGAGCCAATCTTAGAGAATATATTTTCAGAGAGAATTACTCCATAGAATGACTGAAAATGGTAAAGAGTGCCGCTCTAATGAGCTGTTTAAAGGTCAGATCCTTCCTGCAAGCACCTAAGACAGCGTTGGTGCTGATAGTGAAAATAATCTAACTATCCTGACCTTTAAAAATAGTATCTGCCTCCCGCCCACCTTCGTCATTACCTGTCCCAAGCCTTTTAAACTGGAAACAGAGTGCTGTGACCTTCACATTCCCAGCTCAGATGACACACATCTCTCTTTCTAGATTTGAACACCTTCTGGTTATTATTGATTTGTTGCTTTCAGCCAGGTGACTGACTGCAGTCACGGCAAGCTGAGGGATCATCATCAAAACAGACTGAGATGTTCAAACCTGCGGTCTTTTCGAATTATTGACGATGTGCAGAGCCGTTGTTCACGTTTGAATGTACTGAGCAAAATTTGGGGAAAATAATAGAAACAGAACAAGGCTGATAAATCATTTAGGAGTGGATTGGTGTAAAGCACGCCAGGCCTAGTCGACTTAATTGAGCTGCTTCTCGGTGTCACCCAAGGTCAAGGTGATGGGATAATAAATCAAACGTGGCTCATCTTCACCAACCCCACAATTCCGTCTCCCCTCCTCTCAGCTAATTACACGCCTACATGTGTGTGACTGATCCACTGGTAATAGGAAAGTCATGGTCAGTACACCACTGTCTGGATACACACGCATAGAATCCATTCACACTGTTTTTATGCTCAAATCACCCTAACCAGAAGTGGGGCTTACTGGAGAGAGCGGAGACGATTCAAATTACAGCTGGTAATTTAAAAGCGAATACCATCTCATACCTACTTTGCTCTCATACTTGCTATATCTGTATTTTTTCCCCTTTCTCCCATGTCTCTTTGTGACACATGCACCCCCTGAAGGGGAGTGCTTACACCACCATTAGAGCATGAAGTGTAGGAAAACGCTCGTGCAGTCCGAGCTGTCTGACCCTTTGTTTTTTCCATTTGGAGTCGGCTCTCTGTGCTGGCTTGCTGTCTGTTCGGGCACACCAAAGGCACCGAAGTGTAAACACGCAAACAGTATTTTCCATTCTCGCATTTAATCCGTATTCCCAGACCCCGCGCTCGGCGTTGCCTAGCACGGCCCGCAAAGGAGGGGAGGGAGGGGAGAGATGAGAAGGGCGGAGCGAAGAAACAGGTTGTCTGGAGAGACTGAATGGAGGAACAAAAGGATGAAGAGGGTTTGAGGAAGATGGAAGGAGATGGACAAGATAGAAAGAGACTGCCTTGGAAAAAGTGAGCCAGAGGGAAATATAAAGGGATGTCGCCATGGTTATGGTGTGATTGTGGAGGCCCAGCACTTGGGTGAGGAGTATTAATGGTTAGAGGCTGCGAGGTGAGGTAGACGGGGTGGGTGGGGAGGGGGGAGATTCAGGGCCACGGCGGCAGGACGCAATCGGTCATTCACTAGCACACATGAACACACCAGCGCTGCGGTGGTGACAGGGCTGTCCCCCCATGAGCTTCCCTTCCTGCTGATGTGACATACTCACTCCGATAACCTGCCACAGGGGGCAAATGGGGGTGGGGGGCACATCACAATCTGCTTGCAACCCCTCATTAACGCTTTCTCTCAAGCATACATTCGTAGGTTTTCGACTTCAGTTTCCCATCCCTGATTATTGACAGACACCTTATTCAAGGGTGAAAAGAGGTTGTGCGCTCACTGGTGCAAATTAAAGCGTGTGTGTTGGGCGGGGGGGGGGGGGGGGGGGGGGGGGATCTCTACAGGCTCCCTCTGATTATGATTTTCGCAGCTTATCCACGCTTTAATGTAATCGGCTGGCTGAAAATGAAATGCTGCAGGTCTTTTATCAGAATGTCAAAAACAAGCTGGCTTCTAAAGCTTTTTGTTTGTTTATTGTCCATTTCCAACCCGTCTGAGGTTGACGACTGAGGTCGACATTTCTCAGACCAGAACGGTTTTAATTAGAGAAAATGTGTCACAGGTTACGCCTTCTCGCTTAGATTACAGCAGTCATTAATTTTCTAAAAGTTAATGCAGAGTCCAGCATTCGATGCGGATGGTTCTGCAGCCATTCTGCGTTATTAGTGAGCTAATGAGAGACACAGACCTATTAGCGCCCTGATGGCTGCACCTAATGAACAGATAAGTGGGTGTTTTATGTTTTATAGTACACAACAAAAGCTTTGAGATATTTGGCATCAGTGACGGTGAAGATTGAGGTGGAGCACTAAAGAGGGCCGCAAAGCAACTGGAAATCTGGATAAAAAAGCAAATGAATAGCATCACCACCTCTTGCAATTACAGTTACGTTGTCATTGAGCAAAGCACTTCACTTGTTCCAGTGCAGCTGCTCATTAGGCAACAGAAAAAGACTGGAGCTATTCTTAGGAGCTCTGCAGGATGACAAACATGTCCCTCCTAAAGCCGCGCTGAGGCAAAAAGACTCAATTATGAGTTTAGCTGCTGCCTCGAATCTCTAAAACAATATTTAGAATTAAATCTAAAGCTTTAATACTACAGAAAATATGAACATTCAGTCATTTTTTTAGTGAACATTTATGTGAACATCCATCCTTTTTCTGTACCTGCTTGCTTATCCACGCTGGGCCGTGGGGGGGCTGGCGTCTACCTCCAGCAGTCTCCGAGCTAACAGTCAGGGTACACCCTGGACAGGTTGCTAGTCCACCGCAGGGCAGCACAGACGCACAGTACGAACAACCAAGCACACACACACCTAATGATAACTTAAACCCTTATCAGATTGACATTCTGGAATATGTGTGGACAATTCAGTCCGGTTTTTAACCAGAAATGTGTTTTCAGACACACCACTTTTGTACCTGAACTTGTCCTTTCGGTTGCCTTCACACAGCAGGGAAAAGTTCCAGATGTGTGTGTGTGTGTGTGGGGGGGGGGGGGGGGGGGGGGGGGGCAGACATGGTGCGGCGGGCGTACATGCGTCATTTACCCAATCAAAGCCATTCAGTCAAACATGGCAGACGCAGAGATAGAATTCCTCTCACTGATCGGACTTATGTTAAGCATAATTCTGCACACACGAAGAATAAGAGACCAGGATGATGAAGCTCAGTGGTTAAAAGGAATCACGGAAGCGGTGTGAAGCGCTCCGTCGCGCGTCTAGGGAGACGCTACCGTAGGAGGCGAGCTGCCATGGTTCGCCGCATGCTACAGGAGCGAGATATCTAGGTGCGCACAGCGTCCCCCGGTCCCCCCCACCCCCCGTCCGGAACTCGACCTCACCAGTCTGAAGCAGCCACCCTGTCCGTGACAAGTCCGGACCTGTTACTAGGGGCGTCGTCCGGTTAAATTACAGAACACGTTATCCGGATGTTTGTATTCAGACACAAAGGTCTTACGGACAGAGTCCTGAACATTTCCGTTTTTCATGGCCTGTCTGAAGGGGGCTTTAGAGTAGCCAGTCAACCTGACAGTCATATTTTGGACCATGGGAGGAAATCAGATCTGGAGATAACCCATGTGTGCACAAGTTGAACAAGCAAACAAGACTTCGGGCCGGGATTTGAACCTAGGACCATCTTGCTGCAAGGCAACAGCGTTAACCACCCACCGCCGTGCAGCCCTTTCTGCCAACATATTCATACTTAGGTTTTAGATTTTATTTGGTCTTTCTGGATTATTTTTTTGTGACGACGCCACCTAGTGACTGACAAATGTATCTCACTAAGCCGTGGTTTCCATTTCTGTATTTCCGGCCGAAAGCAACGCCTCATGATTGCTCTCCTCTAGCCGACAAAACCGAGCTCAAACACATTGTTTTACAATTATTATTCTCATTCTGTTTATTCACATTTATTAAAGACTTACTTAGAGAAACATTTAAAAGTTATTGAGAAAACTAACTGTTCCTTTTGTATCCGCTACTACTTTTGACCACGTTTTGATAAAGAATTATGTAAAATGTTTTGTAGCTTAAGGGTAAAAACTTTTCTTCTGGTGGCACTTTTGAAAGATGCATGGCGTTTGTAGCTATGTGAGCTGTTTGAGTCATGCATGCAAGACAAGATTTCCTGTTCCTTGATTTCCATTGTGTGTGTGTGTGTGTGTGTGTGTGTGTGTGTGTGTGTGTGTGTGTGTGTGTGTGTGTGTGTGTGTGTGTGTGTGTGTGTGTGTGTGTGTGTGTGTGTGTGTGTGTGTAAACAAGCTGGGGAAAAACACTAGAAGTCGAGATTTCTTGATTGATACTCCTCTAAGAGCCCCCCGGGCCATCTGACCAGCTTCTTCATCAGCAGACATACACAGCAACGACTCACCATTTTACTCTTTCGCCTCTTTTTTCCATCATCACATTCCCTCTCTTCGGCCCCATTTTTCCTTTCACATCCTTTTCAGATTTCTCTCTTATTTCAGACCGAACCTTTGCTGACATGAATGGGAGCCGTGCCCTTTGTGTTTCCGTCTCACTGCTGGATTTGTCAGATGAGGGAGGAGATGATGGAAGCGGGGCAGGGTAAGAAAGAACAGGTTCAGGAAAATCTGAAGCGAGAGGTAATGCCCCACTTAAAGGGGAGATAGGTGAAGGAGTGATGGGAAAACTGATAGTCAGCAGTTGGATGTACAGGAAGAGCACCATAAATACACAA